CAGCAGATTAGCCTTTACATATTTTAAACAAAATACAATGGAAATATTTTAGGTAGTAAGTGAAGATTGATTCACGTGAAACAATATAATTGCCTATCAGAGTCAAGCATTGAACTACTTACTGATAATTTTGTCCTGGACTTGAAGTCATTATTTGTACATGCCATTGAACTTGCCAGTGTGAGAGAGATATTTTTATATGTATATTTGGATGCATTTTAGAAAGGTTGTGATGCTTTATTCAGTCTAACCCTCAAGAAGTTAGGCAAGTCAGTTACTGTGTTAACGGTAGGTATTGCTTTCCTTACCCTAATGGTTTTAGGAACAAAGAAATCTCTGAGCTAATCCACTGAAACCCAGTTTTCTCCTGAGACTGGTGTTAAGTCTGTCCACTCTTTAGAAGATAACACCATGCTAAGTGGAATAATGTTGTGCTCTTGAGATGAAGTCCTAGTCTTCCAGAATTAAGTAGAGTGTGGTTTAAAAGCTAGATGATTAAAAAGCTATTATTTCTTAGCTAATTTGGAATGTGATTGGTTTTAATTTTTCTAAATTTGTTCTAACTTAAATTTTACTGGTGTGATTTCTATTGACACGAACTAGAAGTGGCTTTAGTAGGCAGCTTCTCTTACTAATTGCTGTTAAATAAAATCACTCAAGATGAATTTCTTCCAAAATATGTTATAATTTTGACACATAAGCTTTTAACATTTAATTGACTAATATTACTAATCCTATAGTAGCCCCACTAATTTAACTATCATTTTGCAACTAACTTTTAAAAAAGCTTTTACTAAGAGGTTTTATTCTTAGCAGATATTTTATGAATGTATTATGATGAATAAAAACTAGCTAGGTTGTTGATAACAGCAGCATTGGACATTTTCCAGTCTTAGAGCATTTTTGTCTATATTCTCTAGCAGCAGTTGGCAAACTGGTCAGTAGGTCACATTTGACTAGCTGCTTATTTTTGTACTGATTATAAACTAAATGGCTTTTATGTTTTCTAAGTGGCTGAAAAAACCCCACAAGACTAATAGTTCATGAAATTTTTATAAATTTATATTTCACTGCCTATAAATAAAGCTTTATTGGAACATAGCCATGCTTATTTATTCAAGTATTGTTGGCTTTTTTACAGTCATAGACGAGTAGTAGCGACAGAGACAATTTGCCCATGAAACTCAGAATATATACTATCTGACCCTTTAGAGGAAAAGTTTGCTGATTCTTGTTCTATAGTATAAAAAAGTGTAGCCTTGATTGTTCATTGAAGAAAAATCTTTCACCTTTTGATTGGCACACTTTCCCCACCCCTCCATTTGCTAAGAAACACATTTTCTTTCTATTTTAATCCTCACTTGAGGATGTGTTTATTGATTTTCTTTTATTTTATAATTATATTTAATTGATTATGCTATTACAGTTATATTGATTTTTCTCCCTTTGCCCCAATCCACCTTGCACTCCCCATTCCCTCAGGCAATCCCCCCACTATTGTTCATGTCCATAGGTCATGTGTGTAAGTTCATTGGCTACTCCATTTCCTACACTTTACATACATATGGCTATTCTGTAACTACTTATTTGTACATTTTTAGAAAAGATTTTATTCATTTATTTTTAGAGGGGAAGGGCAGAAGAAAGAGAAGGAGAGAAACATCAATGTGTGGTTGCCTCCTGTGCGCCCCCTACTGGGGACCTGGCCCACAACCCAGGCATGTGCCTTAGATGGGGGTGTTGAACCGGTGACCTTTTGGTTTGTAGGCTGGCACTCAGTCCACTGAGCCACACAACCCAGGGTCCTATTTGTACTTCTTCTTTATAAAGATTTTATTTATTTATTTTTAGAGAGGGGAAGGAAAGGGGAAAGAGAGAGAAACATCAATGTGTGGTTGCCTCCTGCATGCCTCCCACTGGGGACCTGCTCCGCAACCCAGGCAGGTGTCCCCACTGGGAACCAACCAGCGACCCTTTGTTTTGCAGGCCTGGGCTCGATCCACTGAGCCACATAAGCCAGGGCCCTTAATGTACTGCTTAATCCCTTCATCTCTTCACTTGATAAATTATAAGAATATGTTTTTAATAACTGCATAATATTCTGTTTTATGGAGTAATTTATTATTTAACCATTTTTCTTTGTTGGACATATAGTCTGTTTTCAACTTTTTTTTATTATGACTATGAGATCTGTCCAGAAGGCACCCAGCTGTGTACCGTATTTTGCCAGGTATAATGTGCACTTTTTAGTCCAACTTTTTGAGGGAAAAATAAGGACGCACATTTTACATGGGTAGTACTAATTCCATATCTATGTAAATGTTTTTAATTCTTTTATTTATGCTTAAGTGTTAAAAGTGTAACTCTAGAAAGCAATAATGATATCCATATGCAAAATAATACCTGGAATTCAATTACAGTTTTGTTCCTAAATCAGTTTATTTATTAAATATAAATAAATAAAAAATTGAATTAAGAAATTAAGATGAAAGATTTTTTTTCTGAAAGTCTGGGCCAAAAATGTAGGTATGCATCCTACAAGGGAATGCGTTATAAGTGGCAAACTATGGTAATATGAAAAATAGAGATATTTATGGAAGAAGATTCATGATACAAGAAACATTGTACATAGGACAATGACACCTCAGTCTCCTTCAAAGTAGGCACTTTGGGACCTCACGCAGTTCTCCCAGGCGCCATCAGCTGCCCTGTTGTGTTTTCCCAAATCTCATAGACAGTCTGAAACCTTTTCCCTTTCAAAGGTGATTTTAGTTTTGGAAAAAGCTGGAAGTAACAGGGCATCAAATCTGGGCTGTAATAGGACTGAGTCACTTGGGTGATTTGAAGTTTCACAAAAAATTCTGCATGAGATGTGATGCATGAGCTGGCGTGTTGTCATGATGAAGCTTCCAGTCACTTTGTTTCCCATAGCTGTGGCCTTCTAAATCATTAGAATAGTTTCTGAGGGGGAGATGTTCATGGTTAATGCAAAATTTGATGAAGATTCATTGCTCTACTCGCTCAGTCATTTTGAATGCGACAACCACACAGTTCACATGCTCACTCAATGGCATCTACCACAGTGAAGTCATCATTGTTCACACATTCGCATTCCAGTTCACTCTCCTTGGCTGCCAGGTTACATCGATGTCGTGCAAACTGTTCTCATATTAACAATGGCCGGACTTTTTCCAGACAGACCTCATATTATATATTACATTTTAAATATATGTTTTATATATTTAATGTATATTTTATATTTAAATATTATATATATTTTAGATATTAAATAACATGCATTACTATCCTTGCATATATATCTTTCTGAGGAATCCTGGTTATTTTAGTGAGATTCTTAAAAATGAAACTGTGGGAAAAATTGTTTAATAACTAGAGAAGTATTTTGAGGGAAATCTTTGTATTGCATGAAAATACTTCCTTGGCCTGCCTTCATGAGGAAGACAGCTTGTCTTTTACTTAGCCAAGGCTCTGGTTGGATACACTAATTTTTGTACTAGACCATCAAACCAGTCTATCAAACCAATTTAAATTGACTGTTAAAACACATAGTTGATAATGATAGTTGATAGAGTGGAAGAACTGGTCCAGTGCCCTACTCTGGGTTCATACATGTTTTTTGTAATCCTCACCTGAGGATATGTTTATTGATTTGAGAGAGAGAGAAACATCTGTGTGAGAGAAAAACAGTGGTTGGTTGCCTCCTGTACACACCCTGACCAGGGATTGAACCAGCAACGTAGGTATGTGCCCTGATTGGGGGTAGAACCTGCAACCTTCTGAGTGTATGGGATGACATTGCAACCAACTGAACTGCCCAGCCAGGGCTGGGTTCATATTTTTAATCACAGTTCTGCAGCTTGGGAAAATAAATAATTTGCTTGGGAAAGTAAGTAATTTGCCATACAGTGGAGTAATGCTTCAGGCCAGTTTGAGCTGGCACCGTAGACTCAGAGTGTCTGCGAGTCCAGTCACTCGGGGAGGGAGGAAAGAGATGTGCTCCATTCTTAAGATAATTCACTTTCTGTTCTTCTACTTAAGTAGGCGCCCCAGCCTACCACCTTGTTTCTTGTGTGTGCCTCTTGAAGTAAACTCCCTTTGTTAGCATATTCTCTTTTCCCACCACTCATTCTGCAATGTACCTGAAAAAATGTACGCAAGTACTTAACTCAAAGAATGATCTGTATAGAAGTATTGCTTTAAAATTTTTTTAGGGATATCCACACCAGCTGCTAGTATTGATCTGTCTACAGCAGAGGTTATAAATTGAGAGTCTTAAAGGCCAAATTTTGGTTTGCAGAAGGGTCTCAGAAATTGATACCAAATGGAAGACAGCATAGTAACATCCCATTCTTTGTCTTCTTTTGAAAAATTGGTAGGTCTGGCAACACTGGACCCATTCTATTTGCAAGTGTTAGCTGGAGCAAAGTTAGTGGCTTCCAATTTGTGCTGGAGCGTAGCAATATGGTTTATACATAATGCAAGATTTTGATGGTTGCATGTTCTTTTAATATTGAAACACATAAAATCATTTTATAAAACATTCAAAGATTGATAATAGGTGAAATTATATTTGAACATTTTTTAAACTATTTGGGCTGAGTAACATGTATTGTCATGCATAGTAAACATGTTCAGAGAGTTGTCTTCTGGCTGTATCATGTAGTACTTCTCATGATTTTCCTATTAAATAATTTCCTATCTAATTATTACTTTAATTGTGCATGTGTATGTTATTTAATCATCAGGAAAGTTATGTGTTTATGTATGTAAGATTCTCTTAATCTTGTCTGAATTTTCATAATGTTACTGCTCATATAAAAAAACATAATTGTTAGCTAATTATTATTGTATGATATTTAGTGTTCTCTACTGAAAATCAATTAATTTTGTTAGTTTTTTGCTTGTTGTATAATTTTTAATTATTTGTTCTGGGCTTTTTAAAAAAATCCTTACCTGAGGATATGTTTACTGATTTTTAGAGAGAGAGAGAGAGAGAAAGAGAGAAAAAGAGACATTGATGTGAGAGAGAAACATCGATGGGCTGCCTCCTGTATGTGCCCCGACCAGGGACTGAGACCACTACCTAGGTATGTGCCCTGACTGGGAATTGAACCCACAGTCTTTTGGTGTACAGGGCATTGCTCCATTCAAATAAACCACCCAGCTGGGGGGCTTTGTTATGGACTTTTGATGTGACAATTTATCAAACCTGATTTTAATAGGATTCATTATATGTTTGTTTTAGAATTTAAAGAACTAGTGCTTCTATTTAAAAATAATTAATAATTGAATATATATAATTTAGTTTATTCAGTAAAGAAAATGCAGGCCTGCATAACTGTCAAAATTCATATAAAATATTGATTGCCCAGAGGTATATTTTATTTACTTAAAAATTTTAATATTTAACTCAGTGAAAATAAATTTATCAGTACACTCATTTTTTGTTTAGTCTCCTTAATTAAAAAATTTTGTGTAGAATTTAAAAAATTACTCATAAGAATTCAAACTAAAAGTTGACTAAATACTTTTCTTAAGGAATTAAAAGACCTACAGTATTTTAAGTACTTTACATTCAACTATATTTAATTTTTACAGATATTTACTTTTTCACTATAATGTGTGATATACTGATTAAAGCCAGAATGCCACCTGTGTCATGAGTTCAATATAATAGTAAATATTAAATAAATAAATAGACAATAAAGGATTACCTCAGAATTGGATTTGGTGTTATAATTCTTTACTTCTCAGCCTAAATCAAATGAAGTAAGGGTGTCAAACAAAATATTGTGAAACATACACGATATCATGGAATAGTGGAAGTTTGGAATTGACATTAACAGGAACTATAAGGGCTTTACATTAAGTTCAATATTTAAAAAAAATGACATCTTATTCACAGAGAAGATCTTGTAGTATTAAAATTTGCCTTTAGTTCTGAATTCCACATTCCATGTCATAAAAATGGTTAAGCTAATGAAATCCAAGTTGCTACAATGCTTTCTTTTTAGCTTTAGGAGAATAAATGTGATTAGCTATTTAATTACTAAAATGTGTCAACAGTCCAAAGGCAGATTTATAAACTAAAAGGAAAATTACAAATTACTTTATGTGAATGATTCTTCCTTTGAAGATTTGTTGAAGTATAGGTATTGGCTTCAAAAAATGACGAAGTTTATGGGTTCAGAGTAAAAATTCAGCTTTGGAAGAATGAAGTTAAAATAGTTTTAGATGTGATGTTTAATTGGTGTTATTTGAATCCTAAAGAAGAGTTAATAATAGTAAAATCTGTGTGTCTAAGACAAAACTTTAGCATTATATTGAAATACTTGACATAAAAAATTCATTTGTATTCAAAGCTTACATTATCAGAATGCTATCATATGTCTGAGTAGAATAAAAGGAGGAACTATTAGGTTTAAAGATTTCAGCACTCTTGAAGTAAAATTTAAAGAGATCGAATTGTTGGAAAAAGGAGTTTTCAGTGTACTGGAACAACGCCTCCTCCACTTTTGCCATTTGCTATCACGTAATAAGGCTTCTTTGCAATGGTTGCTATGCAGAATATTAAGAATGTCTTAAAAGGTCTTAATCAGGAGTTGTGTGTAGCTGTAGCCTTTTTAAAAAAAAAATCCTCACCTGAGGACTTTTTTTCATTGCTTTTAGAGAGTGGGAGAGGGTGGGAGAGAGAGAGGGGAAAGTGAGAGAGAGGGAGAGAGAGACAGAGAGAATTGCTGTGAGAGAGAAACATCGATCTGTTGCCCATCATCTGTGCCCGAACTGGGGACCAGACCCGCACCCTGGGTATGTGCCCTGCTCGGGAATCGAACCCATGACCTTTTTGTCTAAGGGATAGTGCTCCAACCAACTGAGCCACACTGGCCAGGGTATATGTAAGTCTTTTTAAACATAAAACCTAATATACAAAAGTTACATTCATCTAAACAGTTTCATTATTTCTAAAGAATATGAAAATTTTAATTTTATAAAGAAGATATAATGAAAGTTTTACAGAATTTTATATTCACATTTCCATTTGCCCTTCCCAGTGTAGCATAAACATATGTTCATTTTCTGAATGTGCCATGAACTTGAAAATGTTGTCAATTCCTGGTATAGACCTTCATTTATAAATTAACTGGGCAATTGGAAATCATATATTTGAAGACAGTGAACAGATATCAAGCTCACTAAACTGAATAGTTGCCTTTTGATATAGTTTATAAATGAAGAAAGAATTTAAAATCCTTATAAATATTATCAATGGAGTCAACAGAACATGTATTTATAAAAGAACTGAAAATGATGGAAAAGAAAAATTGGAGGATAAGAAAGGAGGTAAAACATAATTCCCTAAATAAAATACTCAATAGAATTACATGGTAGAACAAATATGGCTGAAAACTAGATGTTGGTTGAATGAACTGAACAACAAATTGGTCCTAGGAAGCTTACGTGATCTTTCTGGTCCAAGGACTTACAGGGGAGTTGTACTGATGGGCTCAGTGGTGGGCCAGACAACTTTGGAGACTTGTGAATAGAGAAGTAGGATCCTAATGCTTCAGTAGAAAACTTAGGGCCTCTTGGTCCCCTGTTTGCAACCTCCTGAGGGACACTAAGAGCTGATGACTGCTGATGGTAAGTAGAGTTACACAGGCCAAGTGAAATAGTAGTCTGCCTAAAGAGGCCTGGGAAACAACAATAGAAAGTACAGAATAGGAGACTTGTATTAAAACAGAGCTTTGAGATATTTAGATTATAGTTTTTGCAAAAGAAAAATAATAAACACATTTAGGGAGACTCAACTAGAGGACAAAGAAACTTTCTAGAACTGTAACAAGATCTTAACATTATAAAAATTCTATTGGCAAACTGAAAGAGGAGTATCATTGTTGAAAGTGAAATGAACATTTTGCAAATAAGTGGAGGAAGTATTTTAAAATAAAGGACAAAATTAAAGAGGTGGTAGTTAGGAAGGAAAAAATACAGACTAGGAGAAGAAATTCATGCGGGAAGAAATTCACTAGCACGTGATTAAATGTGGAAGTAAATAATATGGCAATTGATAAATAAGTGATAAGGGTGTAGTAGTTTGCTACAACAGCCATAACTAAGTACCACAAACTGTGTGACTTAATAGAAATTTCTTGTCTCACAGCTTGGGAGTTGTTGGCTGAGTTGGTTCTTTCTGAGGGCTCTGAGGGAAGGATCTGTTTCAGGCCTTCCCTCCGTGGCTTATAGATGATTGTCTCCTCCCTGTGTCTTTTCATGTCATCTGCCCTCTATGCATGTCTGTCTCTGTGTCCAACTTTCCCCTTTTCATAAGGACACTACTCATTTTGAGTTAGAAACCACTCTAGTGACTAACGGAAATTTGATTACCTCTGTGATATGAGGCTCTATCTCCAGATTAAGTCGCACTCTGAGGTACTGAGGGTTAGAACTCCAACTTATTTTTGAGGAAGGGATATAGTTCAACCCATAACAAAGGGAACTTTTTTTGATCTTAAGAAAAGTCTGGGACAGGAGTCCTTCCCTAGGTCTCACTTGAGATAGTATAGTAAAAATAGGATGGTCAAAGTGAAATTTTTACCTTGATAGTGAGAAAAAAAAGAGTATGAGTGATTTCATCCATTCAGAAAAAATGGTAAAAAAAAAAAAAAAAAGAGGAAACTGAAGAAAGTAAGATAAATATATCAAAGTAAGATGAAAGGGAAAACTCAGGTTCTTACACTAACTGAATGAGATGAATTCCCCATTGAAAGACAGATGTGTTGAAATTGGGCTATTCAAAGCAAAAAACAAAAATAAACAACAAACATTGCAGGTGTATGTTGTTTAAAAACAGTTTTTAAAAAAGTGATAAAGGTTGAAAAGTGGCAGATAGTGTTAGATGGGTAGGCAAGAGGATTCCAGGAAAGTCCAAAGCAAATCAAATACATTATTTATTTCAAGGAGGAATTTAAGGTCCTTTAATGGTACGACATGAAGCATTATGAAATGATAAGAACTGATTCTAGAAAAAGATGTGTCAAAGTTCTTACTCAACAATGTAACAGCCATATAAATAAACATTCTATATTATTCAATGACTTATCCCTTCCAAGAATAACCTTTAGCTAATTAATGATTAAAATCCTTATATATGTTGAAGAATTTCGCTATTGTAAATTATTCTACAACTTTAATTTTCTCTATGTTTTTTATCTGTCCCAAGATCTAAGTAAATTTGACAAAGATGTTAGATTTGTAAACAAATTTACTTTCAATTCTTTGCCTAGGAGCATCTAGACAGAATTTTATGTGCAAAAGAGAGTATTTACATCTAAAAATTAGAGATTTTAAATTAAAATGATTTTAGTGTTGTAGGTGGCTGCTGGGAAAAGTTATTGAAGTCTATTTTGGTTTTGTCAGTGTGAATGAATTACTTATAGAATTCCAAAATTTTATAGTTTGTTTTTATACAGTTGTATATTATCTGCAGAAAACTCAATATTCTGGAAGTTTTGCAAATGATGTTCTCTGTGTTTAGCAAAGACTTGTTCTCCCGCTTTATGAAAGATATTTTAAGATTAAGGACAGACACCACACACACACATACACATGCACACAAACTCATTTTGGGACCAACTTTTGACTCTCCTGTCCAGGGTTTTCATTTGTGGCAAATATAAACTTTCTTAATAACCACTCACATTTGTAAAATGCTTTACGGTGAATAAAGCATATATGTTTTACATATTTTATCTTATTACATGTAATGCACGTGGTAACACCCAATACCTAGGCTGTCAGTTCTGATTCAGCGAATCATAAATCTTACCCACGGCCAAACTCTGCTAATCACTCAAAGAACACAGGGAAGCGCGAAGTACTGGTGGAATATTCCTCTTTCTTGGAGAAACTCCAAGCAGTTAGACATAGATTTCAGAAATGCCCTTTACTTCTGCATTAGGACATGTTATGGTTTTGAAATAACAATAGTTTGGAGCAATGTGTGCAAAAAAAAATTGCACAAAGGAAATTGTTTTGGTTTTGGATTTCCTGTTTTCACAGTTTACTCGACTGTCTAGGCAGGTACTCTTTGGTATTTTTCTGTTGTATATAACATTGATAGCTTTACAAGGCTACCATCTAGTTTGAGGTGATTAGAATGTTTACTAGGACCCTGGTTGAAGTCTTTTGTTCCTTCTCCCAGGCGGGGAGAATGAGATAGTAGCCTGCTGTTAACCCTTTCCCTCCCAGTGCATAAGAGCAGTGGAGTTTGTTCTATAAGGAAGTTTTGCTGAAGTAATCTTTAAAATTTTTCTTCCATAGATTATCAGTATTCTCAGTTTTTGGGCTTTATGCTTGACTACTTGTTTGATATTGTTTAATTTCTTCAGATATTGCTAAGTATCAATAGGGAGGCTCTCCCTAAATCATAAATAGTTGTTTCAGTTATTTCATGTTAATGTCATGTTTCATCATAAGAATCTGCAGGTATGTATTCAAAACTGTTGCTCCTCTAATAGAAATTTGAAATAATGGAATCTAAGGTAGAGGTTTAAGAATTTTATTAAGAACTGAGGCTATTTCAATTTAGTATGTATAAGTCACATGGTGGATCTATTTTATCTTTAACAAAAAAGGGTATGCCATAGTTCTCTTGTCCTTTATTTTCTATAATTATTCTTGAAGTTCACTTTATAATAAGGAGGGCCCTCAAGGCTAGTAACAGATTTTTAAAAAATATCCTCTAGGAAATGCCTGTTTTGGGGGAAACTTGCTCAGTTGCTAGACCAAGAGCATTAAAAAACCCCTTTAGTATATAAAAGCTTTTATATGGCACAAAATTCCTTTTCAAGTAGACTTGTGAACAAATCTAACAGTTTGCTGAGTTTACTTAGATCTTAGGACAGCCGATATAGCAATTTATACATCCAAAGATTCTCACTGTTAATGAAATAAAGATTATTCTTTGAATGGGTCAAACTTATATAAGAATAGGATTTTGAAACTGCTAGAACCTTAGAACTCAGTTAAATTGGCTCACTTATTTTTGAAAGAAGAAATGCTAAATATGTAGTTATTAGATCTAGCATATTGTATCTTTTTTTTTCTTTTGCAATTCCAGTTCTTACAGCCTATATTTGGGCTTAGATGCTATAACTGACTTTACATATATAGGTTTGGTTCTTTAATAATATTGACCGGCTATCTCTGAGTTTTCTTTAAAGATTGTACTTTATTTAGTCACAGAGTAATTGTTCTTAGATTTTACAGAGCCTTTTAAAGATGAATGAAGAAAAATTGGAAACTCTACAGCAGCGGAAACTTCCAGAATGGATGTCTATGCAGAATAAAAGATGTCCTATAGAAGAAGAAAGAAAGGTATGCAGTTCATCGACTGTTCTTTCAGATGGGAAATTTTGTGTAAATTTGACTATAAAATGAGTCATTCCTTACTTTTAAACATTAGGTTTTTAAGTTAGAGTAGCTGTTGTGTGAATGAACCAGAATCTAATCATTGAAAGGGAGAATGGGATTACATTTTGGTTGGGTTTACAAAATGAGATTTTCATACTGTAGACTTTCCTTTTTTAATCTATTTTGCATTGTTGACCTTACTAGTTTGTTGCAATTCAGATAATTTAGACAGTATTTACTTTGCCAAATTTTTATGGTTGAGCAAGTTTAGGTCCTTATAAAGATCCATCAGCCAGTCTTCAGCATTTTACGGCAACATGATTACATCTAAAATACTAATATAATTACAGAAAAAAATATCAATGAAACAGATGTTATGAAAATAGCATTAGAGGTTTGGAAATAAACTTGTTAGAAAAACAACTTTACAGTGGATGGCTTTGTCTTTGTTACATTGTCCTATGGCTTCATTAGTTTATAAGGCATTAGTTGGTAAAACTTAGAACTATAATTTGAAATCTTCAGTGAGATTTATTATTTCAGTGAACATTTACTATTTAATGTGAACTTCATTTGTTCCATTTGGGAATTTTGTTTAACTCAAGGCATCTATTCAGAAGAGTGTTTTTGAAGATGACCTTCCCTTCTTGGAATTCACTGGATCCATTGTATACAGTTATGAATCTAATGATTGTTCTTTCCTATCAGAAGATATTAGGTAAGAGATGGGAGTTTCCTAGTTTCATTGGGGTTTGGAACCTTAGAAGATGACATATTGTGGTCATATTTGAAGCATACTGAGTTTTACAGTTGAGGTGTGTTCCATAGATAATTATTTATACATGTAGAATATCACCTATAAGTTTTAATTCTTTTCAGATAAAAACTTAAAATCACTGAATTAAATTACTTGTTTGCCTGTATGTTCATTCATAAGCCTTTTTATTACTTTAGCTAATTTTTTTACTTTCAGCACTTAAGATGTTATATATATACAACTACCGAATACATGTTTATTTCACCAATTTAGGGGAAAAATGCAAGAATTATTCAAACTCTAAGTGCTCCTTTATATTCCATTAAAATACCAACATAATAATACTGTATAATGGTTGTGATTGCCTCTGTTGCGTTTAGCTAACAACATGCACAGGAAATGATCCTTAAAATAACATTTGAAATGACTGTTAGTATTTTTAAAATTGTCTTTTAAATTAAGACTCTGCAATAATTCAATTTAAGGCTCTTGAACCATTTTACAAGGAAAAATAGTAGGGAATTTATTGAGGTGTTTTTTGAAGTTGTTATATATATTTTTTAAACTAACTTGTACATTAGGTTTAGAAGGAGAGGTAAGTTATTTAGTAATGAATGGTCTGCTGGTGGTAGATCTGTTCTAGAAATAGCATTCAGGTATCCTCACTTTCACTACAGTTACCTGGCCACTTCTGGGTCTTAGGTAGAACTAAATTTGTTTCACAGAGAAGGTAGAGTCTGCTATTTATGATTATATATTAACTCTATCATCTTAGTATGCCATATCTGAACACAGGTGTCATAAGTGATTTGAAGAACGTAGTTTTGACGAGTTGTATACATTTTGTGAAAGGCAGGCAGGTTTTTTTTTCTACCTCCTCTGGCCACCTTGGAAGATTTTTGCTTTTACAAGTTTTCAACAATTTGATTATGGTGTGCCCTTGTTCTTGTAGTTGTGTTTATCTTGTTTGGGGATTCATTGAACTTTCTGGATCTGGTCATAGCTTCATCAAATTTGAAAATTTTCTGCAACGCTTTTTTTCTTTTATCCTCTTACTCTTTGTCTTTCTGGCACTCTATGTATACAAGTTAGATTGCTTGATTCTGTGTCATTGGTCCTGAGGCTGTCTTTTCTTTTAGGTTTTTTTTTTGTTTTTCTTTCTTTTTCTCTCTGTGTTTCAGTTTCAATCTCTTTTGCTGTGTCTGCAAGTTCACTTATTTTGTTCTTTAGTCTCTGATCTGTTTTCCCATCCTGTGAATTTTTGATTTTATTGTCAGTTTTCTTCTCTAGAAGTTACTGTTTTTTAAAATATGTTCCATTTTGGCTCTCATATTCATATTTTCTTTTAAATCTTTGCACGTATTCTGTATATTTATAATAACTGTCTTAATGTTCTTGTCTGTTAATTCCAACATAGTTATTCTTTATATTAAATGATTTTTATACTGTTTATGGGTCACATTTTTCTGCTTATTGTCACGGCTAGAAATTTTTGATTGGACATTGTGATTTTATGTTGTTGTGCGTTAGACTTTGTTGTCTTTCTTCAAAGAAAGGAGCTTTGCTCTGTCAGGCAGTATTAGCTTTCCTTTTGAGGCTTATTTCTAAACTTTATCAGGGGAGGTTTCTATGGTAGTCTCTACTCTGGAAATAATTTAGCAGTATAATAAGGTATGACCCTTCTGGAGTCTTTGCTGACTGCTCCTTGTGATCAGTCAGAATCCCTACTTTCAACCGGGAGGAGGGCAAAGGTGGAAAAATTGGGACAATTGTAATAGCATAAACAATAAAATATTTAAAAGATAAAAAAAGAATCCCTACTCTGACTTTTCAGAACTTTAACGCCTCTTACCTCAATGTAAGCCCTAGGAATTGTAAAGCTTACTTCTCACTGATTGTTTTGTCCAGCCTCATGGTTTCGCTCGGTGCTTGCGAGGCCCGACCTGCTTAGCCCCTGCTCTCTGGAGCGCCACCCTCAGCTCCCCCTGTCCCCACCTCTCTGGCTCAGCCGACCTGCTCGGTTTTGGAGTCTCCTCCCAGTCCTGTTGTCCCGGAAGTGCTCCAGGCAGAAAGCCAGGGCAGCAGCAGAGCTCACCCTCGTTTCCCTTCCCCCAGAGGGCACAGTCCTGTACTGCCTATTTAGTATCTAAAAACTATTGTTTATATATTTTGTTCAGTTTTTTATTTGTTCAGGAGGAAAGGTGTATCTGCTCACTATTACTCCATTTTGACCCAAAGCAGAATTTGAATTAAAATTTTTTTAAAATATATTTTTAGTTTAAAAAAATTTTGAAATAGGTGAATGTAAACAGTAATAAATAATAATACAAGCACTTACATATATCCCACCTAACTTTGTCAAATTGTAATACTAATTTTCTCCAAATTTTTATTGAGAAATGAAATAATAAAATACAGCTGAAGCCTCACGTGTGCTGTTTCTGATTCTCCCCTCCACAGTGCAGATCATTTCTATCATGATGTCACTGTTTTTAGCATTACCTCACATGTTTTCTATAATATTCATAATTTTATATCTCAAAATGCCATATACTATTATTTTGCCCATTTAAAAACTTTCAAAAATGCTCTCATAGTATAGGTATATTTTGTCACTTTTTCACTCAACATTTTATCTTTTTGAGATTTTTTTTGCATATGTAGCTCTAATTTAACCTTTATATAATATTTTATTGTTCCATTATGCCACAATTTGTTCATTCTTTTGCTGATGGAAACATAGTTTCCATTTTTGCCCGTAGTAACAGTATTGCAATAACATCCTTAGACATTTTCTGTGCGGTTGTGCACGTATGAGAGTTTCATATACTTATGAGAAAATCTTGCCAGGTGTTAATGTTTATACGCGTATATCTTTAGCTATATATTGTCAAAGCTTTATCCAAGAGGATTTTATTAATTTACACATTCATCAGTATATGAGCAGTCCCACTGGTAAAGCAGCACTTGATATTGTGCAGCTTTAATATTAGCTAGTCAGATAGATGCAATATTGTATAGGTTTAATTTTCATTTCTCTGATTTCTAGTGAGGTTTCATGTTTTCACTTATTTATTTTGATTTATTGGCCATTTGGATTTCCTTTTTGGAATTGTCTGTTTATGTTTTTCTCTTTTTTTTTTGCTGGATTATTTCTTTTTCTTACTGACTTTTCAAGGAATGTTTTGTATTTTCTGGCTATTGATTAGCAGTTACATGTATCACAGGTATCTTCTACCAACTGTGGCCTGTCTTTTAACTTTTTGAATGATGTCTTTCGTTATGCAGAAGGTAACATTTTAATGTAATTAACTCACACTATTTTCCCCCTACAGCATGAGTCTTTCTGACGGCGATGTGGTAGGGTTCGACATGGAGTGGCCCCCAGTATACCAGAAAGGGAAACAGAACAGAGTCGCACTGATTCAGCTGTGCGTGTCAGAGAGCAAATGCTACTTGTTTCATATTTCCTCTATGTCGGGTTGGTATTTCTTTTTTTGGTTTCATTTCTATGTGGTAGGTAATTATATTATGTCAATTTTATCCCTATAAAATTAAACTATTTAATTGGTACTTCTTTCATTATCTTACATTTATTTAAGTATTTGTGTTCCATTTGATTCATTCATATCCCTGTTTTATTTAATTTTCTCATCTCTTTCACACATTGGTATTATTCCTGCTTTAGAGAGTAAAAAACTAAAGTTTAGAGAGGCTAAATGACCAGAAAGAGACTGTCGGTGTTAGTAGAGGTAACATTCAAACTTGTTTTTTTTGTCATTTTTCAATCGGGACTTTTTGCTTTAGGTAAGAAAAGAAATAAGATGACTATGTATATGAATTTTAACTTAACAGGAACATAAATTTAAATATGAACACATAATGTGTAAGAAGTAGAAAATAAATCCATCATGCTTAATAGAACCTATGAAAATAATAATAAAATGTTATAGCTTTTCCTCAGGGATTAAAAATGTTGCTTGAAAATGAAGCAATTAAAAAGGCAGGTGTTGGAATTGGAGGAGATCAGTGGAAACTTCTACATGACTTTAACATCAAATTGAAGAGTTTTGTGGAACTAACAGATGTTGCCAATAAAAAGGTAGCGGTAATACATATATTATTTTCACAAATAACATAAATTTGTGTTTCACAAAATGTGCCTCCTATCTGACTGTTAGATGTTTTGAAAAAAAATTTTTGTAATGAAGATGTCTCAAATGAGTGTTTCATGATGAAAACCTTCAGTTATAATCTATTGCATTAGCAAATGGTTTCTTTAAGCAAGTACCTCCCCGATATTAGTATTATTTCACTTTGTTTCATTGTTTTCAAATTTAAATGTTATATTTTAAGTTTGTCTCTTTAATCCATTTTAATCCATTTACACCAATACCCAACACCTTTTATTTATTTTTTATTTTTTTTTATGGAAGGGGATAATGGCAGCTCTTAGGTATGATGCTCTTGGTGGAAGTTTGACCTCAGTTCCATCACCCATATTTCACATATTTTATTAATGTAGTCATTAGGTTAAATTCTCATAGTTAGCCAAGCATTCATTTCGCTGGGAAATAAAAAGTCTGCCAATCTGTTCAAACTTTTTCCCCCATGAAACAATAGTTTTACAGTCCAAGACTTTTAGTAACTACATTGGGGAAATTCCAGAATTCTTGTAATATGGACTGCAAATGAGGTTTTTAGTGACAGGAAATTTATGAAGGACTATCTGTGTCTTGTATTTTGGTGTAACATTTTTAACTTTATTTGTGGCATGACCATTTGGTGGTATTTAGGAATATATGAAAACAGAAGGGAATAATTTTTGCTATGTTGGTTGTTCATTATTTCTAGCTAAAATCTACAGAGACCTGGAGCCTTAATGGTTTGGTTAAACACCTCTTTGGCAAACAGCTTCAGAAAGACAATTCTATCCGCTGTAGCAACTGGAAAAATTACCCTCTCACTGAGGACCAGAAACTGTATGCAGCTACTGATGCTTATGTATGTACCAAAGATTTTTAGACTATGATAAATTTTTTAAACCTAAAATAATTTATTTTAGAAAAATTATGTTGTGGTAGTGGCACAAACTCAACTAAGATATTTTAAATCGGTTTGGCGTTAAAATGCTTAGGAAGGCATTTAGTGAAGCAGTTACTTCTCAATATTAATTAACAAGTACCAATCACCAGATTGTTCAATGCTAGTTATTTTTTATTGTCACGAAGCCAAAATAATGTCCAATTTGTATGTAAAAAATAGGAACTTCCTGAAAACATGAAAGGCTAATAAGCTGAGATGAGTACGCACAAATGGTAATGATGATGTGTTTGATTTATAAGCATCTCCAGACTAAAAATAATAATGAGACAGTTTCTATATTGAAACTGGCCTTATTTCTTATATTTATATTTAAAATGTAAAAATTTAGAAAAATTGCCTCCAGATTTAGCTTTTCACTGCTGTTAGTCAGATGCATTTTCATATTAACATATTTGTACGTAGTGAAATCTGGCCTTATCTTTATGTATAACACTATTGGTTTTTTTTTCAAGAAGTGTATTTTATATTTCGGTGAATTATTTTTACCTAATTTATACTTTGAATTGTTTATTTATTTATTTGAATCCTCACCCAAGGACACTTTCATTGCTTTTAGAGAGAGAGGAGGTGGGGTGAGAGAGAGAGAGAGAGAGAGAGAGAGAGAGAGAGAAATTGATATGCGAGAGCAACATTGATGGGTTGTCTCCTGTACACGCCCCAGCTGGGGACTGAACCCACAACCTTTTGGGGTATAGGACAGTGCTCCAACCAACTGAGCAGCCCTACCAGGATCCTATTTATACTTTTATTTGTAGGTAAATCTCTTGTTTCTTCTTCTTTTGTTTTTTTTGGCATCTATATTTTAGGAATAGATTCTCCTTTATGAACAAAATAATTCAATTTTGTTGGAAAAGAGGTTGCTAATTTTGTTTTATGTTGTGTTTTTTTAAAAAAATAAAACCTGTTGAGAACTAGCTCAAATTCTGCAGTATTTTTTTCATGAATAATTAGTACGACTTGATTATTCCTATCAACAGTACCGAGAAGGACTGTTTATATATGATTACCATTCTTAGCTGGTTAAATGAGATATGTGGAATTGGATACCTGTAGTGGAAAATATTTTCTTACTTGATTGTATTTTGTCAGATTCCACTTGTAAGTTATTTGATTTAGGTACCTTCTTGTAATATTAGATGTTAAAACATGAAAACTTAAACTTTTATTTTAAAGCATAGCCCACTTCCTTTCTCCATTCTCACAATTGGTGTGGTAAATAAATGAAGACATTTAAATCTTCGTGTAACATAATAGGTTGAATTCAGCTTTTTGGGTGTTTTGGACTTTTGTAAAGATGAGTAGTAATTTTGGTGATTGTTATTTAGTATGATCTTTTCATTTTTCTGTTTTTCCATAGGCTGGTCTCATCATTTATCAAAAATTAGAAATTTTGGGTGATGCCGTACAATTGTTTTCTATAAATAAAGGTATGTTATGATCTAAAAATAAAAGATAAAATTTGAACTTGCCCTTTTATGAGGTTTAGCTCCGAAAAGACAATATTCACACCAGTGCAAAGTAGTTAGTATTATTACAACTTCTTGAGTGTCTGAGCGGTTTTGACATTAAGTTGACATCTATTTGGCCAAAGCTCAGGGTTTCAAGCACATCACTTGTGGCAAAGCAGGACTTACTACTTTTCCTTTGTAGCATTGCTGCTTAATATGCTTCTATTGTTGGGACTTTGTGGCTTTTATAACATCAGTGACAAAACTAGCTACCTCCTAGTTTAGAGATTATATTGAATACATCCTTGCTATAAATCTTGAAAGTGTGTAAGGTGCTTTATAGTTGGTTTAAATTTCTAAGTGTTCTCCAGGGTAGGGTAACTCTGCTGTTTCTCTCCAAAGAGAATGGCCACTGCAGCTGGACTGCCTTTCTCAGATATCTCGGTCGGTTGGTGATTGCACACATATGGACGAGAGTGGAAGGGCTGGGGCTCTCTTGTCACATGGACCAGTGGTGGAGTCCCAGCCACATGACCCGGAATTACCTGTTTCCCCATGTTAAGAATGTGGGTGATAGCAAAGAATCTGTCTTATAGAATAGTTATGGGCACTGAAAGGGTTACATTATTACAAGTACCTATATTGACCTGTATAGAGTTCTTATTACTATTCTTGTGGCTTCCTCTTGGAGATTTTAAATAATCGCGTGTGTTACGATGTTAATTAAATTAGGTGATTTTGCTAAATAAACTTAAATCTGTGGGACGATCTTCTTATATGAAATAATATCCTTTATAATTGTCTTCAAAAGGGATCCGTACCTTCTGTGGTAGACCCTCCTTTATGTGTTAAGGTGGAAGATTTCTATACTTTTCTTGGAAAACAGCTTCTGATGCGTGCCTGCTGACTCTCTGTAGCCAGAGGTAGTGTGGCTAGAAGTTATCTTGCTTAACTAAGGCAGATGATACATTTTTGAAGTTGATCTAGAGAAGAAGATATAAGAACTTATTTAACTCATAACAGACTTAAATTCAACAGAGGGAATTCATGATTTTCTGGTTTGCAGAATTACTTGCAGGTTAAACTTTCAATTCTGTCTTTGATGTAAATGCTTCTGAGGAATGTTTAACATATTTTTCACTAAGGTAACATATATTTATAAGTCAGCACTGGAGTCCTGGTATCTCTGTACCTGCCATTGCAATACTACATTCTTTAACCTTCAAGTTTATTCTCTGTTACATTATATGTGTATGTGTCTTGTGACATCGGAAGTGAAGTAACTTGACCAGGACCCCAGTGAATTGTAACTGAGATTAGCCTTCCTTTTCTTCTCTCCTGCCTCCTTCCCTGTCTTCGTCCTGTCCTGTTTTTAAGAGGAATCAATCTCACTTTTCTTGAATTTCTGTGGTGATGATGTTTTCAAGTGACCACTTTTGGCTTGTATTATAAGATTATGTTTTTTCTTATTAATAGATGAGAACATCAGAAAATAAAAGGATATTTGCACATGGTTTCACACTGTTAAAATATTAGCTTATTTCCAAGCTGGTAGCTAATAAGCACTAAATGATGCAGTAGTTAAATATATATTTAGTCATTTATTAAATATTGTTGAGTGCTTTATGATATGGAGGTACAGTCGTGAACAAGACAGACATGAATCTGTTTCCTGAGAGGAAAACCTTCAGATTTGTTGGGGGATATAGATGAACAAAAAAAAACAATTGCAGTGAGGGGAGGTGAGTCTTTTGATGTGAGGAAATGAGGTGCTATAGTCAGCACACAGGAGAGGCATCCAGTTCGTATTTGGAGGTACTGGAGAATATTTTTCTGGAGAAAGTTACGTTTATGGCATGACCTGAAACATGAGCAGGAGTTAGTCTGAAAAGTGAGGAAGAGCCTCGTAGCCACAGGAGGTAACAGGTGCAAAGTTTCAGAGGTAGGAGCAGTTATGGTATCGATAGGCAATTGAAAGTAGTTCAGTGTGATGAACTATTGAGTATGACAGGGTGGACCCAACCAGTGTGGCTCGGTTGGTTGGGTGTCGTCCCGCAAAGCGAAACATTGAGGGTTCGGTCCTGGGTCGGGCACTTATGAGAGGGAACCAATCAGTGTTCCTCTCTCACATCAATGTTTCTCTCCCTCTCTTTCTCTCTTCCTTCCCCTCTCTCTAAAAATAAATAAAATCCCACCCCCCCAAAAAAATATGACAGGGTGAAGAATGAAGGAGAAGCTGAAAAAGGAAAGCAGATAAGCCATGTTAAGGAGGTGGTATTTCCTTCTAAGAGCTATCAAGGGTTTAAATGACATGAATTACATTAACTAATAACTTGGGCTGTAGAGCAGAAGATGGATCGATTGTAGGAGGGCAAGGGTCACGGTGGGGAGAATCTAAGTGAGAGGTGATGGTGAACTGGCTTGGCCGGTTGTATGGAGGATGGAGAGAAGTGGATTGAGTCAGAGTAGATTTAATAAAGCAGTAGATTCAACAGAATTTGATGTGATGATGAAAGCGATGTATCAAGGATCATTCTGTGCTGTTGGCATGAGCAACAGGGATGAAGAACATTGGAGAGGAGGAGCAAGATTTGGGGTGAAGAGCCATACAGTTGATTTTAGGTATGTTAAAGGGAGGCAGCGTGTGAGGTAGCCAAGTGGAGGGGGCCAGGAGGCACTTACACGCAGCCTGTGACTGAGGAGACAGTTGGCATTAAAAATAAAGAATTGGGAGTTGGAGGTGAAGAATTGGGGCTAAGAATCTTGAGGAACTCTTAGCATTCAATATTTTCCTGGAGGAGGGGACACCAGAGGAGTAGCCACAGGTAGAGAACGGATTTAGGAGTCTGGTGTGTAGAAGGCCAAGCAGAGAATGTGTTTTAAGTAGGAGGATGTTATCAACAGGTTTAAATTCTGCTGAGAGTTTGAGAAACTGATGACTTAGAATTAATCATTAGACTGGGCAACATGGCAATTATTTGTAACTTTCTATTACAGCACCTTTGGGGTACTGGGTGACAGAAGAGCATTTCGGTGAGAAAGAGGTCCTTAAAGTATGTGCTGTTAAAACACAAGCGTCCACAGGCTTTGGTACATGAAGGTGTGATAATCTTAACAACAGTAATCTTAGTGGAATGATGGAACAGCTGGTTTTTTTAGAAGCTTGGTATGGAAAGGGAACGTTCAGTTGTTCATATAATATATTTGTGAGGTGTTTATTATGGGTCAGGCACTGTTCTGGTTGCTGGGGAAATTCACTGAACGAAACAAACCAGGTCCTTTCACTTCACTTGACTGAAGTGAGAGGGAACCAGCCACGTGGACGTCTGAGGGAGGACATCACGGGCACAGGGGAAGGAAGAGCCCAGCCTGTGAGGGCGATGGCTGCCTTGCGGAGGAAGGACGAGTGTAACAGTGAAGTAAGGAGGGGTGATAGGAGGAGGAGGAGACTCGGCTGCAAAAGTGGCTTGAGCCAGATCATTTAGGGCCTTATAGACTATGAATCTGGCTTCATATTTTATTAATTAAAATAAATGCAATGATGAGTGATGGAAAAACCCTTACAGAATTTGGAGGAGGAGAATGGCATGATTAAAGTTTTATTTTAAAAGGATTTTTCTGGCTGCTATAAGAGGCCAAGTGTTTAGGCAAGGAAGTCAGATAGGAGGCTCTTGTAATAGTGCAGGCGAGAGGTAACAATTGTTTGGATTAGGCTGGTAGCAAGCGAGATGAGAAGCGGTAGACTCTGTATACTGTGAAGGATTTGCTGATGAATTCTCCATCAGGGGTGAGATGTCAAGACTGAGCAGACAACCAAGATATTTTGGTTGGATTAACTGAGTGAATGAAGGATCAGTTAATGGAAAGATTATGGCAAAGGAGAAGGTTTTGGTGAGAAAACTCTAGGTTTAAGTTTTGGACGTGCCTAATTTTAATGCTTATTGCTATCTAAGAAGATATCTCAGTTAGCAATGTGATTCAGTAGTTAGGGGAAAGGTGGACATTGGAGGCATAACTTTGGGAAGCATCAGCGCACAAATAAATGGTAGTTAAAACGGTGAAACTGGATGAGATAAACTAGGGAGTGAATGGAATAAAGAACAGAAGAGGCCCACGTGTTGACGTCACGGGCCACGCATATCCAGGAAGACGAGGAGAGTGCAGCCAGGAGGACTGAGAAGGGTTGGCAATGAGAGCAAGTATGGGAGGTGAGGTGTGGGGAAGCTAAGTGAAGAAAACATTTTAAGTAGGAGGAAGTTACCAGCTGTTTTAAATACCTTGGAGAGTTTGAGTGAGATGAGGAACTAGAATTGACAATTGGATTTGACAGGGGGAGGCTGTCGGTGACTTTTGCAAAAGCAGCCGTGCTGTCCTGGGGGGCCTGAAAGCCGACTTGCAGTCCGTGGAGGAGAAATGGGGGTAGAAAATTTGAGACAGTGAGTGTGGATACCTCTTTCAAGACATTTGCTGTAAATCAGAGTAGAGATGCTAATACAGACTAAGTACTAAGTGGCAGATGGGGGTGGGAAGATGAGATAGTTCTCTTTGCGTTTCTGCGTACTTACTGAACTGAGTTCTTAAGAGCTGAGTTGTTCCCTGAGTGAAAGGAGGGACAAGCTGCCTTTGGAGGCTGGAGAGAAGAAGAAGGTATGAAATCGTCATCTTGAGAGTGGGAAAGCAGGAAATGTCAATGATTAGCAATCATTACTGAGGGTTTGAGATTTGTGTCATGAATTTAAAACCAAATGAAGTGAGTCATCATAGTTGTATTTTATTTTCAGCTGTATTGAACTGCCTGGGTTAAGGCATCAGGTAGGTAAAAAAGCTGGGTTTAATTATAGCAGGGGTTTTGCCAGGTAGGTACCATGCAGGGAAGAAGGAGCAAAAGAGTGAGTCCATACAAGCATATGATTTCTATGATATGGTTAAGAAAGGAAAGTAAGACATGGTGATAAGTGGGAATGGGAAGGATAATGGGCAAGGAAAAGGTGCTTAGCGTCCATGGATTTGGCTCTGACAGTGTGGAAGAATGGCTGTATCGTGGAAAGCGTGTTTGAAAGGAAGAGAGCATGCTGGTGTTTAGAGGGTAGAATGCTTGCCATTCAAGTTTGGATGTGGTAAGTTCATTGGAAGTGACAAAGTCAGGGGTATAACTGTGGGAATGGATGGCTGAGGTCAGTTGAAGAAAAGATTGTTGGAAATGGAGGGATCAAGGAACTGAAAACCCACACTTTTAGGTGGAGTATCTCTGTGAATGTTGACATCACTAGAAATTATCACAGGAGTAGTAGTGAAGGGAAAGACAGTGAACCAGGTGCTAAAACCTTCAGTGAATGAGGAGGTATGATCGTAAGCTAACTGCAGCAATCAGGAATGGCAGGTGTTACATGCTTCCGAGGAGCGGGCCTATTGGAAGGACAAGGGAAGGGGTAATGAAGAGTAAGAAATTCCAAGCTGGTGAAGGGTTTGGAAAATGAGAAGTGGGTTTTATGTGTAGATGGCGAATGATGTGCCCGACAGAATGAGGTTGAGAGTTTGGAAGATGATCAGTGATTGGAAGGGCTTGCATTTCGTTCTGGTGATGACTGATAGGGCAGTAAGAAATGGCTGTTGGGTAAGGCTTTGTTTTACCAAACTGTATTTAATAAGCAGCCTACCTGGTATTAAAGTAATTTCTGATTTTAAAATATGCTGATGGGTTCAGATTCTCATTTCTACCTTCTGCTTTGGTTGATAACTACTGGGTTGTAGTATGTATGAATGCAGATCATTTTGAATTTATTCTAAAACTTAAATAGCAAAAACATGAAAGGAAAGGAAAGTGACTAGTGATTTGGAACTAGGACAAGGAAGTCTTTTTGTTGCAGTTTATTTAAAGAAAGAAAGTGAAAATGTGAGCCCTAATGCTGTTTAAATAAATAGCTAACTAAATATCTCTGCTTTGTGGTATGCAAATTAATATTGACTTTTTTTTTTTCCCCCAGAGGAAGAAATAATACCTAGTAATGTGAGGAAACAATTGACATCAATGTCTGAGGAGATGGTGGATCTGGCTAAGCATCTTCCTGACAGTATCAGAAAACTGGAAAATCCACAGAGGTTAAATATCATCTTTTTAAAAATCAATCTGTTTGTTCTTACTGCATTTTCCTGTCTCTGGGAAATTACTGTTCACTAAGGTAGACTCATTTAAATGTGCTTGAATACATGCACACAGATAGATGTATATGTTTGAGAACTGCCTTTCCAGTTGTTGAATTATGCATCAAAAAGTTTAAGGCTTTTCTGTCTGCTTTGTTTTATGAAACAAAACAATAAAACTCGTAAGTTCATGTAACGGAAAATATTTAAGATTCAAAGTTGTCTTTTTCTTGGTGTTTTTGGGCATCTTTAATTATAAGTATAGTTTGGTCACTTGAAATCTATTAAAACATCTATAAATAAGTAAAATAAACTTTTATACCTAGTAACTAGCTTTATTTTTCTGGTTATTATCTGATTATTATATAAGAATTCTACCTAATCAGTAGACTATTAGAAGCAAGAGGCATTCAGATTTTAAAGATCATTTTATAGCTAGTTAACTGGATAACCTGAGATACTTGGATTAATAGACATGGCACTACTGACTGGTGCTGCGTTGCCAGCTCTTTCTGAGACCAGGCCTTTCCCTAGTCTTAATTGCTAAATAACTTCATTGTTACATTTCTAAAAGCAGCATTGTTCTTAAACAGTGAATGATTACCATGTGACAATATAATTTTGAGGCAAAAAGACTTTATAGAAATATGAAGCACTTAGTTAAAATAGAATTAAAAAAAATTAAATTTATTGGGGTGACATTGGTTCATATAGCCATGTAGGTTTCAGGTGTACATTTCTGTGATACGTGATCTACTTACTGCATCGTGTGCCCACCGCCCAAAGTCAAATCAGCTTGTGTCACCACATGTTGGGCCCCCTTTGCCCTTTACCACCTCCCCACCTGCTTCCCTGTGGTAACTGCCATGCTGTTGTCCTTCTGTGTTTCTGAGTTTCAATTTTATTTCCCACATATGAGTGAAATCATATGGTTCTTAGCTTTTTTCCCAACTGACTTATTTTCACTTAGCATGATACTCTCAAGAGGTATCCCCATTGTTACAAATGGCAGTATGCCATCTTTTCTTATGGCTGAGTAGTCGTCCATTGTATATAGGTACCACATCTTCTTCATCCAAGCCTCTATCCAAGCCTTCCTATTTCTAGAAAGGACACTTTGTAGAAATATGAAGCAGTTAGTTAAAATAGAATTCTGACTCTGACAAAAGGAATGCTAACGTGGTCTTTGTTGGATAAGATTTATGATATAGTTTCACTGAGAGATTTCAAAATATGATAGAGAGATACAGCTCTTTTTCAAAGTCGTTTCCCCCTAACAATTTAAGTAGCTTTTATGTAACTGAGAATTTCTGAAAGATGTACCTCTCAAACAGGGAAGGATACCAATTAAGCCATTTCTTACTCGTTTTTACAATTTTCCATCCATAAAAGAAGAAAAATCACTGTTTATATGATATTTATATATATTTCAGATATTTTCTTAGCAATTAAAATATCTGTGAATGCTTTATGTAATGCCAAAGCTAAATAGATTTCCTTAAAACTTGAGACTGGAAACTAGTGGGTTCATTTTTAGGAAAGACAGATCTTGTAAAGTTTTAGTGTCAAGACAAGAACAAGTTAAATTTCTAATTTCATGCTCTTTGTAACAATTCTACAGTAATACCTAATATACTTAGATTATACTTCATAACCAGAAGGGAACAAAAAAAAGCCTTTTAACAGCAAAATACATGCTGTAAACATGAATTCAAGCTCACTTAACTTTATTTCCAGTGGAGTATATGAAGCTACAGTCAGAGCATATTTGTTCTTCGTTTATAGAGTTTGGCAAGCTTGGATAGCCAGTTAAACTTAAAACCAGGCATCGATAGGGAATGTTATGCACATGACAACAGCTGGAAGTTGTAGTTGTTTGTCTGCAGGGGAGGACAAAATTATAAAATTTAAAAACAAAATAGTACAGTGCGAGGTTTGTTACGGAAGGGAACAACTTTATGCTTCAGCAGACATGGGAAAGTATTGGATTGTACAGTACTACTTACTGATTTAAATTCAGTACTTATCTGTTGTGCTGCTGTCATGTGCTTGACATTCTGCTGGGCGCTGAGGTTGTCTGCAGGCTACTAATATACGCAGTAACAATCCTGTGAAAGAGGGAAAAGTATGCTATTCATTACTGAAGAAGGCAGGGCTGCTTTTGATGTTATTTAGAGTAAATAGTTATCTTATGTGAAACATGCTCTTCTCTGATGTTAGCATAGAATAAATGAGTCCTTATAGTCTTATCAATCTCTGTGTCACTGTTGATATATTTATATGTCACAGCATTCCCCATGCATTTAACAATTACACTGGGACACATACCTGTTTCAACTAATGTATTTACATACAGGTCTTATATTTGTATACCTGTGTATACCGATAGGAGTTTTTGAAATATAAGATTTGAAGAGTTTTAGAGTGTTAGAGTTAGTGAGTTTTTAGGTTTGAATTTAATTTTGGTTTTGATGTTTTTGGTGTAGACTTTGTCGACTTAAGCTGAGCTCAGCTTTGGAGTACTGGTAACAGTTCTGTTTTCAGTGTGAAAACAATTCACAAAATAGCCCTGGCTGGGTGGCTCAGTTGGCTAGAGTATTGTCCTGATACGACAGGGCTGAGGGTTTGATCCTTGGTCAGCAGGAATCAACCAATGAATGCATAAATAAGTGAGACAACAAATCGATGTTTCTCTTTCTCTCTTTCAAAAAAAATCAATAAATAAAAATTTAAAAAAGCTTGTAAAACAGTTCAGGACTTTTGACAGTTTATTTCTATGAGTGATCCAATCTTTGTTTGAATCGTCAATACAGAACTTTGAAAGTCATGTCAGTCTGACGTCACTTAGCATGATATTCTCTCTACGGGTGTCCAGCCTGTGGCCTGTGGGCCGCACGGGGCCCAACACAAAACAGAAATCTGCTTAAAACATTATGAGATTTTTTTTGTGATTATGTGTCTCAATGTATTTAATGTGTGGCCCAAGACAACGTCTCTTCTTCCAGTGTGGCCCAGAGATGCCAAAAGTTTGGACACTCTAGACCCATCCATATTGTTGCAAATGTCAGTATTTTATCTTTCTTATGGCTGAGTAGCATTCCATTGTATATATGTACTACATCTTTTTTATCCAGTCACCCATGGAAGAACATTTAGGTTGTTTCCATGCCTTGACCACTGTGAATAATGCTTCAGTGAACATAGGATTATATATATCTTTACAGATAAATGTTTTTAAAATTTTTGGGTAGATACTCAGAAAAGGGTATCTATTATAGTAGCTCTACTAATTTTTTGAAGACCTTTCATACAGTTTTCCATTGTGTCTGTACCAGTTTACATTCCCATCAGCAGTGTACGAAGGTTTATTTTCCCCACAGCCTCTCTAGCACTTGTTATTTCTTGTCTTACTGATCATAACCATTCTAACAGGTATGAGTTGATGTGTCATTGTGGTTTTGATTTGAATTTCTCTCATAGCTAGTGAAACTGAGCATCTTTCATATCTCTGTTGGCTGTTTGTAAGTCTTCTTGGGAGAAGAGTCTGTTGAGGTCCTCTCCCATTTTTAAATTGGGTTATTTTTTTCATTGTTGAGTTATATGAGTTCTTTATATATTTTGGATATTAGTCCCTTATCAGAAGTATTGTTTGCAAATATCTTCTTCCATTTGGTTGGTTTATTTTTTGTTTTGTTAGTGGCTTCCTTTGCTTTGCAGGGGCTTTTTAGTTTGATATAACCACATTCATTTATTTTTACTTTTACTTCCATTTCCTTTCAGGTCAAATTCATAAAGTTCTCTCTGAAACCAAGGTCCATGTGTTAAGTGCCTATGTTTTATTCCATGTATTTTATTGTTTCAGGTCTTATAGTTAGGTCTTTGATCTATTTTGAGTTAATTTTTGCGTATGGTGACAAAAGGCTTAGTTTTATTTTTTTGTATGTGGTTTTCCAATTTTTCCCAACTCCAGTTCTTGAAGAAGCTTTTTTTTCCCACTGTATGTTGTTGGCTCCTTTGTCAAAAGTTATTTGTCTTTATATATATGGTTTTATCTTTGGGCTACCAATTCTGTTCCATTGGTCTGTGTGTCTGTTCTTCTGCCTGTACATGCTGTTTTGATTATTGTCACTTGACCATATGATTTCACTCCTATCTGGCGTATAAACCAGAAGACAACAAATGAACAAAGAAAACAAACAAAAACTCATAGACACAGACAACAGTATGGTGGTGACCAGAGGGGAGGGCGATGGAGGAGATAGAAGGGGATAAATAGGGTCAAATATATGGTGACAGAAGGAGTCTTGACTTTGGTGAACACACAGTGCAACATACAGATGATCTATGATATACTGTAGAATTGTATACTTCCAACTTACATAATCTTATTAACCATTGTCACCTCAGTGAATTTAATAAAATTAAAAGTCATGTCAAATTTTATTAAGGATTGATTTTAATGAAAAATTAGAAGAGCTAAACAAAAACATTAGTTAAATAGTAAAGTATGTCTTTTCGCAACATACTCCTTTTTCTCCTTTTAATTTCTACTTTTATGAAGTAACTAAAAAATTTGCTGTAATATTCCCTATAACCAGTAGTTAAGATAGTGTGCCTTATTTTACAGTCTAGCAGTGGTTTTCCTGTTTAGTTAACCAGGTTTGGTTATAATATAGCCATTTAAAGTCACTTAGTTAAAATCTTATATTAGCAATTATATTTAAGAAGTTAAGAAATTCAGTTCACTTCAGATCATAAAAATTTTAACTTAACATATTAAGGTGTATGTGTTTATAATCCTTTGATACACATCATGGCTTTTTCATCAAATATAAGCCTGACGTTTGGAGTTTTGAAGAATGTTTCTTGTTTAAATATACCCATATGTATCATCTACAATTTCCAGTTTCAGTTTCTTTAAAAATGGAGTGAAAACTCAAGATACTTGAAGAAATCTGAGACTTTTCCTCTAAACTGTTATAGTTATTTGAACTAAATTAGATTGAACCTTTTTTATAAAAGGAAATTTGCTAAATCTTTCCACATGTTCAACTTAAAATTCAATGAAATAGTGTTTGCTTTTTTTAATGGTTATATATCATTGATTTGATTTACATTTAATTAAATTACTTAGCATAAAAAGCATGGCTGGCAAGAACATATACTATGGGACCAAGTGCTGCTGCACTTACTAAGCGTACAAGTCAACTGCTGAATGCAGAGATGCATTGCTGTGTTGGGCAGTAGCCTGCCTCCTATCAGTATATAGTGGGCATTAGAGGATGAAGAACAAAGTTAGTCCAATGTGTAATTGAAAAACAAAACAAAACAATGTGTCCTTGAAGTGAAGTCAGTTTAGAAAGTTCCTACTCATTCAAAAGCATGAACACATTGTCCTTATAGTTAATGCAGTTAAAGCTAAGGTAACTTTTCTTGATTTTTTTTTTTTTTTAGGGTTTCTATACTATTGAAGGATATTTCAGAAAATCTACATTCACTGAGGAAGGAGATACTTGGTTCTACTGAGACTGAACTGAGGCCTAGCAGTAATTTTAACTCACTGCGACTGGAAGACCCAGCTGCTGGGGGAGCGCAACAGAATCAAATTAGAGAAGATAAAGCTTTTCCTGAAGTTAAAGATGAGACGTGGGATACAACACTTGATAATTTATTTACGCATGATGGAGAAAATGTGTTTGGAAAGGAAGTGAAACAAGAAGATGGTTTTGAAGATGGACTGGAAGACAATAAGTTGAAAGGGAATACAGAAGGAATTTGTTTGATGTCATTAGATATTACAGAATATGAACTCCAACTTTTGGAACAGCAGGCTCAGGAACAACATCTTAGTGATGTTACTTGCAACTCCGAGGTATTAAGTAAAAAGAAAACAATTTTCATTCAGCCAAAGCGGTTGGCTAATTTTTTAGGTAAAAGGGCACGTAGTAAGTATTTTAGGCTTTGTTGATGACACAGTCTGTTGTAACTTCTCAGTTTTGCCAATTTAGTGTGAAAGCAGCTATAGATACATGTAAATAAATCAGGTTGTCTGTGTTTCAGAAAAACTTCATTTACAAAAACAAAAAGTGGGCTGGATTTGGCTTGTGAGCCATATTTTGCTACTCCAAAGTTTGTATAATAAGCAGCATCTTGTAGTTTCATGTGGAAACATTTTATAGTGTCAATACACATTTATTGTAATTTGCTATTTTTGCATTTCTCCTGCCTGTTATCCAATAAATGTTTCTGCTTTCTTTTTTGGTTCCCTACATATCTACTAGCGTCTACTCTTCCAAACTTTAGTTTGGGGAGTAGTTTGATTTCCTCATACAGATTTTCTTTACTTGCTATTGTGAGGGGGTTTATAATAAATTCTTGCTTTTGCTTGACACTAATCTTACTGTCATCTGGAGAGTCAGTAACCTATTTTTTCTTCTTAATAAATTATTGTTAAACATTCTGTACTCTCTCTCAACTTCAAGTTTAGATTGCTAATTACTATGTTCTGATTATATTAGTTTAATTAGTGATATTTTTTTCTTCTGACTAAGTTAAGCATATTTTTTGAAATAATGAACTGGTATTAGAGGAATCATGTTTCTTTTATTGTAAAGACAGGTCATAAAAAGAGACATCATACCGCCTTGTAGTTTCATCGCATTCATTTTTCGTTAGTTTAAAAAAGTTACCTATGATGTCTACATTCGGTAGAATTTTATACTTTTTTTTTTCCAAACCTGTTCTAAGCTTTCAGAAATTAGATTGAAAAGTCATTTAATAGGGTCATATACCCCTCAGTTTTCTAATGGCAATCAAAGTCTCAGTACTTGAAGAATTCTCTGTATTTTGGCCAATAATTAGTAATTACTTCTACCAGTATATAAATACATTTTATTATAAAATGGCTTTCTAATTATTCTCATACCAGTGGTTTATAAAACAGATTCCCTTTTTAGGAAACATCTTTTGCCAACATCTGTGTTACCCTTTATTTTATTTTATTGATTTATTTTTATTGTATTTTTTTCCATTATCATTTATGTCTGCTGTGCCCTTTTCAATCTACGCCCTCTGCCCCTGTTCCCCTGCCCTGCAGTCACCACGTTGTTGTCCATGAGTTCTCTTTCTTTTTTCTTTTTTGTTCGATCCCTCTACTCCCTTTAACCCACCCAACCCCCAGCTGTCAACCTGCTCTGTATCTATGAGTCTGTGTCTCTTTTGCTTACTAGTTCAGTTTGTTCATTAGATTCCACATATGGATGAAATCATACGGTATTTGTCTTTCTCTGTCTGGGCTTATTTCACTTAGAATAATATTCTACAGATCCATCCATACTGTCGCAAAGGGTAAAATTTTCTACCCTAGGAAAATTTCATTTCTTAGGAATTTCCTATTATATATACGCTATAAAGTGATCTTTCATATAATGACACAGAATTATGATCAGGATTTCATAATCTGACATTATTTACCCTAATTATTACCATTTTTATTGCGTAATAATCATTAGCATTTTTTTCTTTATCCATGAAGACCCCACTTAAAAATTAAAATTTTTCTCTCCTTGTATAAAACTAATTTTAAAATGTTTTTTTAAAGGTTAATATTTTCAGGTTAATTAAGGCTATACTTTTTTTTCCTACTTACAATTTAAAGAGTAGGCATTTTTGGGCAGTCTTTCTTCTATATTTCTTCTGTGCAGTTTCCCACGCTGTTGGACATCTGGTTCTTGGGGATTGCCAGATTTTTGTAAAGGTTCCTCATATCTAAGTGTCAGCAATAGCTAAATAAATAACTTACTGATGTTGTTTTTCAAATATATGTAGATCCTATTGTAAAACACTGATTTATTTAAAGGTATTTTTACAATCACAGTACTTTTTGGATCTTTTTGAAATAAGTGAGTAGATAAGAACAACTATTTTTCATGGCTTTGTAGAGAATTTTTCAACCTTGCAAAGAGGCTCTTGTACTCAAAAAGTTTGGGAAACACAGTTTAACATTGTTTAATGATAGTTGTACTTGTCACTTTTTATTCTCATTTAGAGTGTGGGATTTATTTCAAGTCTGTTTAGCTCTCTTTTTTATCTTTCCAATTATATATTTTTCTTTTGTTTTTAAGATTTTTTAAATTTATTTTTAGACACAGGAAGGGAGAAAGCAAGAGAGGGAGAGAAACACCAATGTGTGGTTGCCTCTTGCACGCCCCTTACTGGGGACCTGGCCTGCAGCCTAGGCATGTGTCCTGTCTGGAAATCAAACTGGCGACCCTTTGTTGTGCAGGCTGGCGCTCAGTCTACTAAGGCACACCAGCCAGAGCCCAATTGTATATTTTTCTTTCTCTTTTTATTTGAGTTTTTCTTTATATGTTTACTCCTCCTTCTTTCTTCCCCCCTACCACCCTCTTTTCCTTCTATCTTTTTCATCATATACATAAATATGTTATAAATTTATCTATCAGACAAAAGAGCTTTATTCTCTTAGAAAAGAGTGTATGGAGTCAACTGTACTGGAAATTAATGTTTGAAATCCTTTTTTTTTTTTTTTTAAAGAATTTATCTTCCAAGGATAATGAAGAAGATACATCTTATATAATTGAAAGTGATGAAGATTTAGAAATGGAGATGCTTAAGGTGTGTTTAACATAGTGGAAGATTACTTCCAATTCTTTCTAAAGGACATTTACTTAAATAAAATATTACCTAATTCTACACTGGTCTCACCACAGTGAGGTTGCTATCAATTATGTAACACCACTAGATTTTGTTTTCCAATTCCTCGTTCTTTATATTTTTACATGGTCTATGAATAATGTTTTAGTAGTAGTATACTAATTTTTACAAACTAGAAAATATACTAATATGCTTTCTGTGTTCCCTTGTAGGTCACTTTCTTTTAATCTTTTAACTTTTTCCTGGAGTATAGGTTGTGATTCAGCTCTCCATTATTGAAATAGTTTTCCTTTGCTTCCCATTCATGTGTATCCCTTTTTATTTGGAAGTTCTCTTTTTATACATTCAGTTTTCTTTTTTCTTTCTTTGGTTTCATGTACTATCAGTATTTTATATTGGTTGTATATAATTTTCTAATGTTTTAAATGGTTCATTTTTCCCATTATCACAATGAAATTATTTTTTTATGATTTATTTATTTTCTGTCCCTCAACCCAACTTTCAGTTTCTTTGTCAGGTCCTTATGAATCAGAGATGGACGCTGAGAATGAAAAGTCTAAATAAATCCAAATTAAATGAAAATGAAAATATAGAAGTTCATAGTTATGGATACTTTTTATTCCTAATTTTTTTAGGTCAATGTGATTTTTTTTAACGAAATGAGATTAGGTTCCTGATTCCTTAGTTTGGAGACAGAGTAGTGGGTAGTGATTAAGAATGTGGACTCTGAATTTAGATATGCAGCGTAATCCCAGCTTCTCCATTTCTTAGTTGTGCAACTTTGAGCAAGTTCTTTAGCCTTTTTGATGCTCATTTAACAGTTATTACTTAAGGTACTTTTCAAGAGTTTAGTAGAGCCTGGTATCTGGTAAGTATATAATAAATATTAGCTAATAGTATGAATAGTAAATAAATGCTAAATCATATTCCCTTGTTGGTTAACCATTTCTCTGAGGAGTGCTGTTTAGGTAGCACATTTATGGTATACTTGTGGACTTCCACAAACATATATCGAACCTCTTAGAAGGCAACCTGGATGCCCATGTGAGAGAATTTTATTTTCGAAATTTTTCTACGTATGTTTGTTAACTTGAATAAATAATCAGAACAGAACTTTTATTTTCCTTTTCCAGACCTGAAATGGTTATCTTTAATGTAAAATTTATTAAATGGAAGTTTTAATAAAAAGAGAAAATTGGAACTGTGGTTTAATATTTCTTTCTGTCATTTCTCAGTAAAAAAATTTTACAGATGAAACAATTTTGAAATACCTTAACATTCTTTAAATAGCTAATCTTCATTTAAGAAAGGAAATCAGCTATTGTTAGAAAAAATAAAAGCAAAAGGCTCTATTTCACAATGTGTAATATTTCTTAAGTTAATTTGAATCTTTTTGTTGTTGTTTTGACAATTCCCAAAACATATTTATTGTTTGCTTATAGTTTAAACCATATGCTTACTTAAAAGACTGTGACTAATGTATGATATAGAGAAACTTGTTACAAAAAAGCATTAAAACCTGTGTCTACCTCTTGGGAATTGAAAACATTGAAGTATGATAAAAAATGTTTTAAATTATCTAAACTAAAAATTTATGATAACTCTCCCTAGGGACAGTTCATTACATGCTATTAATGACCCCTGTTTATGCCAAAGTATTCCATCTTTGGCCTTAAGCCTTAGAAACCATTTTTGAGCACATATTTAAAGTGGAGCACACATGTTCTTTTGTGGTTTTTCTCGCACATCTGCCAGATTCGAACAAAATTGTAGGCTCTGTTCATAATACTCCTTTTGTGTTGGGTGAAAAAGATACGACACTGTCAATGATTTTGCTTTTAAAATTATTTTTAAACTTTCAGTCTTTAGAAAACCTAAATAGTGGCGCAATCGATCCAATTCATTCAAAAGGCATAGAAGTGGAAAGAAATCTGAATGTTCCTTTTAAAGAAGATGAAGATGAGGATGAAGCTATTGAAGAGGAAGAAGAAAATAAGGAAGGTAAGCATTGTACTGTGTTTGAAATGACTCACCTCTGATACCTACCACTGACTTTAAATTGAGGGTTCGGTTTTTAAACTTTTTGGAGGTCAAGGATTTTGTGGAATGTAGTTAATTAGGTCCTCTAAACTTGTCATTAATTCCCTAGTGCTTCATAAAGCATAGTCTTGTTATTTATGAAAGTAGAGTAATAGAAGTGTTGTGTCATTTGGTGAGTGTGGTGATGTGAAACTTTGAAAATGTTTTGTTTGTCAAAATTATAAAAAATCTTTAGTGAAGAATCACTAATTACTGATATTAAACATTATTATAAATAGCAAAGATATATAATGTCTGTTTTGCAGGAGTTTATTACTTAAAATAAGTGGCACAATGTCAAATAGCAAAATAGACTGCTTTTCATACTATATATGCTAACTATAGTAAAGAATCCACAAAGTGAACCTCCTATTATTTATGTGTAAGTAATAGAATCTATTTTATCAATCTATGTGGTTTTTCTCATGAGGTAGAATTCTCTCTAGAGCTAGATTTCATCAATGTTATAATGTGGAAATCTAAAGTATATTTTGTAGGCGGGGAGTATATGAAGATGTTAAAAAAAAGTCTCCCTGCTTGTTTTCTTAAATACACATACAACATCAAATCAATTTAGTATTCTATATAGAATTGTTAAAGCTGAGAATTATAATGGTGAATTTTTATTTGTTTAGAGATGAGTTATATTGATTCTTTGCGTTGCTCTTTCTGGGCCACTATGAACCTTTCAGCTTGAGTATAAAATGAAAATCAGTTGAGTAAATTTAACATATTTCCCTAGTGCTGTGCAGTTAGATTTTGGTCAAAGATTTGGTAAAGTTGTAACTAAGACAGAGGTTTTATTTTATCTACGGTCTTCATTTGTGACTATAATGTAATTTCTGATTATATCATTAGTTGAAGGTTGGGTAGAGCATAAAATTTGCATTGGTATATTACTTGCCATGGTTGGGTCTAATGTGAATTTTTAGAAGTATAGCAAATTCCAAAACTTCATTTTTTTTTTTTTTTTTTACAGTGCTGGCCAAGTGTAAACCACCACAAAGTTCTAATCCTTAGAATTAGGAAATTACCAAGGTGTTTACCTAGGATCATGGCTGGTACCCAGAGGGCCAGATTGGTTGGATTTAAAAGACAGAAAATAGCAACCTTTGTTAACTGCCACTCTATTCTTTATAAGAAACCAATGAAATGAAACTTCTGTTCCTTCTCACTGTATGTGCCTCTATTTTAACATAAGTACCCATTTTATTTTATTTTAAGACCATTCGATACCAGGACCAAATGCAGAACAAATTATTTGCCTCAAGTCTTACTTTGGCCATTCCAGTTTTAAGCCGTGAGTATAATCTCAGTTAATTAAATTGCATATTATTCTCTTCTTCACAAGGGAAAAAAGCAAATAATCCATCCATTTAATACTAACCACACAATTTCACTATAGTTTATATATGTGATATTGTATTTCCTATGTGACTACAAAGATAGTTTGAAGTAATATTTATATAAAATTCATACCTGTAAATTATTTTTATAGCAAGGAAAAATGCTTCTTCTTACCATAGAAACTATGGTAAAAAGAAACTAGTTTAAATGCATTAGTAAATGAATCTTAATTTAATGCCGACTTGTTTTTCATTAAATAAGTATCTGTGTGCCTGTTTTGTACATCTTATTCAAAACATGCTGATATAAAAGAAATTCGTAAGACAACAGCTTGAAGAACAATGATACTGTTACCATTTTTAATATAATGCAAATATCTTTACATCTAAGTGGATACATTTACAAGTATTAATATGAGATGAAGAACAAATAAATTTAAATAAAACTAATAAGACTGTAGATATCTAGATTGGATTTCTGTTTCTCTTCCGGGAATTTAAACTTTAATCCATGGAAGCATTTATTCCTTTTTCCCTTTGATCTTAAAATTAAAAAAAAAATTAACTTTGTCCTACATACAGAGAAGTGCACATAAATGTACAGATCAATGAATTTTCACAAATTAGGTACTGTGTGTAACCGCACTCAGATAAGGAAGGATAGGTTGTTATCTGCATACCTTTCCAATTGATTTTTCCCTTAGTGTTTTATTTAAAAAAAGTTCAAAGATATACAGTGACGTTGAAAGATTTTTTTCTATGAATACCCATATATTCAACATTTTACTATACTTAATAACATATTCATTGATCACCCCTCTACCTGTTTCTTAATCTGTCCAGTTTTTAAAATACATCTCAAGGTAAATTTTGGATATCATTACACTTCCCCATAAGTACTTCAGCATATAAATAATTGACTATAGTTAAATATTTATTTATTTATCAGTGTAAAATTTACATACAAGGAAATGGTCAATCCTTAGGTGTATGTACACTTGCAAATCTTAAGTGCACACACTTGCATCCATGTAACCTAAATTTAGAGTTTTAGGGTTCATGCATTTTTATATTGAAGCCCAAAAATGTAAAAGAATTTCTATTAGAGGAAGTAGAAAAATTAGAGGGGTTTCAACTTGTCTCTTGGGTTTCATGTTGGTAAAACAAAACAGCCTTTTGTGTTTTCATTTTCTAGGGTTCAGTGGAAAGTGATTCATTCTGTATTGGAAGAAAGAAGAGATAATGTTGTTGTCATGGCAACTGGTAAGTTGCACTTAAGCAAATAACCTCATCTCTAAAAAACAAAAACAAAAACAGAAAAACAAAAAACTCCCACAAAACCCAATGGTTTTTAAATGCCTGATCTTTCATTAAACTCTCAAAATACAAATACAGTTGTTCTCTCTTAACCACGGTTTCACTTTCTGTGGTTTCAGTTACCCACTGTCAACCATGGATTGAAAATATTACATGGAAAATTCCAGAAATAAACAATTCATATGTTTTAAAATGCTCACCATTCTGAGTAGTGGGAAGAAATCTCTCCGTCCCTTTCTGTCCTGCCCAGGACATGCATCATCCATCCCTTTGTCCAGTGTATTCACACTGTAGATGCTCCCCCATCCCATCAGTCACTTAGTAGCTGTGTCTGTTAACAGAATTGCTGTCACAGTATCACAATGCTGGTGTTCAAGTCACCTTTATTTTACTTAATAATGGCCCCAAGGTACAAGAGTAGTGGTGCTGGCAATTTGGATGTGCCAGAGAAAAGCCATAAAGTACTGTGTTTTAGTGAATAGGTGAGTACAGTGCATAGATGCTTAAATTTATGATTGTATTAGCTCTTACAGAGATATAAAGCTTATTTGTATTTTTCTGTAGGATGGCTCTAGTAGAGCTTAGTTTCTTTAAATTTATTCAAAACAATTTTGTTAGATTGTGTTGTGACAGCTGTCATACCAGCGTGCATTTAAAAAAAAACTAAGCTTATCAGGCTCCAGCCAAGATGGAGGCATAGGTAGATACGTTTTGCCTCCTTGCACAAACAAAAAAAGGAAACAACCAATTTAAAAACAAAAACAACCAGAACTTCCAGAAAATCAAACTGCATGGAAGTCTAACAACCAAGGAGTTAAAGAAGAAACATTCATCCAGACTGGTGTGTGAAGACAAAGAAATATGGTCCAACTGAAAGAACAGATCAAAACTCCAGAAAAAGAACTAAGCAATGAGGAGATAGCCAACCTATCAGAGGCAGAGTTTAAAACATTGGTAATCAGGATGCTCACAGAAATGATTGAGTATGACTGCAAAATAAAGGAAGAAATGAAGGCTATACAAAGTGAAATAAAGAAAAATATACAGGGAACCATCAGTGCAGGTAAGGAAACCAGGAGTCAAATCAATCATTTGGAACAAAAGAAAGAAATAAACATTCAACTGGAACATAATAAAGAGACAAGAATCCAAAAAAAATGAGGAGAGGCTTAGGAACCTCTGGAACAACTTTAAACGTTCCAACATCCAAATCATAGGGGTGCCAGAAGGAGAAGAGGAAGAGCAAGAAAGTGAAAATTATTTGAAAAAGTAATGAAAGAAAACTTTCCCAATCTGGTGAAGGAAATAGACATGCAAGTCCAGGAAGCTCAGAGAGTCCCAAAGAAGTTGGACCCAAAGAGAAACACGCCAAGACACATCATAATTATATTACACAAGATTAAAGATGAGAAGAGAATCTTAAGAGCAGCATGAGATAAGGAGAGAGTTAACTACAAAGGAGTTCCCATAAGGCTATCAATTGTTTTTTCTCAAAAGAAACCTTACAGGCAAGAAGGTGCTGGAAAGAAGTATTCAAAGTAATGAAAAGCAAGGACCAACATCCAAGATCACTCTATCCAGCAAATAAAGTGCTGATAAAGGGCAGATAAAGTGCTTCCCAGAAAAGGTAAACTTAAAGGAGTTCATTGTCACCAAGCCCTTATTATGTAGAATTTTAAAGGGACTTACCTAAGAAAAAGAAGATTAAAAGTATGAACAGTAAAATGACAATAAACTCACAACTCTCAACAACTGAACTTAAAATACAAAAACAAAAAATAAGCAAACAAGTAAAACAGGAAAGAATCACAGAAATCACATAGAGAGTTATCAGTGGGGAGGAGGAGGGAAGAGAATGGAGGAAAAGGTTCTGGGACTAAGAAGCATATTTGGTAGATACAAAATAAACAAGGGGATGTTTCCTAGTATAGGAAATGGAGAAACCAAAGAACTAATATGTACAACCCATGAACATGAACTAAGGGGAGGAATGCAGGAGTGAAGGGGATTACCGGGTGGAGGGAGATAAAGGGGAGAAAAGAAGAATAGGACAACTGTAATAGCATAATCAATAAAATATAATAAAAAAAAACCTAAAGTGAAGGAAAAGAACCTTACCAAATTGGTGAATTCTGTGTAGCAATTTTAATATTGAAGATGGAAGAAAATACACATTTTCAGCATACTATGCTTTATGATTTCAAGAAAGGAAAAAATGCAACTGAAATGCAAGAAAAAAGATTTTTGTAGTGTATGGAGAAAGTGCTGTGATTGATCAAACTTGTCAAAAGCGGCTTGTGAAGTTTCATACTGGAAATTTCTCCCTGGACGATGCTCCACGGTTGGGTATATGAATTGAAGTTGATAACAATCAAATCGAGACATTAATTGAGAACAATCAGTGTTACACCACGTGGGAGATAGCCAAAAAACTCAAAATACCTAAATCAATAAAGTTATTGGTGAAAATGCAAAAAATGTGTCTTTTATTTTACGGAAAAGATCATATGAGCTTTTTGGCCAATCCAATGGCATATTTGTAAAGGATCATCTCATTCAAGTGCATTGTAAGAAGAAATCCAAATACTTTATTTTTATTTAAGTGAGTACATTATCTTTATTTCAAGGCTATGGAAAGAGTTTGTGCTTCCAGTACCCACCTGTTTATGTAGGCGGGATTGGCGTTGTCATCTCTCCTCTTATTTCTTTGATGGAAGACCAAGTGCTCCAGCTTGGGTAAGTACTGTTTTCATTGTTACATTATCACCTTTTTCTTTTTTCCCATGAAGGAAACACCTGATCTCTATCATGTATTTTAAAATCTAGTTCCCAGTAATACATTTGTATAGGTGTTATTTCATCTTTATAAGCAATAAATGACATGTTAGTGGAAAAAAACTTTAAGTTCTCCATAATTCAAGACTACCAGGCGGCCCCAATAAAACATTTTTTTAAAAAAAAACATAATGCCAGTTTAAATTGCATATCTCAAAATTCTGTTCTCTTTTAGTTACTGTTGCTCTTTAGCTTGGTATTAAGTGTATTCATAGAAGCCTATATTTTAATTATGAAAAAATTTTAAACATCTTTGGGTTTGCAATTTTTTGAAAAAACCCACCTTAACAACCTGCCTTCTGATACAGCCCTTGAAGGAATTTGTTCAACAAATTAATGAGTTACAAAAAGAGTGAGGACTGCAGAGGAGGAATGTATTTTTTAAAGAATTATATTTCTTTATTACTTTTCACTTAAGAATGAAGTTGCTATTTGTAAAGTGCACATGGCTCCAGGATGTATGTTTTTTTTTCTTACAGAGTGTCCAACATTTCAGCTTGTTTTCTGGGATCAGCACAGACAAAACATATGCTACAGGATGTTAAATTGTGGGTAATTTACGATTTCTGATCATATGGTTAGGTTTCTATGATGTGTAAGAGAAGTTTATACACAAAAAGTTCTATTTAATGCATGAACAAAATGTCTATGATTTAAAACTGTACTTTCTTTTTATAGTGCATTTACAGAACTATGAATTTTAGTATCTTTCATACTGAAAGATGTCTATTTTCATTTCTTAGCTGTAATGTTAACATTGTAATCACAGCATTGTAAAATTTTGATTTTGAAAGAGAACTTGGAGAGTATCTAGTTTTGCTCCATTTTACAGTTGAGGAGACTGAGGTTCAAAGTAATTTCCTCAAAAGCACCCACTCAATGAAATTAATGGCTGAGCAGGGACTAGATTCTAGAGCTCTTGCCCCTCTAATCTCATTATCACATAATTCCTTACAAGAATAAAATTGTCAGACACACACAAAAATATGTGTGTATATATTAATATGTGTAGATATTAATATACAAATAAACACACACATACTTATTAAGTACTGATAAATGCATTATAAATCTGTAACTCAAACCCTTATCAAGATATACAATGTTACTGGCACTCAGAATATTCTGTTATGCTCTTTCCAGTTTATCATTTTATCCTTCATCCTAAAGCAAACCTTATTTTTTTTTTGCTTGTTCTAGAACTTCATGTAAATAGAGACATACAATATGAACTCTTTCGTGTAAGACATACACACTCTTTCATTCAGCATAATGTCTTGAGAATACTTAATGTTGTTGTATGTATCTGTACTTTATTTTTAATACCAAAGTGGTATTGTACTGTATGAAAATACCACAGTTTGTCTTTTAATTCCCTTATTGGTGGATGCCTAAGCTATTTCTAGTTTTGGGCTCTTAAACTAAGAAAGCTACTATGAATATTCCTTTAAAATATTGTTTTGAACATGTTTTCTTTTTCCTAAAATTTAAAATCACCTTTTTTGAGGTATAATTGACACACACAATGAATTTTTCATACTTAAAATGTATAATTTGCTAAGTTTTGGTATATAAACACTCACAAAAACATCACTACAGTCCAGATAATGAACATACTTATTATCCTCGAAGTTTATTCATACCTTTTGTCATCTCTTCCTCCCAACTTCCCCTACCTTCTTCACCCCACTCACCAGGTAACTACTGATCTGTTTTGTCACTATAGATTAATTTATGTTTTCTAAAATTGTATATAAACAGACTCAGTCATACAAAATGTACTCCTTTTTGTCTGGTTTAAATGAGAAAACATAGTTATTTTGAGGTTCATCATGTTGTTACGTGTATCAATAGTTCATTCCTTTTTTATTGTCAAATAGATTAGATTACATCTGTGGATATGTCACAGTTGTTTATCTGTTCATTTGTTGATAGACATTTGGATTGTCACAGTTTGGGCTGTTACATATAAAGCTGCTATGAACAGTTGTACACAAGTCTTTGTACAGCCATAGGCTTTGGTTTCATTGGTATAAACCGAGGAGCAGAATGACTGGATCATGTGGTAGATAAATATTTAACTTTTATTTTCTAGTTGAGGTGAAGTTACATAATTTCATATTTATAATTTTAACCATTTTTAAAGGGTAGAGTTGGGTGGCTTTTAGTACACTTGGAACATTGTGCAACTGTCACTACTAGTTCCAGAACGTTTTCATCAACCCCTCCCGCCCCAAACCTCCATATCCACTAAGCAGTCAGTCCCCATTGTTCCTTCCCCCACCCCCTTTTAACAACTAATCTAGTTTCTGTCTCTATGATTTGCCTGTTCTGGACATTTCATATAAATGGACTTATACAGTAGGTAGTTTTGTGTTTGGCTTTTTTTACTTTGCACAATGTTATCAGTACTTCATTTCTTTTTATGGATGACTAATTCCATTTAATAGACATACTATATTTTATTCATTCATTAATGATGTATGTTTAGGTTATTTCCGTTTTTTGGCTGTTATGAATATAATAGTACTTTGAACATTTATGTACAAGTTTTTAAGTGAACATGTTTTCAGTGGTTTTGCAAGTAAGCCTGGAAGAGGAATTGGTGGACCATAATTCTATGTTAACTTTTTAAGAAACTGCCAGGCTTTTTGAGAGTAGTTTCTTTTTCATCTATTGCTTCTATGTGTTTTACTCATTCTTTTTTCTGAGGAGTTAACATTCTTTGTTTTTTTAGTCACAAAATAGAAGATTGCTTTTGCAGCTTCTTTTTTTACATGTTACAGGTCTTGCCACTTACTGAAACTGACTGTTTCTTGATCAGACCCTCAAATTCTAGGACAGAGACTAATTGACTTGATTTTCATACAGTGTTTAAGCCTGGCCCAAGCGGGTATAGGCAAGAGAGCAGAATTCATAGGAGAAACATGGGTGCTGTGGGTTTAATCATGGGGGGTGCAGGGGTATGATATAATGGGTTATAGTTCTCACAGAAGGAGAGTGGTATGTGGCTGGATTGCTCACACACGAAAGGTTTACCATAGGTTGGATCATTTAACTTAAGCACTGTAATTTTGGGGTTAGACTGCTAGAAATCAGAACCAAGCTTCTACCATTACGTAACGCTGAGTATTCCCTGACAGACATTGCCAGTTTTTATGTTGATGCGTTGAAGCCACATCAAAGAGCAATGTGTGTGGATACAATTGTATACACATTAGTATTCATTTAGTTTTTAGTAACTAGTATAATGTGTTTTTAAAAAATTTATTAGGTATTACTGTTTTAAGTTGTAATTCATTGGGTTATTGTTTTCTTTATTGTATGTTTCCTGTCCTGTTTCTTTTTTTGTTTTGTTTTTATAGAGGCAAATACCAGATTGTGTACTTAACTCCAGAGTTCTGTTCCGGTAACTTGTGCCTACTCCAGGAACTTGACGCTATGATTGGTAAGTGGTACGAGAGGATCCTTGTAAGAATTTATTGAATTGAGTTCCCCTTAAAGTTAAACTTATGGTTGGATACTGGATTTCACTTCTATTAAAGTTTATTTCAAACATTAACTCTTCCAGGAAATCTCTGACTCTCCAAGTTGGCATCTCTCCTGTATTATAATTACCTGTTTATATATGTTTTCTTCTGCTTACACTATAACCTTTTTTGGAGAAAAAAATACAATTCTTAATTCATTTATATTTCCCTAGTTTAGTGTCTGGCACATAGTAGGCATTTAAAGTGTATTGTTGAATAACTGTCAAGTCTTAGATTCCATAAAATTATAGTTTTATTTTTTTATATATAATTTGAATCTAAATTAAATCAATGTAGTGGTTCTCTATCCTTCTTGTTCAGGAGAATCACCTTTCAAATTTTAGACAGTGGAGCATCGTTCAGCTTTGAAAATTCTGATTTAATGCCTGGGGTGGCGTCTTGGCGTCTGTAGTTTTTCACAGGTGATTCTGGTATGTACTCAGGGTACATCAGCCACAGGACCTTTGATTATTTGCCACCAATGAGTATGATTAATTTTAAAAATTAGAGATAACTTAGAGTTTTTTCCCTAGAAAATTTAAATATAGATTGTGAAAAGCTGACATCATTATTTTTTGTACTTAAAAAAATTTCATCTGTTTTTTCCTTCTTGACGGTTAGGCTCAGCTGTCCAAGAGTTTCTACCAAGGCTTCTATTGCAAATGCATGTATTTCAAACATTCAGTTGAACCGACCAATATTATATAATCTTGTTGTATAACTATGTATTAAAATAATACCACATAGCAAAGTTTTTTAACATTGAATTATCTCTTTTAATGGTTATTTGCATATAACTCCAGGAAAACATTTAACAATTTAACTAACAGTATAATGAAAACAAACTTGTATCCTTTTAGTATGTGTTAAATACTAACAAAAGAATTGGGACACAAATTAACATTTGATTAAATATATTGTCAAAGAGCACATCCATCATCTGTTAAACTCCCTTTTTGGAATATTATATTTTTGCCTTTAATGGGAAACAAATTGGTGTGTCACTTATTAGGTAGTATGAAGTTCTCGTGAATATTTTACTTTAGATTAAGCCTAACTACCTTAGAGACACAAATTGCCTGGTTTTATTGTAAAAGCTCAGGTCTCTTTCTGCAGTGGTCCGGATATGTTGTCTTCTATTTTAGTATTTTCTTTGTTTCTGTGATAGAGATAATAATTAGCTTAAGTCTGTACTTGGATCCTTTGACAGGTAGTTCTAATTCTCTATTTTTATTTTTTGTAATGGATTAAATTATGAACATTGCAAGCATTGCAGCAGAATACTCTGCATATGATAGATGAAAATGTTCTTTTTTGGTTGACTCTCAATGGTGAAAAAAAGATATATCCTTTTTGAAATATTTTTCTCTGGCATTTGTTTGCAGGAAATTGTAAAATGCTTGCAAAAGTGAATATTCTCAGAATTTTATTTGTACAGTAGTCTGACACTTAGCTAATCATATTTTTAATTTTATGATTAATGTTACATTATTTAAGTAGAATGGATTTATAACGGAAGCAGCAAACACAATTTATGTGGAGACTCCTTAAAACCAAACACACCTGTAATTGTTTTTTAACTTTGGAAATAAGGCTTAAGTGACAAGTATGCAAAAATGAAATATGTGTGGGACCTGGTCAGACACTTGGACTTGCACATTGAAAGTGAGAGTTGGCAAAAGCTTGCTGGAACTCATTGTAAGGGCCAAAAAAATCAGCTTTATTCAGAGGTAGTTAGTGAAACCTGTGATTTTTAATGAAGATTTTAAAATAAAGGAGGAGCCACCATCTTTGTTTTAAAATCTATATCATTTAGTTTCTAAGGCCCAAATAAGTATAGTGGTAACATGCAATTTTTCCAGCCACTCAGTATTAACCAGAGAATTTTGATGCTAATCAGCCCACTTTGCTCATATTTAGTAGGTTTCTTTTTTGCCTTCTTTCTCTTTCAACTCCATTATAGTTGGCAATGTCAATGAATTGTAATTGTTTATTTGCAGGTCAGTCTCTTCTTTTAGAATTATGAGTTCTTCAAGGTCATGGATTGCATTTTATTAATCTTACTATTCCTAGAAAAGTGTTGGATCATAGTAGGCAGTTAATAACCATCTAATAGTAGTAATAATTTTTTTATTGAGATATCTTTTATGCAAGGCCCTGTCTGAGCATTTTATGTGAGCGTGATCTAATTTAATCTTCAGAGTAACTAATAAATGTTAGGGCTATTATCTGCTTTACTTGTGGGAAACAGAGACGTGGAAGCTTGAGTAACTTGCCTCAGATAATAGAAATGCCCAGTGGTGGAGCCACGTTCTGCATCTAGTCGTCGGACTCCAGAGCACAGATTTTTAATCTCTCCACTAGGGGCAGGGCATTATTAATACTCAGATAAGTATCAAGTAATGATTATTCCTACCGAAGGAAAACAATTTTCCTTAGGTATTTTTTTGTCTTAGGTATTAATTTGGTAATTGAGGGTGAAAGCGCTACTGTCATTGCTTTGAAATATCTGAAGACATTTAATGGATGGTTACACAATAAAACCCTTTTCTGAAATGCATTCCTTTATACTATTGATTCCGTTTCAGTGTGGGTGTGTGGTATGGGGGCAGAGTGGAAGGGTTGCTAGGAGAAGAAAGAACAAGGTATATTCCTTCTTATCTACTTTGTACATAATGAAATGTAGTACTTCCCTTACTGTTTTAACATTAGAAAACATGGACGTCACCCTGAGTTTCATCCCTGGCATTTCAGAGCTATTCTCTGTCACATGATATGTGACCAGTCATCGGTAGTCATGCACTTAACCTCACTAGAAATGTGCTGATTCTCTCTCTCGATGGGTAATCAATGAGATAAAAGTAAAAGTATTACCAAAGAGAAGTAGAACAGCTCTGTTTTTCAAGGCATTATCATTACAGATGGTTCACGAGTGATAGTATTGAGGACAGGTAATAGTAGGTAATTCATTTCTCTGAGGGATAGAGATGAAAGCTGAAATCCAATAAATATGTGTTTGAATCATATATGTTTCCTTCTTTTATCCATACAGTTTTAATCTATTTCTCCTCTTCTCAGTAATGATTTTTCACATTATCTGATGTTATTTATGCTTGTATTTTCATATGAACCAAATATTAGTTTGATTTGATTATTAATTTTTTTCTGTGATATTTATATATTCCAAGTGAAGAAGGTGACATGATTTAAGTGAAGACAGTCTTTCCTCTTGAACTTTAATTTACTTTCCCCATTTCTTTCTCCTCCTTTTTATAGGCATCACGCTGATTGCTGTGGACGAGGCTCACTGTATCTCCGAGTGGGGACATGACTTTAGAAATTCGTTCAGGGCTTTGGGCTCCTTGAAGGCAGCGTTCCCGCGGGTAAGCTTGGCCAAGTTCAGTGTCTTTGACCTCGTCCTCTGGTACTTGTCTCCTCCTTTGCCAGCTTCCAGCCACCCTGTTTTCCTTGGTATTTCGAACATGCCAAGGATGCTCCTGTGTTAGGGCTTTGTTCCTGCTCTTCCCTGTCCCTGAGTACTCTTCACCCAGGCAGTTCACATGGAGTGATCTCTCACTTCTCTCTGGTCTTTGCTGCAACACTATTTTATGAAAAATTTCAAATTAACCTTGCCCCTAACATTCAACATTTTTCATATTCCTGTGCTATTTTTTAATAGCACCTATCACTGCTTAACTTACTGTATTATGTTTTGTCTGTTGTCTTTAGTTCCCCACTAGAATATTCTTTGTGGGGAGGAGTTTTTGATGGATTGGCTTATAAAATCTAGAACAGTGCCTGGCGTATAGTGGTGCTCCATAAATAATGGGTTAAATGAATAAATGAATTTGATGAGAAAGCTGAGAATCAGGAAGTAACTCTTTCACACATGTATTGAGTAGTAGAGTTGGGCAATAGGTACACAGTGAGCCACAGCAAATTTATAAAGCAAATAATTGGAAAGAAATATAAAACATAGTTTCTGCCCTAAAGTAGCTCATAGTCCAGTACAGGGGTTTAAATTCATACTTATAAAAATAAAAGCAATAGTACTAAACAATAAATGGTACATGGAACAGTACACATAATATAGAAAGATAAATACTGTTAATAGTACATGTAATAATAGAAAAGGAAGATATTTGTTTGGTGAAAGTCACCTGGCTCAGGCACCTTGACTTCTCTCCATTAATTTAGAATGGTTTAAAGTAAGCTTTGGAAACTAGGAAGATTGCTCTCTGTAATCCTTTCCTAGGCCTTCGATTCTAGAAGGACTGTGTTAGAGTCTGAGTTTTGACTGTTCTATGCTGTTCTTAAACACGTGTTAGTGTTGAATTAAGTCTTTTATTATGTCTGGCTTTGAACTCCATTGGTTCCTTTTCATTTCTTGGGATGATTCAGTTTAGCACAGAGTGTTCGCCAAGCCGTGGCTGAGAACATTGTTTTCCTCTGGTGTTTTCATGAGTCCTTTTAATTTTTTTATAATTGTTTTTTGCATTTTTGTTCAGTTACAGTTGTCCCACCTTTTCCCCGTTGCTCTCCTCTGCCTCGCCCCACCCCCCAGTCAGTCTCCACCCCACTGTCCCTGCCAGCCAGTCCTCCATTCCTGTTGCTTGTTATTGGCTAAGGGTGGGCGGGGGGGGGGGCGGGGGGACTGCAGCCTGCCGGGCTGTGGGACTCGCATTTTCCTCCCTGCTCTTGGCGCCTTTTCCCCGCCTCCCGTTGCAGTTACACTGGGACAGCTGGTGTGAACCTGCAGTGCTTCCCACCACATTATTTCCGTAAGTGCAAAATAACAAAGGAACCACTTCACCGTTGGCTCTAAGATTCCAATCTGGAGAGAACCAGATAAAGTGAATCTCAAGAAAGGGAAGCCAGGTAGAAAGCTTTACATCATTCTCAAAATTCTGTAAAATTCAAGTAAGAGGAATTATGAGACCCATCAGATGTACTGGTTCTTTTTGTTACTTTCTTCCCAGTCCTTTCACAAAGATCGGTGTACAGTACACACTCAATAACTGCTTCGAGTGGACGAGTGAAGCCTGGTATTACGGAGTACAGAGTTAGAATTAGCAGCACGACCCAAACTTAGAAGCAGATGGAAGAGTTATAATTCTCTGAATCTGTAGATTTTATACCATTGAAATATATGATTGTCATTCCTAAATTTATTATCCCAGATTAATTTATGTTTTATTACTTGTTTTAACAAAACTTGACACTTATTACCAAGGAAACAAATTTTTGCCAGCTCAAAGTATAAGATTTTTATGAGTTAAGAACTTGATATAGGTGACAGTAGGTGACAGTAGAATTTATCGTCCAAACCAGTTCACTTTTGACAATGAAAAGGTGCAAGCTATTAGTAGTGTCATGGTGACAGCATAAACTGGGAGTGTCCCAGCAAACCAGGATGTACAGTTGGTCACCTTTCTCATAACCAACCTATTATTTTTAAGCTTCACCCTAGTTTATAAATTTCAAGTGTCATAAAGTACAACATGCTTCTAAGGGAAAAGATTCTATTCTTTTGTGAAATGAAAGTAAATACCTGTTGTTTCTTGAAGTTTAATATATTCCATTACTTTATTCCATTTTCTATTTGAGGAAGCAACATTTTTAACTGTGACTTTATATAATGATGGAGACAAAAGACTAAATTTATAAAGACTGAATTTATAGTGATTTTTTTTTTTCACTGTTAGCATGTCACTTGAATAGGAGGTTTCTAGTGGCAAAGTGGGAATTTTTGTTAGAAGGGAGTAACATCATGTAGCCCTCTCTGTCTCATGCATATATTTTTATGAAGATAAAAAGGACAAGGTCATTTTTTAATTGCTTTTTAGAGAGAGAAGAAGGGAGAGAGAGAGAGAGAGAAACATTAATGTGAGATAGAAGCATCGATTGGTTGCCTCCTGTACGTGCCTGGAACGGGGATTGATCCCGTGACCTAGGTGTGTGCCCTGACTGGGAATCAATTGTGCAGTCTTTCAGTTACAGGACAACGCTCCTACTAACTGACCCACATTGGCATGGGTCTGAGGCTACGAGAACTTAGCTCTTGCCAAAGTCACTGGTAAATCTGGGGGTAGTGCCCATGGCTCTGGAGTTTGAATAGAATTCTTTATAATTATTGCGATAACAGTAGTAGCTGAAACTTTTTGAGTGTTTACTGAGTAATCTGTATTATGTTCAGCTCATGATATGTTTGATCTCATTTGGTCTTCACAATGACTTTGTGAGATTGTTGCTCTCATTTGTAGCCATTTTATAGATGAGGAAACCAAACTTTAGAGAGTGGAGCAAGTGGCTCAAAGTCTCACTTCTAGTTAGTGGCAAAGGCAGGATTTGAACTCATAAAACTGATTCTAAGCCAGAGTTTTTTCACTAATGTGCTGCTATTTTGCCTGATTTTCCTATTAACTTCTTCAAGAGGTGTCATGTTTCATGCATATTTTCTCATTTTCAGAAAAGCATTGCCTATCCACTCATGTATTACTTAGAAACAAACGAAGCCCTTTTTTCTTGTAGTTTTTACCCTGAAAACTTCTCTATCTGCATGTGCAGTTAAACAGCAAGTATTCTATTACTGTATTTATAAATTGTTTCAGTAAAGCACTTAAATTTATGAAAATGCTTTATTGTGAATGGGAATTCACATGTCCTAAGAATGCTTAATATTTAAACTTCCCTTATTTTTAGCCTTATATTTGAGAGAGATATATATGTATATGTGTATACACGCACACACGTTTGATTAGAGAAACTAACTTTTTTATAAATTGGCCTGTTCATCTCTAAGTTGTTAGGCAGGCACTCTCTGAATTCAGAGAACTGTCTGATTGTAAGCCAGAAATCAATGAAGTTAATTTAGGGCTTATTGTTTTGAATAATTTCACAAAATTTCAGGACAGAGAATGCAAAAATGCCAATAACCTGGTCACATTGGTTTGGATACACTTTTAAAAAATTTAAAATTTTTTTTTATTTTTTACTTATTTTAGAGAGAGAGAGGATGGAGAGAGAGAAACATTGATTTGCTGTCCCACTTGTTTATGTGTTCATTGGTTGATTCTTGGATAGGCCCTGACTGGGGATTGAACCTGCGACCTTAATGTATGGGAACGAGGCTTTAACCACCTGAGCTACCTGGATAGAGCCACTTTTTTGCTATTTAAAAAAACTACTACCAGCCCTGGCTGGTGTGGCTCAGTAGATTGAGTGCTGGCCTGTGAAGCAAGGGGTTGCTGGTTTGATTCCCAGTTAGGGCACATGCCTGGGTTGTGGGCGATGTCCCCAGTAGAGAGCGCGTGAGAGGCAACCACACACTGATGTTTCTCTCCCTCTCTTTCTCCATCCCTTCCCCTCTAAAAATAAGTTTAAAAAATCTTAAAAAACAAAGCAAAACTACTACCAAACTTAATTGATATTTTTTACATGAGCTTTGAGATCATTTTTCAGTAAAGCAGTATTGATTGTAAAAGTAGTTTATAGTTTTTAATAAATTGTTTTTCAGAGTCTGTAAGTGCTTTTTAACAAATTGCACATAAATTTTCACTACGTGAGATTTGCTTAACTGATTTTTGAGGTAGATGTAGTGTATCTAAGAGCTATTTTATGACGATACTGTTTACTGTATTTGTAGTGAGTAAAAAAGGATATTTTAAGGAAGTTGTAGTGTTAGAAATAGAACAGCTAATGATTTTGGAACAATTTTGTGACTTATTCTATTTTTTCTGATTGCCAAACAACAGCATACTTGATTTTAACTCCCTAGGATAATAGGGACAAAAATATTAAATCTGGCTTCTTAGGATATATGTTGTTATCCTACTTTCTGAAAGATTACATATTCATATTTTTCCTGGTACATGCTGTGCCACTTGTTTTGGCTGCTAATCCAATCAAAAAGTCTTTGCCAGCCTGAAATTGGCTCAAGGAATCGATTAATAATAGATGTTTCATTTTATGCATTTTCTTTTTGGTAGTATACTATGATTAACTTAGCACAACTGGAGAGAGGTTATTCAGGTCACTGAAAGCTTTCTTTTTAGATCTGAGAAGCCATAAACCAATTATTTAATCTAAGACAAAACAAAACAAAAAAACCCCCCTCATTGCCTTGTATAGTTAGATTTTTAGTGAATAAAAGGGTTTATAATTTGTGAATTATAGATTAATCAAAAATAAGGCATAACAAGCCCTAACTGGTGTGTCTCAGTTGGTTGGGTGTTGTCCTGCAAAGGTCGCTGGTTTGGTTCTGGGTCAGGCCACATGTCTGGGTTGTGGGTTTGACCCAGGTTCCAGTGCTTTCAAGAGGCAACTGATAGATGTTTCTCTCTCACACTGATGTTTCTTTCCCTCTCTTCTCCCTCCCTTTCCCTGTCTCTAAAAGTAAAATAAATAAAACCTTTAAAAAATAAGGCATAACACCATCCCCATTTATATCAATGTGATTATAAATAATATAATAAATGTTAAAAATAATAAGTGGAGAAGTAGATAGCTAGTAAGTCTTTATTTAATAAGACAAGGTAGATCACATTTTGAAATTTAATGGATTTGTTTATTTTTACGTATATTTTATTGATTATGCTATTATAGTTGTCCCAATTTATTTTTTCCCTTTGCCCCCCTCTGCCCGGCACCGCCCCTCGCTCCAGCAATACCCACCACACCCCTTGGTTCATGTCCATGGCTTGTGCATATAAGTTCTTTGGCTTCTCCATTTCCTATACTAGTCTTAACACCCCCCTGTTTCTTACCTACCATTTATGCTTCTTAGTCCCTGTACCTTCTCCTCCATTCTCTCCCTTCCCCCTCCCAGCTGATAACCCTCCATATGATCTCCATTTCCATGAATCTGTTCCTGTTTTAGTTGTTTGCTTAGTTTGCTTTTGTTTTTTTAGATTCAGTGGTTGATAGTTGCAAGTTTATTGCCATTTTACTGTTCATAGTTTTGATCTTTTTCTAACATAAGTCCCTTTAACATTTCGTATAATAAGGGCTTGGTGATGATGGATTCCTTCAGCTTTACTTTGTCTGGAAAGCACTTTATCAGCCCTTCCATTCTAAATGACAGCTTTGCTGGATAGAGTAATCTTGGATGTAGGTCCTTGCTTTCCATAACTTTGAATACTTCTTGCCAGTCTCTTCTTACCTGCAAAGTTTCTTTTGAGAAATCAGCTGATAGTCTTATGGGAACTCCCTTGTAGGCAGCTCTTTTCTTTTCTCTTGCTTTTAAGAGTCTCTCTATCTTTAACCTTTGGCATTTTTATTATGATGTGTCTTGGTGTGGCCCTCTTTGGGTCTAACTTCTTTGGGACTCTCTGTGCTTCCTGTATGTCTATTCCCTTCCTCAAATTAGGGAAATTTTCTTTCATTATTTTTTCAAATAAGTTTTCAATTTCTTTCCCTCTTCTCCTTCTGGCATATCTATGATTCTGGTGTTGGTATGTTTGGAGGTGTCCCAGAATCTTCTTATTCTTTCCTCATTTTTTTTGAATTCTTGTTTCTTTATTCTGTACTGGTTGACTATTTATTCTTTATGTTCCAAATCATTGATTTGAACCATGGCTTCCTTCCCTTCACTGTTGGTTCTTTGTGGATTTTTCTTTATTTCACTTAGTGTAGCCATTATTTTTTCCCTTATGTATTTGCCGTACTCAGTGAGTACTATGAGCATCCTTATCACCAGTATTTTGAACTCTTCATCTGATAGGTTGGCTATCTCTGTTTCATTTACTTATTTTTCTGGAGTGTTGATCTGTTCTTTCATTTGGGCCATATTTTGTTGTCTCCTGAATTTGGCAGCCTCCCTGTGTTTGCTTCTGTGTATTAGGTAGAGCTGCTTTGACTCCCTGTCTTGGTGCACCTGTTATGTTGTAAAGGGCACAGCCAAAGTTATTTGCCAGGGTGGGGAAACCCGATTTTCTGCTTTTGATGTGGTGCTGTATGTGGCGGAAGTTTCACAGAGGGAACAATACTGCTTGCTCTGCTCTCGCCCTGTTTCCAGTCACTTTCCCCGCTCCCTCTATGCGACTGGCACCCTTCTAGCTGCTGCTCTGGGGCTGAATCCCAGAGGGGATGGGTCTTCGTATGTTCTAGGACTGCGCGAGTCCTTTAAATGAACTCTCCTCAGAGACCTGCAGTTTCTTCTGCTGCCCCCACCCCCACTGGTTTTTACAGCCAGAAGTTGAGTCTTTATTTCTTGGTGCTGCAACCCTGGGCTGCCCGGTCTTGCCTGGGGCTGGGATTGCTCTCTCCCCAGGTGTCCTTCCTGGTTTTTATGTGCCACATGTGAACGTGGGACCGCCTATTCTGTCAGCCACCTCTTCTGCCCTATCACCACCCTACCACGTCCTCTCTGCCCCGGCTCCTATCTCTGCCCCTCCTATGAGTCTGGATGAATATTTCTTCTTTAACTCCTTGCTTGTCAGACTTTCATACAGTTCAATTTTCTGGCAGTCCTGGTTGTTTTTTGTTTTGAGGTTAGTTGGATCCTTCTTCTGGCTGTGAGGAGGCAAAGTATGTCTACCTATACCTCCATCTTGGCTGGAAGTTAATGGATTTAGTATATTATTTAAATGATTCCTGATTTTAAAAAAGTAAATGTATTCAGAGGCTGAGAAATACATAAGCAGTAAGGTTTTTTTTCTCCTTAAAAAAAAAAGATAATTTGAAAATTGCATTTGTAACACTTTCCTGTCATTGTCTTCCAGTTTATTTATAAAAAGGCAGTAGAATTTTTATGAATTAATGTGCTCTCTCCTTTTTGAAAAATTTATGTATTTCATTCAGGTTCCAATAGTTGCTCTTACTGCTACCGCAAGTCCCTCCATCAGGGAAGACATTGTACACTGCTTAAACCTGAAGAATCCTCAGATTACCTGTACTAGTTTTGATAGACCAAACTTGTATTTAGAAGTTGGACGAAAAACAGGATACATTCTTCAGGATCTGAAGCAATTTCTTGTCCAAAAAACAAGGTGAGGATTTCATGGTTGATAAATTTTAGTAACTATTTCCTTTTTTAAAAAAATTATTTTATTTATTTATTTTAAACTATGTCTTTCTAATGTGCATTTAACATCAAATTCTTCTTAGCTTTGGTTAAAGTCAAGTGTGGTGTTATAGAATCAAGACAGTGACTGAGGAAAAAGTCAATATTTGAAGTAAGAAATTCATTCCTTTAATATTTTTATACTCCATACTATTGCTTGAACAGAACATACACTCTTAATAATTGACAAGTAAACCACAGAATCAAATGAATCTCATATCTAAATTCTATCTAGTTCACTAATTATATGAAAAACTTGAGTATTAGGGAATTTTTCAAAGTCATCTTAATAACAAACACTCTTGAGCCTGTATCAGGTGCCTAGTACTGTCATGGGTACTTTATGTGAGTGATCTAGTTTGATCCTTAGAACTCCTCAGTAAGCTACATATTATTTTCATTTTATTGATGAAGAAATTGTCACTAGTACTTTTTCCTTTTTATTTTGTTTGAAGACATTTTACTAGGAATGCTAAGAAGCTTTCAGCCTTATTCCCTGATATGTCTGCTCAGTGAAAAGCTTATAATTTTCATGTTATAAAATGTGTTTTTAGGTCAGAATACATGGAAATAATTTTTGTTCTACCAATAGAAACAAACATAAATCTAGTCAAATAGACTTTAAGAACATCATCAGTGTTCTTTTCAGAAAGGAATAAAAATAAAAGAAGACCCACTCTAGGTAAAGGAAACCCCTTAATAACTCTTGGGGGCTTTTAGGATTAATTTAGTTGTAGGATTTGCTACTGGCTTGACTGTTCTATATTCAGAATGAAACAAGAATGTAATGAACATGTTCTGAGTGGTCTCTCTGAAGTGATTACTCATTGTACTTCACTTCCCTTCCTCCCTGAACAGAAGTCCTTCTCTTGAAGAAGGCTATTTAATCTAGGCTAGAGTCTTCTCAATCAGATCATTATCTACTTCCCTAATCTTTGATCCTTTTCAGACTGTATTATTCCCAAACTCTGTGACCGCACCCCTCCTCCCCCAACAACTCTCTCCTTTTTGAAAATGTTCGCTTTTTTTTGGTGACATTGTGACCTATCTTTCTGATACCATTGTCCCCGTCAATATCTTGAGTGTTTTCTTCCCATGATCTTTCATGTTAATTCTGCTAATTGAAGTCTTTATTAGTTTTTATCCCAGATTATTATCATCTCTCTTAACAGACCTTCCTCCTCCTCAGTGTTCCTTGTTGCATTCAATATATGGTTTTCAGATTTGTCATCTGAAAGCGCATCCCAAAATCTTGGTGTTCTTTCTGGTGGTTCCCTCTTTCTTTTGGACTAAAGGCCAGACCCTTTAGCCTAACATTCAAGACCATGGTATTTAATATGACTGGTTTTTCTGAAAGCAAATCAGGAAAAATTTTGCACTAATTTTCAGTCCTCCAAGAAGGGTTATGGCAGCAAGGAACCATTGAAAGTCAGAATGCTTCCTGTAGATCTTAGGCAAATAGAAATTTTCCTCCTAATGAGCATTGAGATGAAGGGAAGTAAGACTTCAGAGCATTGCTTTTTATTTCCATTTTCTTTCCTTCCTTTAATTGTGCTACTTTTTAAATCAGTATTCACATTTTTCCCCCATGGAGGTAACATGTTTCTTAAACTCTGACCTTATTTGTTTTCTATCTTCCTGATAGACTTTAATTAGATAAGCCTCTCCCACCTATCTAATTTAATGGTTAGATGAAGATAGATTTTCCCCCCTTAGAAAGTTGTTGTGATGGAATAACAGTCTTTAGTAAACTACCTGGCAAAGTAATGCATCCTTTTGTAATAGAACATTTTACTCTTGATTTTTCTGCTTTATAAGTTCAAATTTTAATTTATTTTCTACTTGTTAAAAAATATAAAAAGTGATACATAGTCTTAATATTAGTTTGAACAGTATAAATGCATATAAATCGAAAAATACTTCACTCTCCCAATCCCATTCCTCAGTTATAATTACTGTTGATATTTCATCATTCATCTTTTAAAAATTTTTATGTATCTATACTATGCTGATATGCCCCTAGTTTTCAGTGTTAAGTTTATACAGAAATAGCTTCATAGTATATCCATTTTTTACTGCAGTCTTTTCCTTTTATTTAAAGTATCTTTGCTGTCTTTTTATATGCTTTTTTTTTCTTTTTAAATTAGGATATTAGTGTATATGATATTACGATATCCAAATTTTGGTGAACATTTTTTTTCTTAAAAATGTTTTTTAAGTGAAATTTTTGCACATTAAAAAAATAATTTGTATTTTCTCTCACTCCATGAAGTTAGCTCCTGTGAATTTTTGATATGGGAACCCATTTAGTCACTATTAAAAATTGCTTTGAATAGATTATTCAGTAAGACTCACTTCAGTTACTTACTAATTTTTTCCCTTGATTTGTGTTTTTAAGACTTTGCCATAGTCCTTCTTAAAGGCTTTATATAACTTTAATTTTTTAATGTTTGTTTAGTATTTTATAGTTGAATATATGTAATGATGAACATTTAGATTATTTTTCACTATTATAGTTGTGCTGTGAATATTTGTGCATATGTATCTTTTAAGTAATGTGTAAGTTTATTTGTAAAATAGATTATTAAACTTGAAATTGTATCAAAGGGTATATGTGTTAGAAATTAAATAACTTTTTAAAAATCTAATATAGTACATTTTTATGTTCATTAAATCAGCATAAATGATTGTATCAATGGGAATGAGTATACTAAGGGATTCAGTAAGGTCTATAGAAATCATCATTTACACTCTTAATAAATAAACACAGGTTTCTCAAACAGACTTTCTAATAGATGTTTTCTATAACAATCATAGTCTTAAGATTACTAGTAAATATTTTGAACTATAAAAGTGATCTTTTAATATTACAAGAAAGTTTTTGCTTTACCTTTAAACATGCAGAAATTCAATTTTATGATCATAAAACAGAATAAGAACAATATAATATAAACTTTATTTACTCTCCTGTGTAATCATTTACTTGCCTTATGTAAATGAAGACTAATTGTTAAACCAGTGCTTTGTATTTCTAAAAGTATGGAAACTGCATTTCTAATCATTTCTAAGTTTTTATCATGGTTTCTGCTTAAATAAATAAACTTGTCTCTGGTTTTAACTTTGGTTTAAACAAAAACTAAATCAAAGGTGTTGGACTAAAGGCCAGACCCTTTAGCCTAACATTCAAGACCATGGTATTTAATGTGACTGTGGTTTTTCTGAAAGCAAATCAGGAAAAAAGTCATTTCCACATTTGACTTGCCATCACATTTTAGATTTTTATATAAGTATATCTTTGTATTTTGTATGCTTCCTCTTTCAAGTCTTTCACTAAAGGGAAAATTTAAATTTAAAATTTAATTAAAATGGAATTAAATTGAAATTTTATAAAGGGAGAAGTAAATAAGATAAATTAAAATAAGACTAATATATGTATTTATTTGTTCTTATGTTGTTTTTATTTAGCACTACCTGGGAGTTTGAAGGTCCAACTATCATCTATTGTGCTTCCAGGAAAATGACAGAACAAGTTACAGCTGAACTTAGGACACTGAATTTAGCCTGTGGAGCATACCATGCAGGCATGAACATTAGCTCAAGGAAAGAGGTTCATCATAGCTTCATGAGAGATGAAATTCAGGTGAAGATTGATTATCATTACTCTCTAGTCCCCATAGTGTAAACAGATATTTTTGTATTTATTTACCACACCTTTATTGAATACTTTCTTTGTATGGAGCATAAAACAGTTCTAATAAACAGAAATCAAGTATAATGTGGGAGATAGATACGTGAAGAAACTATAAAAGACTGGTATAAATAACAGCCTGTACTTAACGCTTAGGTGCACAGGGGAGGGAATGCTAGCTGTTTCTGTAGGTAGTGTAAAGGGATGGTCCACCCAGGGAAAAGCAATTTGAGTAGAGGCTGAGCAAGTGAGAATTTTGTCAAGTGTGCAAAGCCAGTAGGTGAAGAGGAAAAAGGAATTGGTTCTAGAATTCCAGGAGGAAGAATTAGCATGTGCAAAGCACTGTGATAAGAGAGTGCAGGAAATTGTGAGTAGTTTGCAGTGGTCCGAGAGAAAGGGAGTGTGGAGGAGGAATGGCATAAAGGAAAGGCATGAAGGCAGAGAGGGATTGTCACAGACTCAAAGGGAGGCTGAGTGGGTCGGTTGGCCAGGTTATAGAGGGCCTGAAAACTTAGAAAAAGGCAGGCTGGCGTCGGTGTGGTGTGCCCCTAGCTTGTCCAGACTACTTTAGTCTTACTATTTTTTATTTAAATGAATTTTTATCTAATAGGTAGGACAGGTTAAAGTAGAATAATTCTTGTTGAAGTTGATGTGACGGAGAAAGGGGTCCAAGAACCTCTTTATCTCTAAGACAGTTCCTGTGGGTTTCTTACAATCCCTCAGAGCTCTACAGTATGGAGTTGAAACCATCGTGACAGACTGTTCTGTGTTTTTGAACAAGTTAATGGTATTATAGAAACATGAGCCTGGCAGCACTAATAGGTTTGACTTGGAGCAGAAAAACTGAAGAAAGAAATGGTATCGATGAAGTAACTGTGAAGTGCTGCAGCTGAGATTCCTGTAGTGCTTGCAGTTAATGTAATAATTTCAATTTGTAATGATCGGGACCATGGTTCCATGGGTGTTCATACGGAGCATTGGGGAAGATTTGAGTTCAAGCCACGTTAGTAGGTTTAAATCCACAGCTTCATACTGTGAACATCATACCCACACACTGTTTCTGTGAGCCTGTGGCAAGTCCTCCTCTCAAGTTGAGAAGAACTTCTGCTTTGCATTTTTGTGCATTAGGTCATCCATTTCCTCTCTATTCAGCCCTGCCTATTATACATAGTTGATAGCTACCCCAGAGCAACATTGTTCAGACAACTTAGCTCAGGTCTGGTTTGTATGCACTGTCTCTAAAATTCACAGTGCATTGTCAGGCTGTGATTCACGCCTGCCTGAAAGCACCTGTTCTCGTCCTCTTCAAAGACACGAACAGCTATCACAACTGCCTAGAATAGAGATTTTACCCACATTCTTAAATGCTTGTATTTTTATTTTATTATCTCAGAAACTAGAAAATTTTCAGATAAAATGTATTAGCTGCAGCTTACTGAATCTTAACTATCCATGTTTAAACCATTAATTGACCAATGATTGTGTCTATTATGCTTTATTACTAATTATTCATTTAAGTAGAAACCGCTCCGGAGAGACATGAGAGAGTACAAACTTTATAACTGACCAATGATTTCATCTGTTATGCTTTATTACTAATTATTCATTTAGGTAAAGCATCTCCTGAGAGACATGAAGAGTATAAACCTTACCTATAATATGTTGTGATGGGAAACTTGTTGAATGCATCTGGGCTTCCTGCCAATACATGGCTTCATTGAAACATTGCTTTGAAATAATGACTTTAAAAACCTCACAGTGATCACTAATTATACCTAATATCTAGAAGGGTACATGTATGTTTGTGCTGTTATATTCTTCCTTTTTATGGCAGGATGCCACAAATTTTTATCCACATTTGGAAAATTAATAGATTAATATCAATTGTGTCACCCTAGGATGACATCAGGGTTTCTCTTGTGTCTGACAACTGGCCAGTGTACTCCTTTGCCATTATACATAATTCTAAAGCTTCACATATGAATTGAGAGTTTTCAGACACCTCAAGATGATGAAAATACATTTCCTCATATATATAGAATCATCTGGTGCTCTTGGTATTGATTACTTGCCATTGTGCATTTATGGCATGCCTACTGAATGCATACATGCACAGAACTCTAGATATTCATACTCCTGTCTTTACAGTTGATTTATACTTTACTATGAGCCTAAAAGTACAGCTCATCTTCCTAGCTCAACACCTGGCTCTTTAGGTCTTGAGCAGAGTGACACTTAGAATGTTAGTGTTTTCTATTATATAATTTTAGAAAAATATTTTTTCTTTCTGATTATTTATAAACAAATCTAACCACGTTTAGATGTAAATTTGCATTTTTAGTCTGTGATCATTCATTTTTACTTTTAATCCTTTTAGTTTTATGTCCTTTTGTATTTTATTTGCCTTTTCAAGATGGCTTGAATTCCTTCTCTTTCTGGAATGAGGTTGTGAATTAATTATTTGACAAAACATTTTTATTTATACCTGAGAAAATAGGTTGGTTTCATCTAAGAATAGTATCCTATGATGACAATTAAATCTTAAAAGTTCTCTGCACGCGCACACACACACACACACACAGATAAATAAATGGTAACTGTGAAATGATGAATGTGTTAAGTAACCTTATTGTGATAATCATTTCACAATATGTATATATATCAAGTCATCACATTATACATCTTAAACTTACACAATGTTATATGTCAGTTATATCTCAATAAAGCTGTAAACATTGAATAAGAAATAACATTTTAAAAAGAAAATTAGCATTATGTTGCATACTCACTCTTAAATATAGCAAAATTGCCTAGTCTTATTTACTCAAAACCTTTTTGAAATATATTTCCATTCCTATATTTGTTTTTCTCTCACGTTTATTTTACTTCCATTTATTTGTTTAGCATTTTCTTTTTCTTTCTTTTTTGACTACTGTTGGTCCAGATTAACACATTTTTAAAAGGCACTTTAATTTTTATCAGCTGTGCACGTACAGGAAGAACTAAATAGTTCTACAGTGAGAAGCACCAGCCTTACATTCCTTCCCCACTTTTACTTCCCATCCTAACTCTTTTAGTTTATTCTTTTGATGTTTACTGCTACATCTTGCAAAAATTTGCTTATACTGCTACTACTTAGTCTTTTTAAAAAATCAGTTTATAGTTTTAGGCCTTATCTATTGATTTCCCACTATGAAAGATGAAAATTTAGCTTTCTTTCATATCCCTTAGCCTATTGGTATATTTTGAACCCCTTTCCTCCCCATTATTAATATCAGAATTTTGATTAGATATTCCATTATACATATACATAATTATTGCTCTGTAAATATTTTGATTGCTAAGCCATGTAGTATATTATAGTTGGTTTTCTTGCACAAGTTTTTATATTCTTATTGTTAATACTTTAAACATTTTTTTAGTTGTGTTCTTTTCATTAAGTCTTCCTTGAAACTTCGCCAGTTATGTAAATATTCATCCCAGTAAACTGATATATATTAGCTATTCTACCAATTTTATCCTTTTAAAGATACAGAGATATATATGTTTTATTTTACCATCTTTAATGAGACGCTTCCTTTCATCCTAGAACAATGCTAGAAAATACTAAGATACTGTGCAATCAGGTAAGGACTCTTGAAACTTCATAGTAACACAAAAGTCTCATTTAATGTAATAGTCCTTTTAAGAGCTTCTTTTGCGTCTTACACTTATAAGGAGAGAAACCACTTTATTGCTAATTTTTATAGAGAGGAAACAAGTCCTGTTTTATGGTCATTAATCCTTAATCTGTAAATTGGACAGGTAATCTCTTAATCTTTAAGTGATTGGTTGAAATTATATTAAATTCAGTTTCATGCCAAGGACTTCAGTTAGTGAACTAATCATTCTACTATAAGTAACAATGTAAGATTTTAGTTCTGCTAAATGTTTGTCAGACTGTGTTGTTATTTATTCTCAGTGTGTCATAGCTACCATTGCTTTTGGAATGGGCATTAATAAAGCCGACGTTCGCCAGATCATTCATTATGGTGCTCCTAAGGAAATGGAATCGTATTACCAGGAGATGGGTAGAGCGGGCCGAGATGGACTTCCAAGTTCTTGTCACGTCCTCTGGGCTCCAGCAGACATGAACCTAAATAGGTAAAAAACGTGTATTGCTTTCACGCTTGTGGATTTTTTTTTATCTCTTTCCATATAAACTTTAAAAGCATTTGAGGCAGTGTGCAAAATTTCAAGTAGTATATTTACGTGGATTTAAAACAAAACAAAACAGAGAACATCTAAGAATGCCTGTGCTGCCACCCAGAGGAGATGACCTATTTCAGCCATACCTCATTCGGTGTGAAGAATTGCCTATATTGGGACTATACTGGAAACGTAACACAGATCCCATGTAACACTTTCCCGATAACTGTGCATTGACAAGCTGTTTTTTCTTCCTCAGGGGCTCTCAAGTTTTGATTTCTCTTCAGCCACAATTACTTAAGATACCATTAATTTCATTATGGGCTTTTTCATCCCATGCTGAGTTTAGGTGCTTCTTCCAAATGACTTCTGCTCATCCTATGTGGATATCTGTTACTCGTTTCCTTTGTTAGTGCCGTGAGAGTGTGCGGGACGTCCTTGGCACTGTGTGATATTCACGTCGCACTGTATTGATTGATTGTCCTGAAAAAAAGGATTTTAAGTGTTGAGTGTTTAAATACAGGAATACTGTACTGCATAAACACCAAACAGGCGTTTTGTTGGTGCTCAAGATCTGTGAAATTTATATTGGAAAGGAAAACCTCACTTTGCAGAAATTTTTTTGGGCAGGCATTTAGCAACTGATTCCCTCATCCATAGAGGGGAAATTTCAGGAAAAAACATATGTGGTAACTGAGGAGTCCACCAAAACTTTAGTTTTAACAAACTAAAGCAAAAAAGGAACTACTTTTTAGCCCATGATCTAGGAGGAATGAGATTGGATGCTAACCTACAAACTAGAGTCAACAGTTGGAAGAGGCTTTGAGGAAATTTTAGGCATACCTCATTTTATTGCATTTTGCTTCATTGTGCTTCACAGATGTTGCATTTTCTTTTTTATGAAATTGAAAGCAAGTCCTTCCACCAGGAAAAAAATTATGACTTGCTTTATTGTAATACTCGCTTTATTGTGATACTCATTTTATTGTGGTGGTCTGGAACTGAACTCACAGTATCTCCCAGGTATGCCTGTATATGGAAGGGTGGTAAGTGATGTCAGATGATGAAAATGTTTTTGAATAAGAGATCATTTGTGTGTTCAGACTTTCTAGAAATCACTGCACTGGATTCTCTGTTGGTGTCCTCTTTGAGAATTGCACAGAGGTATTTTTCCAGGCAGAAGTTTAGATAGTCAAAGTATATGTAAGTGAAGTCTGTTTTGATGACAATCAATCATTATTATCACCTAGATCTTATAGGTGAATCATTGTTTTCTTCTGAAATACCTGAAATGTATTAAACTCAGGCGTCTTTTATTCTTGGAAAGATGTACAAGGATGTTTGGGAGATTATCATCGTCTGATACCTGATCATTCCGCGAATATCTTCACAGCAGCTAGAAGAAACAGGATGAGTTATAGCAGCATGAGCTTGAAAACAAACATGTCTTTAGAGTTATTTAACCATTTAAAATACATTTAAAAGGGGAAGACATCAATTATTGTTGTTCGAGGAAGGAACTTAATTCTGATACTTTACTGGTGTCCCATGACATCCTGTAATACAAAAAGATAGCTTCAGAGGGCTGAGAAATCCTCTGAAGAGCAAATGGGAATCTAGGCTCATATTTGCATCATGAGCCTCTTTCAGTATTTCTTATATAGATGCTTTTAGTTTTTCATATAAAATAAATGAAAATAAAGAACTCTTAACTGGGAAAAGGTGAAAATTCATATATAGCAGAAAGATTGCCAAAAAGCATGTAGCATATAAATCAAAATGAAAAACTTTAGGGTTTATAAAAAATTTCCAAAAATTTTAGGGTTTATAGAAAATTGATGCGTGGACACAGGTAGAATTCTTTCAAAAATAATTTTCATTAAAAAATCAGAAAAATACTTGCCTCTGTGAGGGGCATTGACTAATGGAAGAGGCACATAACTTTCTGGAATGATAGAAATGTTCTTTATCTTGAGAAGGATGTGAAGTTATGGGTTATGAAAAATAAACAGTAGTAAATAAATGAAAAGCCACTAATGCAATTTTACATATTCTTGTGATATTTTTAATTGACAGGCAGCGTCTTAATGAGATACAAAATGAGAAGTTTCGATTGTACAAATTAAAAATGGTGGCCAAGATGGAAAAATATCTTCGTTCCAGCAGATGTAGGCGACAGTATGTATTATTTTACATCAGTTGATCATATAAATTTATGAGTGGTGGTCTTTTAAGAAAAAAGTTTTGCAAAGTAATTAGAAATATTTAGAAAGGATATTTTGTTGATATTGTATATGTGCTGAATTTTGAAGGCAACTTTCTTTTTTGCCTCAGTAAACCGAAGCCAAATAATGAGATCCCAAGTGAATCAATTAATGATGATTTCGCCTCATTATTTTCAGCAATGAATTTAACATATATGTTTTTGTTCTTTTATTTAATTTTAAATGTTCTCTTGGGCAGAATCATCTTGTCTCATTTTGAAGACAAACAACTACGAAAGGCCTCCGTGGGTATTATGGGAACTGAAAAATGCTGTGATAATTGCAAGTTCAGGTAAAGATTTCTTCTTCTAGATGGACATTCTTAAAAGTCTTTGTTTCTCTTCCTTCGCAAATACTTTTTAATTGAATTTTTGTTGAATGATATGTATTTTAGTTTTTCAAAACAAAATACAAAATTTATTTAAATAGAGAACAAAGCAAACAATGTTAGAGTATTTAGCTTTATAAAAAGACAAAATCATAGAGTGGAAGACCTAAATCTAAACATATCAATAGTTACATTAAATGTAAATGATCTAAAACACCATTTAAAGTGGATCTTACTAGAATTGGTTTAAAAATATGACCCTGCTGTATTCTGTCCATAAGAAATCCACTACAGATATATGGGTAGGTTAACAAATAAAAGGATAGCCCTGGCCAGGTGGCCAGTTGGTTGGAACATCGTCCTGTGCACCAAAAAAGCTGTGGGTCTGATTCCCAGTCAGGGCACATACCTAGGTTTCAGGTTTGATCCCTGTCAGGGGTGCATATGGGAGGCAACAGATCGACATTTCTCTCTCACCTTGTCTCTGTCTCTCTTCCCCCTTCCTCCTTCTCTGAAATCGATAATAAAAAATACCGTCGGGTGAGGATTAAACAAAATAATAAACTAATACTCTGAAAACACTAATGGAAAGCAAGCTGGAATTGTTATTTTAATATTAGGCAATGGAGATTTTGGAGAAAGAATATAAGTCAGACATAAATAAGGATGTGATGTGATGATAAAAGGGTTTTTCTCTCTATGTATCAGTCAGGGTTCTCTAGAGAGACACACACACCCTGAGATTTTTAAGGAATTTGCTCATGCAGTGGTTGGGGCTGTCAAGCTGGCAGGCTGGAAAGTTGGGCAGGATTTCTGTGTTAACAGTGTTGAGTCACAATTCCTTGTTCTCCAGCAAACCTCAGTCTTTGCTCTTTCAGGCCTTCATCTGATTGGATGAGACCCCTCACATTATTAAGGGCAATCTGTTATTCAAAGCAGCTGATTGTAAATATTAATCACATCTATGAAATACCTTTATAGCAGCATCTACATTAAGTATTTGACCAAACAGCTGGGTCCCAGAGCCTAGCTAAGTTGACACATAATGTTAACCGTTACATCCAAGAACATGTAATCCCAAATGTATATATTTAAGAAAAGAACTGACAGAGTTGAAAGTAGAAATAAAGAAATCATAATTACAGCTGGTAACTTCAACATTTTATCTCAGTAATTAATAGAATTAGTAGACAAAAACAGCAAGGCAATAGGAGAAGTGAACAGAACTATCAACAGACTGGATATAATGAGCTTTTATAGACCATTCTACCCAACAGCAGCAGAATACACATTCTCTTCAGGTGCAGATGTGATGTTCACAAACATGGACCATATTTGGGGTCAAAAAACAAATCTTTACAAATTCAACAGAAATGTGCTCATACAGAGTATGTTTTCTGGCTATAATGAAATGAAACTAGAAATCAGTAACAGAAAGTAACAGTAAAGTCATCAAACACTTGGAAATTAAAAAACACACTATTAATAATTTATTGGGTCAGAGAGGAATTTTCAGGATAAATCAAAGTATTTGAACTAGATGAAATGAAAATAGAAAATGTATGACACACAACTAAAGCAACACTTAAACAGGGAAATTTAGAGCATTCAGTACTTTAATTGACAAAAAGTTTCCAATCAGTAATTAAGCTTCCATCTTAAGAAGCAAATAAGAGCAAAGTAAGCTAAAAGGAAGCAGAAGGAAGGAAATAAGAGAAATAAGAGTATAAGTCAATGATACAGAAAATAGAAAAACTATTAATAGAGAAAACCAGTGACCTCCAAGGCTCATTCTTTGAAAATGTCAATAACATTGATAGAAACTTCTAACAAAAAGAAGGAGGCACAGATTACCAATATCAGAAATGAAAGGAATTTCACTACAGACCCAGCAGACATTAAAGGGTAATAAGGAAACACTATGAACAACTCAATGCATGTACATTTAATAATTTAGATGAAGTAGAGTACTTTCTGATAACCTCAAGCTAATGAAACTTAGCCACAGTAAAATACAATAGATAATCTAAATAGTTCTACAAGTGTTAAAGAAATTGGATCCTTGTTAAAAACCTCTGAAAGTAAATTCCCTAGCCCAAATGGTTTCCATAGCAAAGTATACCAACATTTACAAGAAATAGTCATTTCTACAGTATGATTCCATTTATATGATACTCTCTCTAACATAAGACTATCCTGTAGGGCCCTGGCTGGTGTGGCTCAGTGGATTGAGCGCCGACCTGTGAACTGAAAGGCCACTGATTCAATTCCCAGTCAGGGCACGTGCCTGGGTTGCAGGCCAAATCCCCATTTGGGGGTGTGCGAGAGGCAACTCATCAATATTTCTCATACACACCGATGTTTCTCTTCCTGACTTTCTCCCTCCCTTCCTCTCTCTCTAATAAACAAACAAAATCCTTTTTAAAATAAATTCTGTATTGTAGGGATGAAGACAAGATTGCTGGTTGTCAGAGGTTCTAGGGACGGGGAGAGTATGATTACAAGGGGATAGTGCAGAGGAGTATTTTGCAGTGATGGGTTTGTTGTGTGTCCTGCTTGTGGTGGTGGTAGCTGTTGTGGGGGTGGTGAGCTGAGTCTGTGCATGAGACTTCGTGGATATGTGTAAACTTGTAAAGCTTTACACACACAGAGATGTAGTCAGTTTCACTGTACTGTATGAATTGAAACACCAAAAACGAATGGTATACCTAGTTGAATTTACTGTGTACCTAGCGGTGTGGTAGTTGTATTACTGTTAGACAAAATGTTGTTGGGGATTGGAGATGTTTTCTTTGTAGTGAAGGATGGTTCCTTTACCAAGGGGGCCTTAAAAAACAAACAAACAAACAAAAATAACTCTACAAATGTATAAAGCACAAACTGACAGAATGGCTGGAGGAAATCAACAAATCCAGCATCAAAGTAGAAGAGTTTGATATAAATTTTTTGTTCCTGGTAGGTTAGGCAATCAGAAAATTAGTATGCTATTCAAAATGTGGTCAATGTAGAAACAAGTTTGATTTATCAGACACATCGTATAAAGAACCTTGTACCAAGCAACTAGAATGATGTATCTCAAACATTTTTCTTCATGCCTACATAGTTAATGATGGCACCTGTCTAGCACCCGAGGCCAGGTCAGTCTGAATTCTGTCCAGAACGCTGAGGTCTGAGTGATTGACCTTTCAGCAAACTTAAATCCATTTGCAGTGCACTGGTTGGGAAGCACTGAATTAGAGACAGTATTTCTTACATATGCACGGAATATTTATAAAAACTGGCTGTGGCTTAGAGCAGGGGTTGGCAAACTATGGGTGTGGACCGCATTTGCTGCCAGTGTTTGTGACTAAGGTTTCCTTTGGACACAGCCGTGCCCTTTTGTTTCTGTATTATCTGTGGCTGTTCTGCAGAGGGGAGCAGAGTAGCCACGACACAGACTGTATGGCTTACTAAGCCTAAACTATTTACCCATCGACCCTTTATAAAAAAGTTTTCTGACCCCTGTACTAGACTGTACCATATCTCAGAAGTTTTCAGTGGTTGGAATCAAGCATACCATGTTTTCTCCAGAATGCAATTGAGTTAGAAGCAGGTAGAGGATACACAAATTCTCTTTCATTTGGAAATTGAAAATAACACTTTAAAATAACTCATTGATCAAATAAAATATCAAACTGAAAATTAAAACTTTTTTAATACTTAGTGATAATTATAATAATATACATGAAAACTTGTAAGATGCAGCATAGGTGGTACTTTGTGGGAATTTAAATACTTATATTAGAAAAGGAAATTAATGAAATAAATATCCCTCTAAAGAAGTTAGGGTAATAAATGTAAACATAGTCTTTTTTTCCTCTAAACATATTACATCTGGAATACTGAATATATTATTGCTATTTCAAAGATATTCATTATAAAGAAAGCAGTTGAATTAGGTAGTTGACAGTATCAGGCAATTGGTTTTCTCTAAGGAGTCCTTTTGTTCTCAGCCTGCTTTAAAGGATTCACATTTGTACTAATGATAATTTCAAATCTACCTGAAGGATGGCTTAGGAATTTAACTTCTAAAAGTGACTTAAATGAAACATTTACAGTCTGGGTCATATTTTACAGTCATTAGAGTTTAAACTAAAAATTTATTGCATAGGCAATTTGTTTTTAAGTTAAAAAAATTTTTTTGGCACCAAACCTTTTCTTTCACCATAACCTTGCACTGGAATCTAATATTTATATAATCAATAACGTGCGCTCTTCAAACTGTAATTCTGCTCTCTGATCGCCTGAATGTCTTCCTGTTTCCTCTGTCTTTGGTCTGAGGTACCTCTTGTGACACTTGGGTTCCTGGGCACTAAGGCCGAGAACCATCAGCATAACACACCTGTGATGCTACAGCATAGTCTGTATTTCACGTTTCACAGACTTTACATACTCTGGGCTGCACTGAACTTCATTTGTAGCTTCTGAAGCAGTTGGCACATTTGAGATATTTTTTTACTTGGCTAATTATTAAATCTTTTTGTTTCTAAAGGTGCATGTTTTAGCTAAGTTTTCTAACATTTTTATTTAGATTGGATCACTGCTCTCCCATTGATGAGTCAGACGATATGTCACAGGACTTCGGCCCACAAGCATTCCAGCTATTATCTGCCATAAGCATCTTAGGAGAAATGTTTGGAATTGGGGTTCCAATTCTGTTTCTCCGAGGATCTGTAAGTATATCTGTGAATCACTTTCATGGTTCCTTTACTCCTGCTGCACTTTGCCTCAGAGGTTTGCTGTATTACGATTATAGCTTTGGCTTTAGATCAGTTATTAGAAGCTCAGAGAGCTGTATTAAGTTCCAGTTAAAGACTGCATTCATTGCTTTTGACAAAAACTGTGTATCACACCTACTGCTGTTTTCATATTTCAAGCTGACGTTCAGCTCTGAACCTCAGTCTGGAAGCAATTTTATTACATTGCAGTTGGATAATGCCTAGACTGGTTTTTCTTAGGATAATTAAGAAAAGTTAACTTTCATTGTGTCAAGGGACAAGTAGAACAAAATTCTGTCTTTTGGTGTCCTGGAAAATAACAAATTCTTTGAATAAAACTCTAATCTCAGTGACTATTTGTAAAAACAATATTTGGCAGTATATTTTTTCTTTCCTTCTGTTTCTTATCAGGAATACTTAGAATCCCAAGGAATTTTTTTTTTCCTCTTCGCTTATTTTACCAGTAAATAAATAGTCATTTCAGCTACTTTTTTTGAGTGATTAATGTGCCAGTTATTACATTAACAATTGAAGGTAAATATCAATAGGACACAACCCTTAACAGTTAAAAAGCTTTTTCTGTAGTTCTTTTGTTTATATGATTATATTCCTGATTTAGAAATCTGTAAAGCAAGGCTAAGTATTATATACTGATGTTAGTTGAATAAATCAAAAGTGGGATAGAATTTTTTGCAAATATGTATATTTATTAAAAATGTACTTAAAACTAGAGGTTAAAATTCTCAATATGTAGGATTTATAAAATAATTCAGGTAGGATTTATTTTTTAAATACTTGAACTTCATGTAAATATTTTCTGAGTTTTTATTTTGCTTAGAAAGGGATATATTAAATTAGTTATAAATATTTTTAATGAAATATGTTGAAATCATGTTAACTATTTCGGTAACTGATTAAAAAATTTTTTGAAATCACAAGTCTGATTAGAAATTGAATAATAGTGTTGCCTAAGGAACTTGATTTTAGTTGGGATGAGTTCTATTTTTTCTTATAAAAAGAATTTAAGTTGCAGGGGATAGTTTAAGTATAATTTAGATCTATAAAAATTTCTATATAAAAAATTTAGATCTATAAAAATATCTATATAAAAAATATCTTCAAAACCCGTGTATCCCAGTTGATTGTATAATTTATAAAGAATTATCCTTGTTTTAATTTGGTATAATCCAGTAGTATCCAGTATCAACAAATAAGTGTAAGTGGGCTCCTAGACCAGCCTGAACTGGCCACAAGAGGGATCAGATTTCACCTATTATTTGAAAACCAAGTCAGACAGCTTATACTGACAGTCTCTTCTGGGAGTCCTCAAATTAAGAAGTTTATTCTTGGTGAAACTGTATACTACCCTTGCTAGATAAAGGTGTAAAACTTTTTAAAAAGTACCACTTAATGAACATTTGTGGACATTAACTATAGTGAAAATAAGGCATGTTTTTTTTCTCCCTTCTATTTCAGTAGACTTGGTATCTATTGGGATATTGTTTTAAAATTTATCATTGGAATTCCTTTTGGAATTAAGTAAATCATCCACCTTAACTAATTTAGGCAAAATTAACATCTTTGTAGATAATTTTGATCTGTAAGATGGTATCTTAAAATGGGAGCTCTTGGAGTTTATGTAAAAAGATAATATTTGTATGTCTATATAACATATAATTTCAGCAGCACGATTCTCCTTTCTACAAGATTTTCTAAATAATATAAATGATTATGTAGCCCATCCAGGTATTTGTGAATGGAGTTTAAAATTCTGTTTTTGAAGCACAAGTTTAGTTAGGAATTAAATAGTAGAAATGTTGCCTCAGGAACTTTGTTTAGCTATCTAAACGGCTCACCACAGAAATATCTTTAAATGCCCTACGTGAAAAAGTGTTAAGATATGCAGGTATCTTAATTTTACAGGTTAGGAATTAGAAACACAGTCCCTAATTTGCATTACTAGGAGATTAGGTGGAGCCCCTTCCCTGGCCCCATTATGAATGTGCTACACCTCATCATGGCTCCAGACTTAGATAACACTTTTGAGAAAAGATGGTTTGCCTATAACCAACCATTCGAAAACTGTTGGTAGTTTTAGTCACCCTTTCTAATTTTCAAACTAACATTTAATTTTCTGGGCAAACTTTTTCTTCTGATTGAATTATATTCCTAGAGATAATTATTGTTTCTTTATTTTTTTTTTTTGGTTTTATTTTGCACATAGAATAACAGCTCCAGAAATGACTTTGTTAAACCCTGATGAGGCAGCTGTGAGCTTCTTTGGCCTGTAGCAACTAGAAAAGAGGCAAAAGGAAAAAATAGTAAAATCATAAATAACAAACTGTGGGCTTGCTTTGTACCTTAAGAACATAGGGATTTAAAACTTCTTGAGTTAGTTTATAACTCTTGTTTTCCATTAGTTATTAAATGTACATTTTTGTATAGGGCACTATACTGTTTTGTGGGGGGTCCAGTACTGAATTAGTTGAGACTTATCATGTAGCCTGGGAGGTGTTACTTGGGAAGAAGTAAGTGTTGTAGCATGAAAAGAGCTAAGGGACCTATAGATAGACATAAAGCATTATTGGAGCCTGAAGAGAGAGATCTTGTTAATAGCTGGGAAACTAGAGAAGTCAGTCTTTGTGAGGTATCACTGCCACATTCTATTTTGTGAACGAGATAGTAGTAGATTCTGGCATTCAGAGATGGAATGATGGAAGAAGGGTTGGGAGAATATGGCATAACCAGCAGAAAGTGAGCACAAAAAGCAGTTGGGATTTTTAAAGAAGTTAACTTGGAGAAGTGGCAAGTGTGTTTGTTTTCTCTATCAGAGAGTGGTGAAAAGATTTTGCTTTTTATCCGGTAGTGGTACTTTGGGTTGTGTGTTCTAGCCAGTCTGCTGTCTTTATTCCAGCCCTTTTCCATCAGTTATTAGGTTTCCATATTCCTTGATATGCGAATTTAATGCCCCTTAGTTTCCCAAGTTGATTTTTTAAAAAGATTTTACTTACTTATTTTTAGAGAGAGGGGAAGGGAGGGAGAAAAAGAGGGAGAGAAACGTCAGTGTATGGTTGCCTTTCATGCTCCCCCCACTGGGGACCTGGCCCGCAACCCAGGCCTGTGCCCTGACTGGGAATCAGACTGGCGACCCTTTGGTTTGCAGGCTGGCACTGAGCCACGCCAGCCGGGGCCCAAGCTGATTTTTAAAGGAAAAGAATGAGATGATAATTTTCCCTTTTGAATATGTCCCGTAAAAATATAGACACTTAGAGCAAAGAGGCTATTGAACTCTAAGACCTTATTTTGTAGTGATTGATACGGAATCCCAGAAAGGTAAATGACCTGCCCAGTTACTTTGTACCAGAATAAGGATGAGTAAGCAGCTTTCCTGACAACTTTTGTAGTGTTGTTTTCTATTTATTGTGCTATTCACAGGCAATTTAAAATTTTTATTTTTGATTGAATGATCTAGAGATGCTAGAATCAAGATTTGTGATTGGTAAGGGATGTGTGTGTAAAATTTGCACCCTCCTTAACAATCAGTGCCCAGATCTCTATATCCTCTATAGCAGTTTTGCTTTCTGTGCGGTGTTTGCCATGGAAACAAGATAATGAAAATTTATTCACATAGTACACAGTATTTACAGTGACGTTGATCATGAGGGCAAGGGACAGTTCCTACTGATTAGTAAAAAAAAAATCTCATAGCTTCATACTAGTAAATGTGTTCATTCACTTCAGGTTTTTTTCTGCTTATGGGAGGAAGGGCTAGAGGAATAATTTTAGTGTCCAGCTTGTTAATAAGTACTAGTTAGGAAACTTAGTACCATTGATATTATTAGTTCTCAAGCAATAGAATCTCCTACTAGAAAGGTAAGCGCTGGCAGATGTGGTGTGCTATTACAAGTATTCCAGGGAAAACGGACTGGATACTAAGTCATGGTTTTTGCTTTTAGATTAAGAAATTCAGGTTAAGTTAAAAAGATCAACTGTTAACTAGTAAAAACAAAGTTAATGGTGTCGAGTCAGGCTCTGTCTTGGTTTCTCAATATTCACACATCCTCAAGAGATACAAACTATTATTATACTTGTATAGCAGCTTAGGAAATAGAAGCACAGATAAGTAACTTGCCCATAGTCAGAAACTAGCAAGTACCAGAGTTATGACTTGAACTCAGGTAGTCTTGCTATGTGTACTAAGTACAATCAATGTATATGGAAATGCATATATATACATATATGTATCTGTATGTATATTAGTGTCTGTTTGTGTGTGTGTGTGGTATAGTAATATAAGATTAGAACTAGTCATCTGGAGTCCTGTGTTCCAATCCTTGTTTTACGACCTCAGCCTACCACTTAACATCTTTGAGCCTCTAATTATTTGTTAGCAACATGAAGGAAAAAAAATGACTAAGTAGGTCAGAGAGTTCCAGTGTTCTTCCAGCTCTGAAATTTTGTGATGTTTGGTTTTAAATATTCCACTCAAATCCACCCAAAATCAATTAACACAGGTAGAGATTGCTAACAAGGGGAGAGTTGCCATGTTGTACCTGAGTGTTTCTATTTCTCTACATGTCGTTATAATAAAATTTTTGTAAATAAAATCATCATGGTACTAAACCTTATTACTTCACTATTTAATAAAAAGAATCCTACTTATATTTTTAAGATTTAACATAACGCATGTTACAGACTCTTAACTAAAGTTATTGGAATGTTTTAAGATGAGCATCAAAGCACTGACATGTTTTTGATGAGAATTTATCCCAATTAAGTCTAATTTCAGCCTAGGTTTCATTTGTGTGACGGTTTGGCTTTATGTAGGCTATTTCACTTGTATTCTCCTTTTTAACATTCCAAAATGATAAATTATAAAGTTGTAACTATAACATTTTTATCAGTCGAATAAAATCAATGCATTTGTGGGAGTCTTATGCTCATAGTGCCTGAGCTATGTCTGCTGAACTAAACCTATAAATTCATTTGATTTTGCTCCCTCGATTTTTACATGCATTGATTGTTAACCCTACATCAGGGTATAGATGAAATATAAGAATGTTGAGTGACAGGCTATGCCTGTTTCTAAAATTTCAGACTGCATTTTATATTTATATTTAGAATAGAGTAACCTATTGACATGTTCATGAGATGTTTTTGATACATAAATATAACCTGAAATACACTGCTTATATTAGAAAGCTCATAATCACTCTATTTAAACAGAAAGGTGCTTATTACAGGGTATAAAATAGATTATAGTATTGTTATGATCGTACTGCAAAACAGTCCACCATGAGCTGCTGCCTCTTCAGTGATCAAGAAGCTATTTGTCAGATTTGGAAGCTGCCAGTACAGCGCCCGACCGCAAACGGCACTGAACAGGGACCCGTGACAATCAGGAAGGCTCTGCTTCTGCTTGCTCTTGGAACCACCCGGTTGAACCTGCTGTGACCTCTATCAACAAAATGGATGCTTCTTGATTCTTAGGAGGCTAATATTTGTATGCTGGATCCTCTGCTAACATTTTCTTGCAAAAAACAAGCAACCTCACAATCATGCACCTGCAAAAATAGCAGAGGAGCTGCCTTACTTCACTTTCTGCTTATAGATGCCACGTAAATGCCTCTGATTAGTGAAACTTAAATCATATTCAGAACCCTAGATGAAAGGGAGTTTGAGAAATAGTGTTTGTAACTTCCCAGATTCAGTGGTAGAAGTTAACAGTGGATGAAGGTTAGAATGGTCCTTGAATTACAATCTGCCATATTCACCACAGATAAATCAGATAGGAGCAATTTTCCATAAAGCCCTATTCATATACTACTATATACATTTGAAAATAGTATTTAAATGGTGTGGGATGAATGAAAGAGGTAGTAAGAGGGCAAATTGAATAGAAAAGTACTTTACAGAGCATGAAGGTGGGGCGAGTCATCTCCATTGGAGGACAAGAGAATTGCACGTGACAGACGAACTTCTCCTGCGTCTCTAGAACTTGAAGGCTACGAAGAGTCTCCCACTGAAATCCTCTCTTCACTTAGGACAAAATAACTCAAAAGCAGCCACTATTTAGTGTGCACCTGCTCCTCCTGGTATGTTTAAGTGAAGCAGCTAAAGCAGAAATGATTAAGTAAACTCTGCAGTGCAGCATGAACAGTCACGCAGTGGGAGCTGTGAGTTGCTGCGCTGCACTCACTGATCCCTAGCTGTTGGGTCCCCTTTCCCTTAACTCCCATGCTTCTAGTCTAGAGCTGCAGATTATGACTGCTGTTTTCAAACAATGATGTTTGTTCCTAACAGGTCTAAAGAGCAAAGGTTAAGTATTCCAAATATATCCAGCTTATACATTGGAAATGCTTGTGAATGATGTGTGAAATTTCCTGCCACTGCTTTTAAGACACAAAAGAAACACTATTTTGATTATATATTTATTTGTGACTTAACTATTCAGAGCAAGCAGGATGGATAAAAATTTTATAGATTGTTAAAGCTGAAATTCAGTGTTAAATACAAAGAATCAATAAACAGGTTGGTATTTTATTTAGCCTCTTTCATTAAATAAGCATTTTTAGATATTGATTTTTATTCCTGCTTTCAGAATTCACAGCGTCTCCCTGATAATTATCGCAGTCACACGTTATTTGGCACAGGCAAGGACCAAACAAGCAGCTGGTGGAAGGCTTTGTCTCTTCAGCTCATAACTGAGGGATTCCTGGTAGAAGTTCCTGGCCGTAACAAATTTATAAAGATTTGCACCCTTACAAAAAAGGTAAACAAAGTAGAAGTCTACCTGTTTGATTTAATTATTCTTACTGTGCGCTAAAAGATTCTTCTTGTGTTCAATAGGGTAAAAATTGGCTTCATAAAGCCAGTACAGAATCTCCTCAGAGACTTATCCTTCAGGCTAATGAAGAATTGTGTCCAAGGAAGTTTCATCCACCAAGGTTCAATTTTCAGCTTTGTTGTTGTTGTCCTTGTTGTCGAAATGATTCAAATTATATTTAGTTTATAGGTACTACACAGGTAAAATGGGTAAAGATATTGTTTTGGCATATCTTTTTTTAGTCATTTTGGGGATATGGGCCAGTGAGAGAAAGATAAATCATGGAACACTTGTCTTGGTTGATAGGAAGTAGTGGAGTATAGTATTAATATTTAGAAAGCTGCTTTCCCATTGATTAAAGAAGCAATGTTGAGATCAATGTTGAAGACTCCATATACCATATTTCCTTCTTATGTGTAAAAGGTGGGAAACGAATATACTGGTTGCCTACTTTTTAATACCTTTGCATGTTACCAATCATGTATCAGCTTTTTAAAACAAAATTGAGATATAATTGACATAATGTTGTATAAGTAAGTATTAAGTGTACAATGTGATGGTTTGATACTTTATCTATTGCAATATGATTACCACAGAAGACTTAATTCTTTTCGTGTTGAGAAAAATTAAGATCTTGTCTCCTAGCAACTTTGAAGTTATAATATGTTATTGTTTACTGTAATCGCTATGTTGTGCATTAGATTATCAGTTTTTCTTTTAAACTTAAAAACTTGAAACAGTTTTAAACTTAAACTTTAAAGAGTCTAGAATATTCTTTTAAATCAATTTTAAAAATCATCAGTTCTAAAAGCAATATTATCTCATCTGCCTTTCTGAGTGTAGAGATATGATTCATGGGTTAGATATTTATTACCTTTTAACATTTGTGATAATTTACCTTATGGTTTTCCAGTTCTAGAACTGTGTCTTCAGGTCCTGGCCAGCATTTCTCCCATCAAGTACCAGTTGAATTAACTGCAGAGAAGAAGGTTCGTTTTTATGAGAGGTGGTTCTTACTGCATTTTTTATTGATGTTACTTCTATTTTAAATTTTTATTGTATATTTTAATTCCCCTCCAATTAAAGGAGAAGGTGCCATATATAATAACATAAAATTTGGAAAGAGAAGTGATATAGACAGAATAAAATCTGCAGTATATGATTTCTGGGGTTAATAGAACAGTTAGAAGTTTTGGAGAAGGCAACTTAGTTTGATTCTTTTAAACTTACTTTATAAGCCATTTGGCTTGGAGGGTTTTTTTTTTGTTTGTTTGTTTTTTTTACATATTATGATACTTATAGTTGATAAAAAAATAAGCCTGATTCCTAAATGCGCGCGCGCGCGCGCACACACACACACACACACACACACACACACATTTTTGCTTTGGATCTTAGATAACTATTACAAATTAAATACCAACCCACAGGCGGACTCCAGCTAATTAGAACACTGGAGTAATAGAAAAACCTGAATTAAATTTTTTGGTGAACTTCTGCTTTATCAAAGCAGAATGTAATTGAATAATTTTTGTAACTTGGACTCTTTGTATGCCTCAAAGAATTCTTTGGATCATATATATTTTTTATAGAGTTGGGAGGAATGGGGCATTATGTTGCATTTCTAACTACTTTTAGAACCCTTAAGTTCTTATTTTCAGGTAATTTATATGATAACTTGGTTAGTCAGAGGAAAATTGTCATTGTGAGATGTTGTATATTATTTTCTTCATATTTAAAAGTTTTACGAAACTTCTGATTTTTAAAAATGGTTTTCTTGATGTTTAAAAACAGTCTAACTTGGAGAAGATGTTTTCCTACAAAACATTTGATAAAATTTCTTCTGGGAGTAACATTCCTACAAAAAGGTACAGTGCAGAATTTTTATTTTCTATACTTACTTTATCAACACTTTTTTTTCTTTCTTTCCTAAAGTATAAGGCCTTCTGATGTTTGGCCCTTTCATTGGCAGAAGGGAGTTAAAGCATAAACCTCCAATGTTATAATTTTTAAAGCCGACCTATAAAATGGGAGTATTGATATTAATTTAATACCTAATACTTCTGGGTATTATTGTTTTCCAGGCTCTATGCTAATTGTTAAGCATTTTGTATGTAATAGCCCATTTAATTCTTACAACAACCTATGATTTAGCTACTATTGATATTACTTACCTTCATTTTATAGTCGAAGATACCTGTGGTTAGGAAGTTAGCTAACTTGCTCAAGAGCGTACAGCTAATGTCAGAGTGACTTTCAAATCTAAATTTGTCAACCTTTAGTATCTAAACACTAATTGTATTTGTATGAAATATATATTCTTATCTAAACACTAATTAATTGTATTTGTAGGAAGTACATATCCTCACTCACATTTAAAAAAAAGGTTTTATGACAACATAAAATGGTGCTTATTAAGAGTTGGTAGAGAATAAAGGTAATGTACTACAGGTGTTGGCAGAAGTAGGTTTACGGTTGTGAGTACACAAAAGAGCTTATTCTTATGTGGTTTATTAATTATTGTATTATTTTTCATACAAACAACTGTAAACCTACTTTTGCTCACCCTTGTATTGTACTTTCAAGTTTAATATTTGACTTGCTGACTTAATTAAAGTGTCGGGAAAGTACAGAATTACAGAAGGTCTTAATATGGAGAATTTGAAAAACTTGTTTTGACTTATATACAAATTAAATGAACTATGTTTACACACATATTAGATGAAAGTAAATTAATGTGCTTTAACACTCATTTTCTAATGAAATGCTCACTTAGATAGGTAATACTACTTTGGATCAGACAAATATTTATCAAAATACCAGTGTTCAACCTCAAACAATTTCTTTTTATTGGATATGTAGTATGTAATTATTATGTTTTATGCAAACAAAAGGTTTAAGGAGTGTACAAAACAATATATTTATTCAATATGCTGAAGCATTCTTTCATTTAAGCATTTACTGTGTTTTTACCAGGCCTTTGCTTTGTGCCAGGTACTGTTCTAGGCACTGGAATTCAGTGGGGAGTAATAGAGACGTGGCCACTGCCCTTGCTCCCTGCTCCCGAATTTGTGCTCTAGTGGAATGTACAGTTGAGTAGTTGACTTTAGTCATAGACACACTGGGTTTGAGGTACCTTTTGAGTGGTCCAGAAATTAATTTGAATATATGGGCGTAGTGTACTGAAGAAACATATTTACCTATTAATAACTATTATTTTAAAGTTCAATTGAATTTTCATTAAGATCATACATGTCCATGGTTTTAAAGTCAATTGACACCTAAAGACATATACCAAAGTATACCAGTTTACACCTTCCCCAAATCCACTTTGTTCTGTTCTACAGAAGCAGTCCCCATCAAATATTCCGGCTGGTTGCTCTGATATTTGCCACCATTTCTAAGTGACATGCTTAAATTATTAATTTTTGACTTACAGTTTTAGAACTTTTCTGTTGACATGTTGTAATGGTAGCTTAGGGCTTATCTCCCATGTCCCATCCCTTCTTTTTCCTCCTTCATTTTATATTTCAGGTTTTGGTCACATTAATAATTTGTTTTTACATCATTATATCTACCCAGATATTATATACTATTAAGCTAAACTGTGCTATTAGGGCTACCACTAACTTAATTTTCTTTTATGTTAGTAATTGTCTTTTTTTACTTTCTTTGCTTGGTTTTTAGTATTCCTGTTATTAATTTTTCTTTTCTCCTATTTTCAAACTTTTTGTTTGTTTACTCAGAGAATTCCTTGACTTTATATCCCCTCCCATCTAATGAAGTTTTCATTTTAGTTATTAGATTTTTGGTTTTTATGAACTGTTTCTTGCTCTCTTTCTTCTTTCTCTAATATATAGCAATTTTCTCTTGTTTCATGGATAGATTATCTTCACTTACCTCTTTGATGATATTCAATATAGTTATCTTGAACTTTTCTTCTTTGTACTTGTAGTAGCATTCATAGGCAAAATATTTTTTATTTAAGATTTTCCATGTATATTTCTGCTTCAGGGACACATTTTTACCCAGAATTTTGCTGGTATATACAATAATAAAATTTATTTGTGAAATAATTTAAAATACCATTTTTCAAATAGTTCATTAGTATGAAAATTTACATAAATGATACAATCAAGGTTAATATAATTATATTATTTGAAACAAATTTATAATTGTCTTGAGTAACCTGATACTACTAATTCTTTGCATTGGAATTATCCTTCCTTGGGTTCAAGTTTAGTTAATTTTAGTGATAGGATTTGATAATTGTGAAAATGAAATCTTTCTTTACATGTAGATTTTGAATTCTTGGGACAGAGAAATTTATAAACCATTCTTCAATAGCAAACATGTTCTCCCCTTCAATCTCCTCAAACAGGAATTTCTTTAAATTTGGCATCCTAATATAGGCTATTCTATACAATTTCATTTTTATAACTTTTCTCTTTGTAATTAATCAATGAGAAATGCTGCTTATAGAAATTGGTTTTCTATCTAGCTTGCTGCCTGGTACCTTTTATTCCATGTTGTTTGCTAATTGGGTGTTATTTATACTTCTTTTTAGGAGTCAAAAGCAAAATTACTTCTTTAGGCTTATTTTAATTTGATTTTGAAAGTATTGTGAATAATTCGATTAATCTCATGCCGATGTTCACCACCAACTAAAAATTAATGATAATCACAGCAAAGAATCATAGATTATATTTTTCTTGGCTAAAAAAAATTTTATTTTACTTCAGTATGGATAAGGAGTATTTTCTTTCAAAACATTTGGTTGAGGAGGAGGATGGGGCAAATGCTGTTTTCAAGTACACCAATTTTTTGATGAACTCAAATTGTAATTTGAACTTACCATTGTAATGAATGTGCTTGACGCAAAATGTTTAAAATCTAGGCTGTCATATAAGTAACAGTTGCCTTACTGGTATTGAGAAGAATAAATGTTAGTATAAGACTTGAAAAGATATTCTCATTTTGGGGTAAAATACGAAATGAACTTGGAGAAGAAAAGCTTTCATTATTTATTTTATTTATTTTCTTTTAAATATCTTAGCATCATGGTACAATCACCAGAAAAATCTTACAAGTCTTCAGAACCTGTTTTTTCAGCTAAAGAGCAGGAGACTCAGGTATGACTTTTGTAAAAAGGCTGTAGTTTTTGAGAGGATACTTGTGATTCTCTGCATGCTTAAAATTCTGTTGCCTGTGTTTAAAAAATTGTCCTTTAGTTAAGAGTCTGAGATAGAGTTCAGTTTATTTTTTACCCTAAGGAAAAATGTAATAGATGAAGCTCTAAATATGAAGGGCTGGATTTTCCTAAGTACATTTTTTAAAATACTGACTTGTTTCTTTGTTCTTTGTTCAGACTGTACTATATGGCAAGTTGATAGAAGCTAGGCAGAAACATGCCAATAAATTGAACATTCCTCCTGCTATTCTAGCAACAAATAAGATTCTGGTGGATATGGCCAAAATGAGGTAAACCATCTATTTGTTTATGTTCTAACTTAATTGTCTTCTGACATAATAGATTCATAAAACATACCTTAAGTGATAATGACTCTGGCTCCAACTTTCCCATCTGTTGGATGTGACATCTCTCCTATCTGTTGGTGACTTCCAAATCTTCCATGCTGCTACCAGTGATCTTTTCACTGGTCTTTAGCCCTGTATTTCTGTGTGAATAAAAACCAGCTGTCTTCAGCAATCAGATCCAGTACATAAAAAATTTGTCATAAGCCACTACACTCCATATATGGATTTTATGGAAATACTAAAACTCTTCTTTCTGAATTCCTTATTTTTGTTAGCCATACCATGATGTTCCCAATCATGCATGTTTAAACTTCTCTATTTTCACCTCTCTAACCTATCAATATGTCCCCTTCTTACTCTTATTTAAATAGTTTTTAGCTTTTTTCATTTAAATGTTTCTTGGGTGTCTGTCTCTGGCTTCCTCCCTCATTTTAGTATCACCATGTTAGTTTGGACCATTACCCTTGGACTATTGCAAAAGCGGTTTAACTAGTTATTCTTTCTTCCGCCTCTCTGTTTCATCTGATATATGACTTACCAGATTAATCTTTTTCACGTTGTACTTGTGCTTAACTAGTTTCCCACTATGTTAATTTCTTTAGCTTACAATTCAAGGCCCTCTGTTTACAGACTTAAACCTACTTTTCCATCTAAACCACAGAATTTTAAATGGTTTATCTTAGGTTTTTTACCATTTGTTGAAGACCCTTTTCAACTGGCATATACTTACTTACGATATTACATCTGCCTTGTAGTTTCTTTGATTCCCCAAAACTCCTGTTAGGAAATTCTTCAAAATCTGGCTTTATTATTATTTTCTCCATGAAGTCTTCCAAGTCCGTGTTAGCGAAGTAATTCCCCTCTCTAGAATTCACAAAGGCCTTTAATTATAAATTTGACAGTGTGGTGATTGCTGGGAGGGGGGAAGAGAAGAGTGGGTGGAGGTCGAAGAGGATATAAGGGTAATAAATGGCAATGGAAAAAATACAATAAAAGTTGTTTTAAAAAACCTTTAAAAATTTGAAAGATACCCCTATGGTCCTTATCACACAGTGCTTTGTTTTTTTGTTATTAGCAGCATACATATGTCGTATCATCTAGATTTTAAACTCTCTGGAAAACAATGTGTTCCTGATCTTTTGTGTCTTTCAAAGCACTTAGCACAATGCCTAACAAACACCATGTAGTCCAATAAATATTTAGAGAAAGTTATTTCCAAATATTAGTTGCTTGATAATTTTATTTTTCTTTAAAAAAATTATTGTTTCAGAATAGTCATGGAGCTGTAAAGTATTGCATAGGAAATAAAGTCAATAACATTGTGTTAACTGTGTGTGATTTCAGATAGGTTCTGGATTTATCAGAGAGATAACTTTGTAGGTTATATAAATGTCTAATCACTATGTTGTACAACTGAAACTAATATATTGTGTGTCAACTGTAGTTGACAAATAAAAAATTAATTTAAAAATAGTTTGTCACTAAATTCCACCCAGGAGATATTTCATTGGAGTTTTTAAATATTACATAGTACTTATAGCTTATAATAATGATTTCATTAAAAATAAATGTTCAAAGACCACACTGTAATATTAAGCAAATATATTTAAAGGAAAAGGAGTAATCATTGGGTTAGCATATTTTTAGAAAGAAGACATTGTGCAATCTCTTGGATATTGGATACAGTAAGAAATACTGAGTGAAAAGACTAAAGCAGTTAGGTTTATTGTTACAGGCAAACACTTTATAAATACTATATGAGATTTTCTGACTTTCTAAACCTCTTTGTTGTTCTTATTTAGTACCTCATAGTTTTTCTTTTCATACCTATAAAAAGAATAAGATCAGTACAGAGTAGAACAGGCCTGTTTATGATAATGGCCTGTTTAACAGTTAAGTACGGTGTGTTTGTGGTAATGGTCGTGGTGATATTTTTATTCGTAAATTACAACAACTAGATATCAACTACGTTGCTGGAGTAAGAAGGTTTCAGTGATTTATTGACTTCCCAATTTTTTTTTAATGGCAGACCTACTACAGATGAAAATGTGAAAAGGATTGAGGGTGTTTCTGAAGGCAAAGCTACTATGTTGGCCCCTCTGTTGGAAGTCATCAAACATTTCTGTAAAGTAAATAGCGTTCAGGTAAAATACTCTGGTTTACAGGAGTTCTGAAGGAATAAATATTTTTTGACAATTTCAAAAACACCCTTCAAAAACAACATTATCTCCCTTTATTTTCATTTCCACAGCAGGTACTTAGAAAATGAATTCAGATTGTTTCTACAGTAAATCAGTTAATAATAACATGTTAGTTACCTAACTTTAAAGATGGAACCAGGCTATTTATGTCTTTCTATTTTGTTGGGAGGTTTTGTTTTTAAATTTGAGTAAGTATTGTATTGTTGGTAGATAAAGTATTTCACCTTCAAATATACATAGACATTCAAGCCGCAGAGCTTTCCTCGCCATCAGCTGGTAAGGAGCCAGCCACTCTGCTTTTCTTGTTGTGTGTTGTATTCCCAGAAGACCCTCCCCTTCCAGTCGTGCTGTCTTTTGATATTAAGTAGGTTTCATGGTATTTTCCCTTCATCTTCGAATCCTTTCATTCCTCCTTGCTCCACTGTATATGACCAGAATTCCCACAGGATTGTTTGGGTTTCTTTCTTTAAACTCCATGTGCAGACTCTAGCACAGAAGGCGACTGGACCCCACCTTAGGGATCATTTTTTAACTCTAAGCAGAACTCTGCTTTTTGTATGTAACATATCTTTGTGTTAATACAGAATATCATTGGCAACTTTAATTTTTTTCCATATTCTTATGTAGGACATCGTGTGAAAATTTCATGTATTTCATATTGGATATTTTGAAAATAAAATGATAATTTTTTAACAATTTGATAAAAAATGTTATGCCAGTGGTAACTGAATAATTTTTCTTTCTTTGGACACTTGACAATAGGATATTCTTTCTTGAATTGGTGGTTTTACTTAATAGTGAAAGACTTATGTCCCCCAAATCCTCTTCAGAAGAGTAAATGAAAGTAGGGCAAAAAAATCAATGCTCCAAAGGATAGGGTAGGTATGAAACTTTTGAACCAGCTGGATAGAGAAAATGACTGTTAATTTCTGGTGGTTAGGAATTATGCCTGGACTATTCTACAAATTGAAACCATTTACTAAAGAAATAAATTAATAAACCTTAGTGTTTAAGCCAGCTTTGTTATTCAGCACTTTCATTAAGCTTTTAATATGTTAAAATTTTGAAGCAAAACTTAAATACTGTCATAATACAAATAAAAATTATAAATATGAGGACATGGGTATTAAGTCCATTAAGATGGCCATTTTGGAAAAATAACATCATTTTTTTGGAAATATGTTTTATGAGAATTATAATGTTTATATTTTTATTTTTATTTTTTATTGAATTTATTAGGTTAATAAAATTATATAGGTTTCAGTTGTACAATTCTATAATACATCACCTGTATACTGTACCATGTGTTCACCATCCCAGCTCAAGTCTCCTTCCGTCACCATTTACCCGCTCTGAGCCCTCTGCTACTTCCCCCTCCGCCTTTCCCTCTGCTGAGCATTAGTTTTTAAAATATCCAGCCCCTCCAAAGAGGAATTCATAGCTGACAGCTACTTAAAAAGCGTAAAAAGAGATAGACAACTATTTTTTTAAACTATACATGAAAAATAGATAGAAACAGCATACTGTAGTCATAACAAAACCCGTAACAGACTAATTTAATAAGTTATAGAAGAGCCTAGTCCCTTGATGAATAACATTGTTATCATTTTGATAGGTTATTTATCTTTGTGGTTCATTATATTACATATAGATATGTGAGAAAGAATATTCATGTGCTATTTGGGAAATAAATTTAATTTTTTACCCATATCCTATGATTTAGGAATTTTAATTAAAAATTGTATTAGTTGAATATTGGTTTGCTCCTTGGTGAAAAATAGAAATGTTTCTGTTTGACTTTCATCTGTATGACATCATCATATACGGGAGGCTTAATTTTTTTTAAAGATTTTTTAATTTACTTTTAGAGAGATGGCAGGGGAGGGAGAAAGAAAGGGAGAGAAGCATCGATGTGTGAGAGACACATTGACCAACCGGTTGCCTCTCTCACGCCTCCAGCAGGGGGCCTGGCCTGCAACCCAGGCCTGTGCTCTGACTGGGAATTGAACTGGCGACCCTGTGGTCTGCAGGTTGGCACTCAGTCCACTGAGCCACAACAGCCAGAGCATGATACTTAATTTTAGAATTTGAATTATCTGACCCAAAACAAACAAAATATTTTCCAAACTTTTTGGCTTTTCACTTTGCATATTTCAGAAGAATGTCATGGCTCTACTCCCACAAGGTAATTCCAATCAGACAATGCTCAGGGTAGGAATTTGATATTCTGAACATGTAAGATACCTAAATAAAACACAGCCGGGTGTTATGTACCTGTTTCTATTTTAAAACTTCACCATAACTATGTATTGCAGTTTTTAGAAAATATGTATCGAGACAGAATCCATGTTTCCTAGGGAAGCCTAACCGGCTGCCCACACCAGAGCACGGGCCGTGGTTTCGGCCAGGGCTTCAGGCCCCATCACCGCAACCTTAAAAGTCCCAGGTGTCTTGTCAAAGAGTAATTGTGTTTTAGGGAGTAGATGTGCATTATCCTTCTCTCTGACCATGGTTTTATGTATATGTGTGTATATAAATGTAAATGTATATATGAGAATGCAAATTCATTAATTTTTAGTGGGAATACAACTGGAAAGTTTCACTCGACCCAACCAGTGTGTTCTCCTATAAGAGAAGATGGATGGGAAGGTGGCTTGTCTGAAAGTTGTTCAGTGAGCCTGGAGTATAACAAGGGAAACTTAGGGAGTGTCTTTTTTTTTTTTTTTTTTTTTTATAATTTTAAAAATATGTTTAGTGATTTGAGAGAGAGAGGGAGAGAGGAAAACATTGATGTGAGAGAGAAATAGTGTTTGGTTGCCTCCCATACGCACCCCGACCAGGGATTGAACCCACAGCCTAGGGGTGTACCCTCACGGGGAATCATTTGAACCCCCAACCTTTTGGTACGTGGAACATTGCCCTGACCAACTGAGCTGCACTGACCAGGGCTGAGTGTGTCTTAAATAGTCTCTCAGCAGCAAAGGCAGATTGAGGCATTCTTACATACTGCAATGCTTGCCAAAGAAACTGTTACATTCAAATCTAGTTAGCCAAGACTTCTCATTTGAACAGTGCTTGGAGAGGCATTGCCTACTTTCATTTTCCTGCATTTCCTCTTTATTAATAGATATTTCTACAATTGATTATTCTCTGTTCACCTAGTCTTTTACCTACAGAGTATGATTTGATTAGATTTTTTTGCTTATTAGTATCACATTCTAGACCTATGTACTTGAGATTACTACTCTCATGTTAATTTGCCAAGTGTTTTGATGTTCCTAAGCCTTTTAGTCACACATTTAACAGATGGCAGCATGATTTTGTCCCATAAATCCTAAAACCTTTATTCACTTGCCTGTATAACTCCCAGTGGTCACATTCTAAGACCTTGCCATAGGGGTATTCCATTGTTGTTTGCTGGTGTAGACTACACTGTAATCCTGTGGAATCTGGCTAATGGAATTGGATTTTAGGCATTCCTAGAAATTTAAGGCCAAATTTGACTGTGTTAAGGTCTCAGATGGAAACACTTTATTTAATAAAAAATGTTCCCCTTTGAAAATCTAGGGGTGCCTAGAAACAACCGGGAGACCTTAGGTCCTGTGGTGGTGTCGGGCGTTGTCCGCCACGCTATAGCTGCCCCAGGCTCCCAGGCATCTGCGAGCTCGTCTGCAGGCTCGCTCTTGTTTAGGGAGGAATGGACGAGAAGCCAAGTTCTGTTGGGTCTAATTCTTTTAATTTAGTATTGGTTCTTATATTTTGGAAGGTAAAGTTGGCATCTTGGAGGGAAATTTCATGTATTTATGTGAGTCCTACATCATATAATTCTATCATAACTATCACTTAGTCTTTACCTTTTCTTCAGACTTTAAAATAATTCTACTTTTTCTTCATTGGTCTTCTTTTTAAATACTTTCTCCCTGTTTTCTTTTAAATGTCTTAATGAATCATATTTAAGAATTTACATAATGCTTCAAGAACTGCAGTTTATATGTATGTTTTTTAACCATATGTATGTAGTTAAGACATTTTTCCTTAAGGTACGTTAGCAGAATTTGTGGTTATGGTTTATAAATTTGAATATTAATTATTTTTAATTATTCTTTTAATATTCACTTCCAGGGGGGTCAGGGGACATAATATTTAGAGGCAGAATGGTCCACATTATAGTTCATGCTTTACTGGCTAAAGGGAAGACTATGAGTTTCTAGTTCTACAGCCATGTTTATTCTAACAAGTATTTCATTAAAAACTTATTTTCTCTAACGTTATTTTACCTTTTTAAGTAAATACGTTAAAAAACCCAAAAGCCTTTTCGAACTTCTGAAAAAAAGGGAATTTTTGACTGTTCCTTAAAGGTTTTATTTGTGTTGCTTTTTTGCCCTAATGCCTACTGGGCCTATTGATATTCTTTCTATCATTATATTGATATTATTATTATTCACCATTTGTGCTACATTTAAAATCTTGTAGACAGACCTCTTTTCAAGTACAAAACCTCAGGAAAAACAGAAGGCAAGTCTGGTGGCAAAAAGCAGAGAACGCTCACTCTCGCCGTCCGCAGCCATCACGTACTCTCTGTTCCAGGACAGGAAGATGCCCTTGGTGAGTGTTGCGTTTATGCTGGAGGGCACTGTTAAACTTACCCAAACGTGTTCTGTCAGCTTTTTCATATTAAAGTTGTGGGTGGGGATACACTTCTAATTCTGTAATATTTTTCATTTTATGTTTAATTTTAGAACAGAATGCCATTTTATTTTTCTGCTAAGCCTACCTCTGTCGATTAAGTAAAAACAGCAAATACAGTTTGACTATGATTATCTTACAGAGGTTTTATCAGAGGTAGTGATAAACACATTTATAAATTAGGGATACTAGAGCCAGCCATATTTTAAGACTTTTTTAAAAAACAATTGGATTAACAGTTAAAAAACTATTAGTACTTATATTAATAAAAAGTAGTCTCCAAAATACATTAAATTTTTTAAAAAGGAAGATGCAGAGCAGGGTGAAAACAAACATAAGTATGTATGTGTACTTGTATATATATGCATGCTTGTGTCTTCACCAAACTTGTTTTTCACTCTGTATCCTGTATATTGTTCTGTATTTTTAACCATGGTTGATGCTCTGTGAAAAAAATCTGATTACAGTGAAAAATAGCTGTATTTAATGTTTCTTCACTGTTCTGGAATATATCCTTAAGGCTGTTGAGTATTTTTTTTTTTTTTAATACACAGGGGTGGGGCAAAAGTAAGTTTGCAGTTTTTGTATGGAAATAATATGATAATAAGTAATAATACAAATATAAACTGTTTTGTGTATTCACAACTGTAAACCTACTTTTGCCCCACAGTGTACAAAATGGAGAGTATATTTTAGTGGAATAGAGACAGAATGTGGCTTCCAGCTAAGTTCAACTAACTTGAATTCCTGTCCTCTCTGACAATAAATTGACTTAGACTAAGCTCTATGGTCCAATGCCCAGTTTTCCTATTCTGTGTCTTCATTCACTAGGCCACGCTATGTACTTCTTATACTGGTTAAGGTCCAATATAAATAAGAATAAATAGTTCATGAATAGTCAAACTCTTCAATTAAAAGTACAAAAGCCATTACACAGCAATCCAAATAATTCTATTGTACTATTTTTGAAACAGATTACCTGATAAATAAAAATTTAAGTTCTGCCTCTTAAATAGTAACTTAAATGTACATGTTAAATATGCTTGTATATGCATAGTTTTACCATATATGTATGGTATAGCTAAATATACTTTCTAGGAAAATTTGGTATAGCCTTTAAATTTTCTGAATAAGGTACATGCTAATACTCAGCCATGATATGAGGTTTTTACATATTATATATTTATGGTTAAAAATATGAAGACTAGTATATCTTCATTTATGTCTTTAGCTATTATTTGGTTGTATATTATTGTGTAATATCATGGTGTAATTATCTCTGCCTCCCAGGAGTCTGACACGGTCTTGTCAGTTAATCACAAAACTAAACGTGCCTAAGGACTAATTAATCAGGAGCAATAATACAGTTAGTTTTAGGTAATTTGATGCCTTGTATCAAATAACCCTGATATTATGCACACATGGTGCACACTGGTAGAAAAGAGTAGACATTTAATGAAAGTAATTTAAAACCTTCCTTTGAAGGATGAAAATATTGCTTTAAAGGCCCTATTCTGTGGATTTGTGTATTTACACAAATACAATCCAAATTCATATTTTCAGGGTTTTTAAAAGAGAGGATTATGAAATAATTTAGAGCTGAATTACTAAACTCTTGGAGTATTTTAAAGGAATGTTTTACCTAATACATATCTTAAATGGATTTGGAGCTATATTTGTTTAAAAGCTACAGAAATATGTAACATTGTCCTAAATTTAACACAATTGATGTTTTATTCAATTCCAGGCACATAATGACAGGCCTTGTTTAATTGTGGGGTTTTTTACTTTACGAATAGAGACAATTTAAAATACTTATTAAAGTCTTCTCAAGAACCTTTTATAGAATGCATCTGGGGCCTATGTTATTGCTAAAAATTATAGGATTTGTCTTCTTGGAAATTCATGAAACTAAAGCACTATGTATTTTATCAAATATATAGAATATTGGATTACAGTTTCAGTCTATTTTCAAAGGTTGTGGCAGCTTTTAGATTTAACATAGAATGACCACTCTCTGCCACTAATAGGTTTTCAAAGTGAATAATTACAGAGATGAGGATTGAGTTCTTAGCTAATGCTGGGTGATTTGGTTTTATTCAATATAATAATTGTAAAAAGTAGAATCTGTGGAGTTCTATTATGTAGGTAGTTTTAAAGAAATTGTTTAGTAAAATGAAAATTTTACATGAAGGTTTAGCCCATTGTTTATTGCTCAGTGAACATTTATTGCCTGAAGGTTCTGGACATTTTATTTTCATACAGTACAGTGGAAACGTTAAAGAGCTCACTGGTTGTTTTGCTGCTGTCTCTGTAGAAGAGTGTAGCTGAGAACAGGATTCTGCCTCTCGCAGCAGTTGGCATACATTTATCCCAAGCGGTGAAAGCTGGCTACCCAGTCGATGTGGAGCGAGCAGGCCTGACTCCAGAGATTAAGAAGATTATCACTGATGTTATTCGAAACCCACCCATCAACTCAGGTGATAACCATGACCCTAGTCTGCAGCCTTACTGACTTAGTCATTGGGACCAGATGAAATAATCAAGCAATCTACTAATATTTTTTAGTTTAACCACATCAACCCTTTATGCTACTACGAAAACTTTACTTTTATAAGGCTTTTTATTGTTTTAGAAAAACAATCTTTCCATTATCACTCAGGGGAAAAGTCTTAGTCTGAGAAATTCTTGTTTGTTTTTTTTTTTTTTTCAGTTTCAGATTACAATTTACATGCTTATCCTGAAACTGTACACTTTCATTCTTTTTAAATTTTTACCTCATCATGTCTCTATATTCATTCCTTAAAACTTACTGACTCCTAGTTTTTCCCTAAATCTTTGTGATTCCTTGTCATGGTTTCACTCAACTAGCCTTTCTCATCTCTACAGTCAGTGGTACCTGTCACTATGACCTGAAGGGATGGACCAGGTTCTCCAGGCCCTTGTAAGAGGGTTTCCTCCTCTGACTTTGCCACAGAACCTCAACTGTGCTCGCTTTGCTTGCCCTGCAGAAAATTTTTTAGATGCCTATTTTAAAATTATGTTCCATTTTTTAAATTATTGGTTTGAGACAGAGGAAGGGGGAGAGAGAGGGAGAAAGAGAAACATCCACTGTCTGTGCCACCCACCCGTGCATTCCCTGGTTGCTTCTTGCATGTGCCCTGAGCAGGGATCTAATGTGCAGCCCTGGCATATTGGGATGACGCTCCAACCAACTGGGCTACCCGGCTAGGGCTAAATTATGGACCATTTTTTACAGAAATCAAGATGAAGTTCATTAGAGCTTTTTGCTCCTAGATGTACAAACAGAAACAGGTGTGTTAGTAATTCAATAAATCTGATAAATTTATGCAGACTGTTAGGACAGAGTAGTGCATAAAGAAGGCTTATCTCTAAAGCTACAGTGCCAATAATTAATTTTATATTATCTCAAGTTCTTTTCCACTTAGGAATAACTATATGATTGCCTCCAAACACCTGGAAATAAGAGGAATGAGATCTCCCTTTAAAAGCACAATCAGTACTATACTTAATTGATCAGAAGATATTCAAGTCACCTTAAAAGGCAGTATTAATTCTAGGCTTGAGCAAGACTTGACTGAAGGTCTAAGAAAGAACAGACAACTCCATCCCTTCCATAGAGCAACCTGGGAAGCGCAGGAAAAGGAGAGACACAAAGGCCATCTTGGGACAGTGGCTGTCTGTTAATTCCAGGGAACTAACGTTTCTCTTTTTGCTCTACCATGCCAAAGTTGTACTGCCAACTATATAGAAGAAAGAAATGTGCAATTTGGCCAATAATCTTGACCAATGAGACTTCAAGGATATTAAGGGCCTATTTATAAGTTTTGTCAAGATATTATTTGAAGAGCCATCTTAAATTCTGCTTCTCTGTCCCTTCTTAGCTCTCAGGTCACCATTTGATTTTTCCTGTAGATCTCTCTGTAGGGAAAGCTTACTCTAGTGCTAATCTGGGTACTTATATATGTGATAAGTGTGGATTCATAATTGTAAATTAACCAATTGGCATTTTGTGAACCTGATTAATACGGCTCTAGTAAGGTTAAGTTAGATTTCTAAATCTGAAAATTAGAGGGCCAAATTTTGGACTGTGATAAAAAAATCAAGGTAATTTAGCTGTGAAATACCTTATGAGCTAGCTAGCCAGCTGTCCTGGACACAGTCTTGTCTTTCTAATTTTAGCAGCCATTTAACTAGAAATTAAGGTAGAGGAAGGAAAACAGTTAACCACTTTGTAGGATTAGAACTGTGATTATATAATCCCCCTCTTTCTCCAGTGTAAAGTGAAATAGTCAGAGATTCAGATGCCTTCTTGATTTTACTCCTCTGGAATTTTTTTTTTCCTTTATACATATTGTCTCTCAGGACTCAGAGAAATGTGTATCTTTGATGAGCTCTCGAATGGTAGGCAGTATTCTCTGAAAGAGGCCGCTTGTTCCTATTGACAACCATGTTTGCTATCATTTAGCTGCCTACCTTAAATCCTGGACTGATGGACGGTGCTGGCCTAGTAAGAGCAAAGGCTCTGGTAACAACTGATCTGTGTTAGGTCTTGGCTCTACCACTTCAGAGCTACATCATTTGCGCAAATTACCCAGCCTCCCTAAGCCTCAGTTTCCTCTTCCCTAAACAGGGAGGGATAATATGCCTTAGTTACAGAATTGTCAGAAATAATTAGATACCGCAAAGAACGCTCTGGCACTCGGTGAGTGTATTGCCTTCTGGATCTGCGGGTTTACATTTGTGGGTTCAACTAACAGGAGGTTGAAGATATTTGAAAAACAATTCCAGGAAGTTGATCCCTAAACTATACAATATAAAACTAGTTATATAGCATTTACAATGTTAGGTGTTATAAATAATCTAGAGACAATTTAAAGTATAGGGGAGGATATGCGTTGGTTATGTGCAGATTCTATGCCGTTTTATACAGGGGACCTGAGCATGGGGCCCTGGAACCAGTTCCCACCAACAACCAGGGACGACTGTATTTCATGTGTGGTGGTGGCGGTGATGCTGAGCTTGATGACGATTGAAGATGGTTAGATCTGATGGCTCCTAAGTATACCCTTAAAAAATATACCCTTTATGATGAATATACTAGTCTTTTTAGAAGCTAATTAAGAAAATATGAAGTTAATAAATAAGCGTATCAGAAGGGAGGTTTCAAAACTGTATAGTATACAAACAACTTCAATAATTCAGGCAGGTTATAATTATATCTTTTTTCCAAGTATTGAAGAAATCTTGGGCAAATATTTTGGAATGTCATAAAATGGATGTTCTCATTTCAATTCATTATTGGCAGGGGAGAATAGTAGAGGAAGATTTAAGATTCTATTATTTAGCGAGTACTGACGACATCTATTTTATTGGGCTATGGTGAAGAATCAAGATGCTGCTAATTGCTTTTTAAATCATATAGTTGTAAAGTTGTAGAATTTTTGATTTGGAAAGGAAATTGGAAACCATTGCATTTCATTTTCCTACTTCCATCCTGTTTCAGAGAGAGGGATCTGAGGCCCAGGGGCGTGCATGTTGTTTCAATATCATGCCGCAGTTAATGGCGGAGCAAGTTTTTCTTTTTTACTGCGCCCTGTTAAAGTTGTGCTGGCGCTTTGAAAAGAAACATGAACTTTCTAATCCTGATAGAGGATTGGGGTTTATAAACCTCTAATTGATGAGTAAAATAAATGTACGTAATTATATCCGGGTTACTATCTTTACATATCTAATATCTTTAAATATTCACTCCTATATCTAGTATGCTCTACATTCTGAGTTTAGAAATTTCAGTTTCTTATGCTATAACTTTAAATTAAGAAGTATTAAAATCAAGCAGACTATATAAACGTGAAAAATTCTCTATTTATAATTGCATAGCCTGATTCGACAAATACCATGAGAGATGAGAAAAACATTTGTAATCATTAGTGACTAAAGCATTAGCTAAAACATTTGTCTTTACCACTGTATACTTACTGCAAATAAATTTTCATTCAGAGATAAATATTACGTTGAAATTCCAAAGAACAATGTAGAATACTTTTAAATATTTTGTCATCTTTCTGTCAATTAACTATGCATATTGTATATATAATATGCAAAACTATATTGTTGTAGTTTACTTCTAAAGCCAAAGTTGAGACAAGTTACGATTGCGAGAGCCATGAGCTCTAAATTTTATTTCATTGATTGTACATTTATAGCCTGTAAGAAATCATTTATTGTTGTGAAATTTTATTTTTGAATTCTTCTTTTTCCTTGATAAAAGCTATTTTTTATTGGAGAAGTGTGTTATAAATTATAATAAGAAATGAAAGTATACATGGTATATTAGTGTTTCAGAGGTGTTATTTTTATCTTTTATTTAACTGTAGCCATATTCCATAATTTGGTGTTTTAATGAACAAGTTTGATTGTCACTTAAATTTCACACAATGCTGAATTGAGAATTTTCTGTATTTTATTATGGCATAATCTTAAACCTAAAAATTGAGTATTTGAATTGGTAAATTATATCTAATTTGCTAAGTAGGTTTTTGTCCTAGTAAACTTAATATTTAAAGGAATTCTTTACCTTATTATTTTTTAGTTTTATCATGTTTATATAATTTTAAGTTTCTTTTATGGAATTGAGATTCTAACTATGCTTAATAATACATGTAGCAAGACATTTAATGAGATATCTGGATGATATTTTGGATAATTTCATTCTCTCATTCTTTATGTGCTTGTACCTGAAAAATTAGGGGTGGCTTCCCAGGGACCTGCCACAAAAGTAGGAGTAATATGATCTCTTCTGAAGCAATGAGGGACTGCAGCCTGGGTTTATTATTTTACTCTCCAATAGGTAGTTTCAGCACTCAGCTGTGTGGAAATTAGGGTGAAATAATATGCATCTTTAAAGTTAGATGCCACTTTATTTGCACATGTATATTATGGGATGACTTTAAGATAAAAATATAAAGAGCACTCATAGAAATGTGTAATATATGAATTATCTAATTATATCTTAAAATTATATTCTAATTACAGTAGAACAACTGCACATTTATTAAATCACTAATAGTGGTTTAATACCATAGGCAAATGTTCATACATCATAATTTTATGAAAAGAAGGCATTCTATTTTAGAAATAAATTATTTCAATTGGAATAAAATATCTTATTTTTTCTTTTCAAAATCATTTAGCCAATGATGCTGTGATAGACAAGATTGGGTAGACATATCCTAAAAAAACTCATTTCTAAATTTTACATTTACAGTATGATGAAACTAATGATATATATAGGTTGTATATTCAATATTTAAATACCCATAGAAGAAAATGAATTTAGTACAATGTAGACTGTTAGCTGGCTTGAGTACAAGAAAATTTCAATGGGTTTTCCTCCAAAAAGAAATACACTGTGAGCCACATATGCAGTTTTAAATTTTCTGGTATTTACACTTAAAAAGTAAAAATAAACATGTTATTAATTATAATTATATACTTTAATTAATTCAATATATTAACAATGCTGTCTTTCAACATATAATGAATATAAAAATTATTAATGAGGGGTTTTTTTTTGTACCAGGCCTCTGAAATAAGGTATGTGTTTTGCATTCACAGCATATCTCAATGCTGATGCTAAATTTTAATTTGAAATACTAAGTCTGTATTTAGCTTTCATAAAATTTACAGTTGAATAAAGTAAATGAAGATACCTAATTTGTTTTAAACATACTTAAAAATTTTCCAATGCTGAATCAAGTATCAGTTTTTAAATTTAAGGTTTCTTTTTAGTTTTCAATTAAGCTTTTAATGAAAAGGTCATGACATAACAGTTTCTCATCCCTGTACATTAAGACTGCACGCTTCCGAATGGAGAGATCAGTTGTTGATCAAATGCTTTTCTATGACATTTGAGGGCTGCACACTTGCATTAGAATTACTTAAAATTAAGAATTTGAGTTCCTTGTCCATTTTAACCAACCACCTTTTAAGTGCTCAGTGGCTACATGTGGCCAGTGGTTATTGTACCAGACAACACAGTTACAGAGGTAGTTTGGCAATAGATAGCAACAGTTAGAGCCTTTACACTAGCAACCCCCACTTCTGGAAAATCTGGAAAGATGGAAAGATATTGTTCAAATGTATTGAACAATAAAATATTGATCAGAATTTTTTTTCAAAGAAAAATTGAAGACAAATGAAAGGGAATGTGAAGTAAATTCTGATAGGTACATAGAAACGAAGGTGATTAAAATGATACCATAGTAAAATTGGTGGAATTTCAGTGGTATTGGTGTGGCATAATGACCAAGGGACAGACAAAATGTTAGTTTGGTTGATAGATATGATAGTGACGTTGCTGATTTTATTACAGTTAGAGGTTAATCTTAGCTTTCCAAGGTTTTGCTTAGCATCAGTTTTACATTTTAAAACTTTGAAGTTAGAAACAGTACAAGCCAAATAATTAAATAGCCCACTCTCCTAGTATCTATTAGCCATGTTACTTTCCCTTCCTGTTTTTTATTATTTTTTTTTAATCTGTAGTTTTATTTGGAAAGTCCTAAGCAAGATAAGAACTTTGGAAAGAAGGAGAATATAAACCTGAAAACTGTAGTAATTTAAAGACCACCTTTTCAGAGTGTCATTTAAAAATATTTGGTTTCTGATTGTTCATTTGAATTGGGTGTCAAAAATGTTTGATACCAGTTTTATAAATTACAGGAAGATACAAGTGAGTATGTTCTAAGTTGCTTAGTTTTACCATACTCTAGAGAATTGCACACTCTAGAGAATGGCAGATGAAGTCCTTCCTTCTTTGGAAGGAAGTACTTGAAACATAAATAGTGGTCATTGCTCTGTAATCTGTAAAGCTCTGAAGAGACCAGCACCATCTGAATCACTTCTGTTGAATTACAAAAATTAAAAATTCCTTGATTTTGAAAGTAAGACCTGCCTTTCCCAGAAAACTCATTTAGTTACTAATATGCATTTTAGATAAAGTATTTTGTTAGCTACGCTATCCATTGAAAGCTTCCTTTTTATTGGCACCATATTTACAAGTGTGATTAGCTTCTATTTTAAGAATAAATTATTTTCAAAAAACTTGTAATTGATGGAATTCGAAGCATACATAACTCCTTTAGAAACAATTCTGGGAATGGTGGCCCTGATTCTCAGGCAGCGTGGAACATAATTTAGGCAGAGATGGTGGCACTGACCTGATTTTGATCTTGAGGGAAAGGGTGTAGGTGGGGCAGGAGTGAGGCGCACACTGTGCCCCGTTTCCATTTCCGTTTCCATTTCCGTTTCCATTTCCGTTTCCGTGGGGCTAGCGGTGTTTGCAAGAGGAACACTTTCTTTGGCCACCTTGTCCATCTTCCTCCTTTTTTTCCTCCAAAATATTTCACCATTTCCAGCTCATAGGTTTTCTAAGATGTTCTGTGTAATGTATTTTTAAATGTTATTTTTTTTTCATCCTTTACAGAGTTGAATAACATTAAACTAATTAGAATGTTTGTTCCTGAAAACATCGACACGTACCTTATCCATATGGCAATTGAAATCCTGGGAAATGATTGTGACAACAGACGGTTATGCCAACCGCCGTGCGATTCCAACAAAAAGAGATGTTTTCCCAACTCTGAAGAGAGCTGTTCAAGTTCTAAGAGAAGCAAGGAAGAAGTAGGCCCTGAAACCAAGGTGTTAATTATATGTAGAATTTTCATAAAGTGCCACTTTGTTCAATTTGCATATTCTAACACTTAGAATGCTGTAATTTTTAAACTGTCATAAATTCTGATACAGGGTTACTTTTTAAATCTTTGTGCTACATTTCTGTTGCTTTTCATAAATTTGAGCTGAGAAAAATGACTTTTTACATGACAGAAAAGGTGGATATAGTTTCTTTTTAGCTATTGTGTAGAATGTTAGCTTAAATGTTTTCTCTGCTTAATATTATATAGCCTGGAAATTATCTTTCTTTTGTAGGTGTAATGAATATTGGCTTTAAGCATATGACAGTTTAGGTATTTAATGAAAATGAAAACAAATTCCATTATAAATCCCTCCCAAACCAGTTGGCCTTTCATGCTGCCTCTCCTCATGCTCTGTTGCTGGTACAGTGAATAAATATCTCAGGTGCAGAGGGATTGTGGTGCATGGTCCTCAGCACATCCCAGTGCATCTTTTGCATGATCAGAGAAAGACCGTGAAGTCAGTGTTATTTTAGAGGGGATGTTTTATTAAAATCAAATGCTTTGAAAATTATCCTCTGTATCTGGTGTGAGGAAAATACTATCCTTTGACAATGCGACTTTATTAAATGATTGTATAAATTTGAAAATTTGGCTTTCAGTATCCTCCAGGTTTAAAATTATATGACTCTATGATAAAAGTTTGTGGAGACTAATAATTTAAAAATTATGTTAGCTCCTACTAGATGATAAATTCAGCATGGTATAAAGTGGTCGGTAATATTTATATCAGAGAACTAAGAGCTCCATTTCAGTCCCAAAGTCCTCTTTACAGGATTTCATTTTCTCAACAGCTTAGAAATAAGTTTATTTAATTCTGTACTTCAGTTAGGTTTGTATATATTCTTTTCTAGATAGCCTAATAAAATTTGATTTATTGGAACTCTTTACATTACATTGACAATTGAGTCAACTATAAGAAGGGCATTAAAGACAGTATATGTTTGGATGGTATTGGTGAGATGTGGTTTCCATTCCTAGGCTTTTTATTTCTGAAACCTATAGCAGGTGCCTAAGACCTTATTTTTCCCCAGCTTCTACCTGTTAATACAGGAAAAGGTGTAACTTTTAATTTTCCTGAATTTTGAAGCAACACTTATATAAAGTATTATTTTAACCACATATCACTTTTTTTGCTTTTCCTCTATTGAAACAACATCAGATGCCAACAACAGAGTGGAGAGATTTTGGGTGGGTGATGGGACTGGATTTAGCCTTTTTTTCCCCATTTAGGAGAACAAGAATTTTGGGGGGCTGGGAAGAAAATTAAGAAGTGAGTGAGCAACAAAGTATTTTTTTCTTTCATCTGCCTCTTGGTATAGAAAACTTCAGGACTGTCTATTTGGAGTCCTAGTTTCAGGATCTTTTCTATGTTAATGTTCATTGTCTCTACTGATCTTATTACATCCCTTTGTGTAGCTCATCTTATAACCATGAGGCTTCTGATAAAGAATGTCAGAACAGACTTTTTTAATTAGCTGATGCATTGTTAGATTTCTAACTCTTAAATCTAGTTTGCCATTGATATAGAGGGCCAGCCTTGCCTGTGTTTAATGGAGGAAGATTGTCTTGATATTTTGTAGTTCTGAATTAATACACAGAGGTACACAGTAGGTTTTTTAAATGTGTAAATATTTTATTTCAGGAAGTTTTCTGACAGTTTTTGTTTATCTCAGGAAACTTTTCTTAAATTTTACTTCTTATTTCTAATACTCTTGAGGCTTTTTTCACTCAGTTTTGAGTTTTTCTGACATTGACTTAATGTTCTTTCATGTTTTGAAGCATTAATGTTTTTCAGCTCATTTTGAGAGGTTACAGTTTTATTCTGTATCTTAGAACGTCTTCCTGGATTCTGGGGCTTGACCTTTTCTGTTGCTCATTTTCATGTGCAATTAATTTTCCCGCATTTTCAAAATAAGGGGTGATTCAGGATAGTTTTCCCAGGTACACGGAGATCTCTCTTCCGTTGTTTTGTGTAATGTTCAAAATACGAAAACTCGGTTTATGAGCTACACTCCTCTTCCACTTTTACCTGGGCGTCCTCTTCACTCTACCTCTCTGAGGCCCGCCCGCCCGGCTTGGTTTTGATTGAACCCCAGCAGTTCTTGTGAGTGTGGGGCCTTCTGGAAGGCAGCACGGCCTGGGCAGGAGAGCTCACTGCAGCCAGCTGCTGTGCAGCCACTTGAGGGCCACTGCAGTCCTCTTTCAGTCCCCTGCAAAAGCCCTCCCGTTTCACACGCTGTCCTCAAATTAATCTGTCCTGCTTCCCAGTGTGTACCTGTGGGCTCTTTAGGGCTTTCCAGTCCTCAGGCACCTCGCTGCTTGCCGCTGCTTTCTCCCACCCAACTGCTGTGCCGTGCAGGTCTTTGGCTGTTGGTTTGTCCTCACATGCTTATTACAGTTTTGGCTTCCTGAGGATACCTTTAAACTTTCTTTCATTATACATATAGATGATGAATTTTTGTTTTTCTCTCTAGTTCTGTTTTAATGTTGGGATTCAGAGAAATTTAAAAAACTATGCTGGTGCATCCACCATCTTCCAGAACCCTCTCCTCTTGTATCACTTTTTCCTTTTATTGTTTTTTTTTGACAGAGAGAGAAAGAGAGAGAAAAGGAGAAGAGAAATAGAATTTCCTGCCCTGCCACTGAGTTTCATTATAAATTAAAATATACAATATTATTTACAAACTATTTTAAGATACTCAGAAAAATTTCCTTATGGGTAATATTATTAATATTCAATATTTCAGAGTAATAATTTTCGTAATATTCTTTTTTATTAAATTTATTGGGAGTGACATTGCTTAATAAAATTACATAGGTTTCGATTGTACTATTCTATAGTCCATCATCTGTATATTGTATTGTGTGTTTACCACCCAAAATCAAGTCTCCTTTCGTCACCATATATATCAGCCCCTTTACCCTTTACTGTGTCTCTCCCACCCCCTTTTTTTCTGTGTGACCTCCATACTATCATCTGTGTCTATGAGTTTTTGTTTGTTTATCTTATTGGTTCGTTACTTTCAGTTTTATATCCCACATATGAGTAAAATTATATGGTTCTTGACTTTCTCCATCTGACTTATTTCACTTAGTGTGATATTCTCAAGATCCATCCATGTTGTTGCAAATGGTAGCATTTCAATAAGAATTTTCTTAAGCTTTGCTTATTTAAGCATAGTTTTTTTGAAAAAAATGAAATAATACATGCTGAACTGTTTTGTATGCCATAAAAATATTAAAGACTGATGGAAAACATCCTTGTGATTTTTCACTGAAGGACGAGAGTCACAGAAATTCACTGACTTCTTGGAATCAACCATCCAGTGATCCAGAAACAGAAGATCTATTTACAGATTCACATTTACAGGTAAAGGCGATTTAGTAAAACAGTTTTTGTGACAAATACATTAGGCTTGAAAACTGATATGTTTAGACATATCTTTGTTTTAGATGAAATTAAATATGAATATAACATTTCTCTATTTGCTTACATATATACTTGCACATCAGCTAATGAGGTAATGTTTTGTATGCTCAACTTAATGATAATAGCTTGTCGTTAATAGAATTTAGAGTATCAAAAAGAAGTAAATGTCTCCTCAAAACGTGACTAGGACTGCAGGAGAGTTAGTTTTCCGCGAGGGAGGAAGTGGCCTCTGGCAGGCACTGTGTCTGTTGGGGGACCTGGGCCTCACGAGTCAGGTCTCCCCAGACACTGTGAGACTCAGAAGCTGCAGTCCGTGTAAGCAAGCTTTTCCCCTGTTCTCCATGAAATAAGATCATTATTGTAATGCTAGAAAAAATGCTCAAGGTCATGCTCTGTAGAAATGTTACAGACAATAAAATTCAATATTTTCAGGATAATAAATGATATTAGCTACCAATTAATGAGGGTTATGAATAAAGCAGAATGTTTTGATATTTTGCCTATATTCTCATGTAATTCTCCAAATAATCTAGTAATGTTATTTACTGTTAATCTCATTTTCTGTGTGATGAAATCGAGGCTTGAATAACATGCCTAAGGTCACACATTTAGCAAGTGACTCAGACCTTAAACCTAGTCCTGTCGGGTTTCAAAGTCCCTCCTTAATACATGGGATTTGGCTACAGGAAGACAGGGTTTTTCCCTCTCCCCTGTTACTCTTCAGATTTCATGCTATGTGTTACTCTTTGGCTTTATTATCATCTTAACTCTTTTCTCTGAATGCACTCAAGGGTCCAACTCTAATTGTAAGCAACTGTAGTTGTCCATGGCTATAAAGGATTTTGATATTAAAGTCCTCAGGGAAGAATAAATATTTCTGGGCCAGTTTTATGTCTACCTAAATGCCTTTTATCTGTGCTACTTTATATTCCTAATACTTATTATTTCTAATGCAAACATTATAATAAATCTAATCTCTTCCCTGTGAGGAAATAGATACTTGGGAGAAAAGTTGCTACCTTAAACCTTAACCATTTTGTTTAAAGCTTTTACTGAAGTGTGAATAGTCCTTTCCTCTACACTGGATTGCTTTAATTAAGCTGGAACAGCTAACATTTTTTACCTTTTTTAATATAAGTTTTTTGCCAAGGATCTTTTACTTTTTTTTCACCGTTCTTAAATATTTTGAAACCATTTTTAAACATAGAAAACATAATAAAGTAGCAAGCGCTTAATGAACAATACATAGATTTAGTCTTCATTTTTGAAATGGAGTAAATCATACAAAAGTATGGAATACTTTTAATGGAAAAATGGAGATATAGTCTTCATTTCTGAAGACTATAAATCATACTTTTGTATGATATATTCCATTAAGATGAGGCCACCTTATCATAAAGTCCTTCAAGTAGTTTCAATAACTAAATTTACTCTGCTGGATTCCAAGATACACTAATGTTAGAATGATTTTTCTGTCATATTAGTTTGAGGATCTAGTCCTCAAACTAAGATAACACAAATTAATACCATTTTAGCTTATGGAACATTTACCTACTTAAAATTGTTTAATTTTTTTTTTCACGTGTAGATTGTTTAGTATGCAGTCACTGTCTTTGGGTCTTAAAACAGTTTTTCTTTAGTGACTTTTAACTTAGGGTTCTGAGGCTTCATTTGGTGCATGGTTCCCCTGAAATTGTGCAAAGTATTGTGTATGGGTATGTTTGTCTTTTTTTCTCAGAAGTGGATCTGTAGTTTTTAGCAGATTCTCAAAAGAGCCTATGAACTGAAAAACAACTTTTAAAATTTATTCAGCAAACTTATTTTAGTGTCTACTGTGTCTCAATAACTGCAAGGTATTGCTGACTGAACCACTTTCTTGTCCCTCTGCCATTATAGATACTGAAGTTGCATGCTTTTCAGATGCCTAATATAACTCTGTGTGTGCATGGGTACTTGCATGTGCACGCAGGCACACGCATGCCTAGGCAGCTGTCTTCCCCAGAACGTGAAATTCGCCGTTTTTGTCACCTCAAAGCAAATGCACCAGGGGACATAGACCTGAAATAACACCTAGTCCTTTCCTTCCCAAAAGGGTGCCTACACTTGAGTGTCTAAGAATACATAGCAAGATAACAAAGAAATTGCCTAAATTAATGATATAGTGATTTTTGTTTCTCTTTTTTTAAATTTACTTTCTGATCCAGAAATAAATTTGAAAGATCTCACTTTTTTGTTTTATTTGGCAAGGGAAGAAAGGTGGGTTCATATTAAATAATGTGTAATTTTGTTTCTGACACATTTTTTAACAGTGCAGGTATTTCCTTTTCTGTTTTTTTTTTTTTTCCCCCCTGTAGACATCATCTGAAACTTCAGAGAGAAAATTGCCTGGGTGGTTTGCCAAAGGAAATGAGACCTTATTGGATACCAGCAAGAAATCAATGGCCAAGACCAAAAACAAGGGTCTTTTTAGTTAAAATGGCAGCTGCCAGAGGGCTTATGTTTGTCTTGCTGTATTAGAAGAGGTGCTGTGTTTTGTTTATGAAAAGACTGGGGAATAATATTTCAGTTAAAAAATGATTCTAATTTCAAAGTAAAACTCACCTGTTCATTAATCAGCTGGCATCTTAAAACAGCCTTGTACAATTCACTTGAATTTGAGTCTTCTGCGTGAGTACATCATAGAATACTGAACTAGTTTCCTTTAAGATTGCTTTCAGCAACTGTCATTGCCCTGTTTTCTAAGCTCTTTATTTCACCTGTGTATTTGGAAAATGTAATATGGTGATATGATACAGATAGCAGATCAGTAGTTGTGCAGCGATAATGTGTGCGTGGTGTAAAACGTTCCTGTATTACCGGCTTATGTCTCGTGCAGGAGGAAAACATAGTGATTTTGCAACTTGTCTCTACCGGCTTTAGATAATACTCTTACGTACATTGTTAAATGGTATTAGTGGACTGATGCAGTGAAAATGATACATTTTGGGTTCCATGTAAATAGGGGAAAAGAATGTAATATAGGTGACCAATTGCACTAAAAAATTGTATTTTTACACTATTTCTATTATTTTTTAAATAATAAATGTAAAGAATGTCCTTCATACTGAATGTTACAAAGATTATATATAAATCTGTTTTAAGTTTTCATTTATTTAATTATCCTATTTTTTGAAGATGTCAGAATTTGATTCTAAAATCTGCTTATGTAGCACAAATAACTGAAATATCTAAAACCCATACTGTTGACTCTGATTTGGGTGAACTATAGTTAACATAGCTTTAAACAGTTTACCATATGGCCTTAATTGACTTTTGTAAATAAAAATAACTGCTTCTAATAAAGAAGAAATAGATGCTTATTGTAAAATTAGAAAATTCAGAGACGTGAAAAAAAAAATCACCAAAACCAGTTAACCTCTTTTATGACATTTGCCATAACTTTTTATATGGACTTTTTTCTAAGACTGTTATATGAATAATACACGAAAGAATTTTCTTTGTAAAACATTCAAGTTATACTTAAAACATGAACGTGCCCATATTTCTAATTTCTCACATCCTGTTACCCGCCCTAAATCAGAAGGTAACTTCTATTATATATATGACATATGGTTTTTAGTCATTTATTCTGCTTTTACATACCTTTGCATGGATAGCTATACATATTCTTATCTTTTTAAACACAAATGAGATCATGCTATATGCAATTTTCTGCAATAAACTTTTTTACTTAATATACCATCGAGCCCTTTCCATTCAGTGTATATTGGCCTCATTGTTTTTTACAGCTACAGACTATTATACCCTGTAATTTACATAATCACTTTTCTATTGGTCATTTCTAGTTTGTCATTTTTCTCTATTAGGTTGTTTTTAGAAGTAGAATTAGAGAATGAAACCTAAACGTTGTTTGTTACTTATATTTTATTTGTATATATGTTGAACATTTTTGTCATTACATAATCTCCCACAGAATCTCATCTTATGGTTTTATGTAGTACAGTAATCCTCTCAGTATGGTCTGCAGACCACTAGGAGCCCCCGTAACCCTTTCAGGGGGTCACCAAGGTGTTATCTGCCTTTTGTATTACGTTGATAATTGCGACAAGGGTGCAAAGCAGTGGTGTGAGTAAAACCACTGGTATTTTAGTGCAGAGCAAAGCAATGGCACCAAATTATTGTTTTGTATTAATTCTCAGTCCTTTTCAGTACCCTGTGTGATGTAATGCAAGTATGCATGGGGCTCTTCTGCTATCGGAGTACGGGAGTACGATGGTCTCCTCTGGGAAAAGCTCACCTTTGATTGTCGTGAGCTGAACTGGCGGGTTGCTTTCTTCCCCAGGGAACGCCCGTTTTACTGGAAAGAATGACCGATAGAACACTGTGGTTGGTCATTCAGGCTTGGGCGTTTGGTGGACATTTCCTTTCAAATTGAACAAAGTCAGCCTCTCACTTCAAGGAAAACTGATGATTTGTTGCCAATGATAAAATTTGTGATTTCTAGCAAAATTTAGAATTTTGAAAAACTTATGTCTGCCACCAGGAGTTTGACAGCTTCCTATAACGCAGACTTTCCTAATGAGATGGTAGGGTTAATTTTGTTTTTTAATAAAATGATTTTTGTGAACATTTAGAAGCTCTGCATAACTCAGGGAACCAGTGTTTTCTGAATGATTAACATATGATCATATAAAATCATGCATGGTAAAAGATCATTCAAAATGCACAATGGACTAAAGGATTTAAACATGGCAGAGTATGAAAAAAAATCGTTTCAGAGTATACACTGCAACCAATCTTGAAGAAACTAATATTTGTCCAGTTTGGATATAGCTTCGAAGAAGAGTACAATATCTGGAAAGGCTACTAAAGTACTCCTCTCTTCCAACTACGCACCTGTTTGAGGCCAGACTTCCTTCATATACTTCAGCCAAAACAGCATTGTTGAAACAGTCAGCCAAGAAGCAGGTCTGGGAATCCAGCCTCTCTGTTAAACTGGACGATGTCACTTTTATCGCTTGTCGGGGGAAGGGGTGAGATTTCAAAGAACTGCATTTATGTTCACATGTAATGGATTTACTACTGCTGTTTTAAAAAATAATAAATACTTTAAATTTTTTTGTCAGTTTTAATTTCTAAAAATGGTAAATATTGGTAGCTGTTACCTACATTAACAAAAGTTCTTTTGGGCCCTTAATAATTTTTAAGAATAGAAAAGGGTCCTGAGATCTAGGAGGTTGAAAACTGCGGAAATTTTTTTTATTATCTAGACATCTATGAATTACTTAACTGATTTCATATTATTGGACATTAAAGTTGCTTTCACTCTGTTATTTTAAGCACAGCTTTGAACATTTTGAAATGAAATATGATATAGTCTCATGCCAAACATAGACATAGAGGGAGAAAGAGAATTAATTTTTTTGTTTATGTAGTAGAATTTATGCCTTCCTAGCTTACCTGTTTGGGTTGGTTCAGGAGAGTAATTCCAACCTGGATGTGTGATTGGCACCTGTGACATCCTCTAAACTAGTCTTTGGCAATTGTGTTTGGATCTGGGGTAGGCATGTGACCTAAGCTGTCCAATCAGACTGAATCGAAGGACTTTTGATGAAAATGCTGAAACAGATGTGTTCTCTTTTCCCCTGCTGTTATCACTGAGGAAGCGTGACCCTTGGGAGTGTTGGAGCAATTCAGGACCATGAAGAATCATCATCTAGTGAAGCTGACTCTGAGGTAGGCAGAGTAGAAACAGGGCACAAAAATCAGGTTGCTGGCAATATTTCTAGGCTACTAGTTCGTGCCTTTTCTAAAATCAGACATAACTTTGCATATTTCAGCTACATGGGGCATTCAGTTCTCTTATGTAAATCCTGCGTCAATGAGGTTTTTTTGGTTTGTTTTTAACTTCCAATTTTCACAATAGCAATGTGATCAATAGAAAGACCCTCCAACAGACACAAAAGATGTACAGTTTCTTTAGAGGCAAAGGCTATAGAATCCCATAGAGATAGTTCCCCAAAGCAGATGACAAAGCAGTGTGCTCCTAGGCCAAGGCGCAGGCTCCTAGTCTCCCCCATTCTCCGTTTTCCATGAGCTCCCTCTGTACCATCCCCTCTCCCTACTCCTTGCCCCCGACTCCCTACCAGCAGAGTGTTTTAGAGGCCCTCCCGTAGGTACCCGCCTGATCACTAGGTGCAAGGAACTGGTGCAATATGGTCACAGCACATTATAGGGTATTTACTGTTAGGATGGATGAACTGAACTTAATTTCTCAGGTATAGCACCGTTCTTCAGAAGTCCCAGGCCTCACGTCTCTCTCAGGTTCATTCGTAAAAACAAGGAGTTTCTTTTAGGTTTTATTCTTATGCTATCTCCACCAGAAAGTATTAATTACTTTCTCTTTTGTGTTGTCACTGGGCCATAGAACTATGACAGAGTCAGGAAAATCCCTGCTAGTTATTTAGAATTCAGAAAAGCTGTGGTCCTATCAGATTGTTAAAATAAGAATAGAAGATTCTATATTCAAAGAGGTTGCCATAGAATTAACTAAGAGCATGAAAGATCCAGTGGAATGACTTTAAAGTCATTTTAGAGCTAAATAGACTGTAGGAATAATAAACCTTAGCCATTCTCATCCTTTGCCTGTAGAGAAGCTGCAGGGGCAGCCACTTTGTAATCAGAAGGCTGTTCGGGGTTTAGTCAGAGAAAGGGGAGTTAAGTAATTCTGACATGTAAGGGCAGCGGGCTAAATTTCTCAAGGTGCCAAAGGAACTTATTTTACATGCAAAAAAGGATACAAAGGGATGGGCCTTCCAAAAGCTTGAAAGAAAATAATTGAAATAATAAAATATTGGAAAATTAATATAATATTCTGATTCATGAGTCAGTATCTGTTAAGACAGTTTTAAAATTTCTGAATATAAATTACTTTTAATTTCTTCAAAGGCTTATTGTAGCCCATTAAGGGCAGGAATATTCGAGCTGGGGCATGCTGACCATGCAAGAGAGTGAGGAACAAGGAAGAGAGAAAAAGGCGTCTGCTGGATCTCTGTGAGCCTTCAAGAAGGCGTGGGGCTTGACAAGACCCCTCCTTTCCATAGGTCCTAGTGGGGGTGGTTTATTATTTTCATTGACTCACTTGAATTTTATAAAGGTTTTCAAGCATCCGGCAAGAACCCATCAGTTTATTTTTTTAAAAATTTTATTGAATTTATTGAAATGACACTGGTCAATAAAATTACATAGATTTTTAAGTCTGTAGTTCTATGACACATCACCTGTACATTGCATTGTGTGTGATGTAAAACTGAAAGCAACAAATGAACAAAAAGCCAGTTTCCTTTGTTCCTTTGGCTTATTTTCAAGCGGAGAGTTAACTAAAGAAACTTACCTCACTTGTTGAAGGGCACCATCTACTGGTCAATTTTGGTAATTTCAGGTTACGTGGTGCACGGGAAAATCAGACCATTGGTTTCTGGTTTGGACTTCTGGGGTCTGTGGCTAATGTGTCAAGATTTGAAAGGGCAGAGAGGTATTTACTCTGGGCCAGTTTCTGTGAGCCACAGAGAAGCTGGAATTTGTTCATCCATTTATAGAGCAGCAGGAATTTAAGTCTGTTCACCAGCTCCTGTGTGCTGGGCATAATAAGATTTACTTCTCTGTTGTCAACAGGAAATTTTCTTTGACCTATATTGAGAAAAATCCCTTGGTCTGTTTTGAGAACATTCTTTCTACAGTGCAGAAGGGAGCTTCTTCAACATTTTTTTTTCCCTTTTCACTTCCCCTCCCCCCAGCATAGAGAACTCAGTCTGCAGCCTCATAGATGGAATGAGAACAATGCTTGCTGTCATTTAACAAGTCTTGCGATTACATCTAGTCTCCAAACCTAACTCTAAGTGTCTTGAAGACAGCACTGCACTCCTGTAGAGAACACCTCTGAAGCCTACGCTCAGTGCCATACTGCTTACCACCCCAGAAGGGACCTGCCTTCAGGCCAGCCAGCCCCAGCTGTGGTCGCTGGAGTCCCAGAATAACCAAGTTGAATTGGGCCCCTCCCCACCCCCAAAACTCGTATGTTGACGTTTTAACCACC